TGCGGTGCCGGAGCTGGTCATCCTGCCGGTGTACAGCAACCTGCCGTCGGAGATGCAGACGCGCATCTTCGAGCCGGCGCCCTCTGGCACGCGCAAGGTCGTCATCGCCACCAACATCGCCGAGGCCTCCCTCACCATCGATGGCATCTATTACGTCGTCGACCCCGGTTTCGCCAAGCAGAAGGTGCGCCTGTCCCACAGAAAATCAAGATCATGCAAGGACATGCAATGTAGGCGAGCGCCAAGAAGGGGGAAACGGTTGCCTTGCTGTGCATATGCAAGAAAGTACAAGACACCTGCGGCCCAGGAACACAACATTGTAACTCCCTCGGCCCATCATGCACACACAAGCAGTGGGCTACTGCGTAGCCAGGTCACCAGCTTCCTGGCATGCATTGTCTGGAGCCCCGGATGTTCAAATCTAGCACGTTAATTTACCTGCCTGCTTGCCAGCGTAAAAGGTTTCTCTTGCACAAACTTGCTGGTGCAATTGCTTTGACAACGATTCCTCAGAGCTGCATGTGGGAGCACGATTTTTTTTGAGTGCAGCCATGCCAAAGAGCAGGCCATTCCTGGAAGGAGTCAAAATCAAGGATTCCTGTGAGGGGCAGGGAATGAGTATATTTTGGCGTGTGCAGGTGTACAATCCCAAGATTGGTATGGACTCGCTGGTGGTGGCGCCCATCAGCCAGGCCTCCGCTAAGCAGCGCGCCGGCCGCGCCGGCCGCACAGGGCCGGGCAAGACGTACCGCCTCTACACCGAGGCCGCCTACAAGAGCGAGATGCTACCACTCTCCGTGCCTGAGATCCAGCGCACAAACCTGGGTACGCCTGTGTACTCGAGTTCCTCTTAGGCTATCTACATGGCACTCTCTTCCATTGATGAGCAAGGCGCAGCGCAGAACCATCTCCTAAGCGTCCTGGCACAACATCCTGCTCCCCATCTCTCCTGCTGTGTCGTCTGCTTTGTTTGTCCTGAGAGGACCTGATTGGCACTCTGCGGAGGGGATTGGGCTCCCTGGCAGCTACCAAGGCCCCAGGAGACACAAAATCAAAAGGCTGAACCATGCATGCTGCGCAGGCATGACAGTGCTGACGCTGAAGGCGATGGGCATCAACGACCTGCTGGCCTTCGACTTCATGGACCCACCGCCGCCGGCGACCTTGGTGAGTGCGCTGGAGATGCTGTACAACCTGGGAGCACTGGATGAGGAGGGGATGCTTACGCGGCTGGGCCGCAAGATGGCCGAGTTCCCGCTTGACCCGCCGGTGTCAAAGATGCTCATTGCATCCGTGGATCTGGGCTGCTCCGAGGAGATCCTCACGGTGTGTCTGGCTGTCCTGGCCTTGCTGTTGCAGTCCTGGAATGTTTTGTGGCTTGTCGGTGCCACCTCCTGGAGGGTTAAGAGTATGGAATTCGTCTGCATGCTTCAGTGTCGAGTGGTAGGAGCAGACAGATATCATTGGGCTGTAAGTTCTTTGCTGTGACATGTTTTCCGTAGCGGTGCAAGGTTCTCAAGATTTGCAGGTCTGCAAGTGATGACAAAAGCAAAATCACATTTTCAGACACATTAAAGGTTGTACTGTTCGCGCTCACTTGGTGGAGGTTTCTGACGGTCTCACAATCCTGGGGCGCAGATAATCGGGATGCTGAGCGCGCAGAACATATTCTACCGGCCGCGCGAGAAGCAGGCGCAGGCGGACCAGAAGAAGGCCAAATTCTTCCAGCCGGAGGGTGACCACCTCACGCTGCTGGCCGTGTACGAGGCATGGAAGGCCTCCAAATTCTCCAAGCCCTGGGCCTATGAAAACTTCATCCAGGAGCGCTCCCTGCGCCGCGCCCAGGTGCGGCCCAGCTCGAATGCCATGTTTAGAGACCGCATCTACTGTTGCATGGGTGATGGGTTTGTGCTAGTTTTGGAATGCAGGCAGGCAATTGTTGAGCGACCAGGCACGTTGGTGTCCCTCACGTGAGGAGTGTGTCTGGAATGATCTCCGGTGCTCAGTTGCCTGTAGATGTACTACCGCATTTGCAGCTTCATTGAATTGTAGACATTTTGCCAGACGGTTCTGGCAGCCAATAAGTGCAAGAGCGGGCGATCAGAGCAGTTAGCCCACAATTTGTGGTGCGTGGGTGTGCAGGATGTGCGGAAGCAGCTGCTGCAGATCATGGACCGGTACAAGCTGGACCTGGTGTCAGCGGGCGCCAACTTCAACCGCATCCGCCAGGCCGTCTGCTCCGGCTTCTTCTTCCACGCCGCCCGCAAGGATCCCCAAGAGGTGCGCCCTCTGTGCCTTTCACCCCTCCTCAGCATTCTGCATGTCAGCTTGGTAGCAGTCCTGTTCTTTGTGTCACCTGCTTCAGCAAGTAGGGAGCCCAGTCAGCAAACGTCTGAGTGTGCATGAATGCGGTCATTGATGGCGGCAGTCATCCATGATTATCTCTTCTGGCTCAGTTGAGTGCTGGTAAGAGAGCGACCAGCAATGCAGAGGCAGTCGATAAACGATGGGTAATCATCACCACAGATGACTGCAGTCATTGCCGCTCAGGTGCTTGCTTTATTCACAAAACATCACAGGAAGTGCCGAGGGCGTCTAGGAAGCAACAAGTAGGAGGTTGACCAGCTCACCCCTGGATTTTTTCTTCTGTGAAACAGGGATACAAGGGTCGATCGTGATTTGTTCACAATACTATTGCACAATGGGTGGGGGTTTTCTCTTTATTAAATAGGGTACAAGGGTTGGGCGTATTTTCATTGTGATACAATTGCAAAAGGGGTGAGCGTATTTTCTTTGTATCACAGGGGTACAAAACGGTGGTGGAGCAGACTCCAGTGTTCATCCACCCGTCCTCAGCGCTGTTCCAGCGGCAGCCGGACTGGGTCATCTACCACGAGCTGGTGCTGACGTCCAAGGAGTACATGCGCGAAGTGTGCGCCATCGACCCCAAATGGCTCGTCGAGCTGGCCCCCCGTTTCTTCAAGGCCGCCGACCACCAGAAGCTGTCGCGCCGCAAGCGCGGAGAGCGCATCGAACCCCTGTACGATCGCTACAACGACCCCATGGCCTGGTGCGCAACCCCGCCTCCCCTCTGGAATTTGTTTAATCTTGGAGATTGTTGTTTTGTCCCGTGCAGTAAAGAACACTGCAAGACAGCCCTCTGTCCCTATTTTGGCGCTCGCACTGCCTTTGTGTCTTGCACTCTGTCTTCTCTTATTCTGTCACCGTGAGTGTATGAGTTCAATGAGAGTTGGACTAGAGTTTTTTGTTCTCAGAAGTGCTCTGTGCCCACCCATACCTTCAGTTGCCTGCCACGGACACCACACACGAAGAACTCTATCAAGCATTTGGCACCGTGCAAATTGCGCTATTGCAAAAAATGCATTCCAGAGATGAGTTCAGGCATGGCACGGCATTCCCAGCATTTCTCGCTTGGATCATTACTTGTGCAGAGGTCCTAATCTTCTGTTATCCCTGCTGCAGGCGGCTCAGTCGGCGGCGCGGATGATTGTCTTGGCTGCAATATTTTGGTGCTCCCACACTGCTGGCTCATTTCCTGTGGACCATGCTGGCTGGTCTGGCTCAGTGATGACGGGGAAGGTCACTGTTTGCAGCTAGGCTTCATGAAACGATTTACAAGAGATCCGAAGAGAGACAGTCTGTTGATGACCGGTGTAGTTTTACCAACATTGGGGGGATTCAGACCTAGGCGTGGCCTCATAAGATACAAAGCTTCTGGTGGTGCCATTGTGAGGGGCTTCTACCAGTGGTGTTGTATAAGTGTTCGGACAGATAGTTGCGAAATTGTGAAGCTTGCAAGTGATTGCGCACGTTGCTAGCACAGTGCTGTGCTGCACATCATAAAGACATGCTGACGCTCTCAACTGAAGTGACTGTTTTTAGGTCCCATACAGCAGTCAAAGTTTAAATTTGAATTCAAATTTGAAGGAATCCACCATTTGAAATAGCTATATAGCGGCTATATTATAGCCACTTTGCTCATGCTGGAGGCTCGTCCCCTATAGAATATTGTAAAGTGGGTTTTATTATGTTTGTTGGGCATATTCAGCTTATGATGAGAGGCATGCAAAAGGAAGTTTTCCTTACATGCTTTTGGCTGCATGAGAGGCAGCATGCAGAGGCCTTGTTGCCTATTCTGGTGACGCCAGATCGCACAGGAGTGTGGGATATCTTGACTGCAAGAAAGTTTACTCAGTCTTCTGATAATCATAGGCCCCATAAGATACTACAGATCTCCATAGTACGCAAAAGCCTACGTTCAAGCCGATCTGTGCTTCCTCAAAAGACGTTACAGATTTAGTCCGGAACAGACAGAGATGTTTTCCTCGGCGCGCACCAATGAAGAAGTGGGCATGAGGATGGCTCATTACATGGTGCGCACATTTGTTTCATTTTATCTTTTGCTGTTTCTATGAATTTTCGACTCCGGTATCGTTCTTAGCAAGCAAACCAGTCTGCGTACAAACCCTCGGAAATGGAGGAGCATGCGATGACAAGGGAGCCTTTCAAGACATATCAGATATATTAAAAATCTACTGTTCCCAAACGCAACAGTGGATGTACAACGCCTACAAGCTGGTGAAGCGCGATGTAAAGCATGCTTCTTTCCTGGAGAGCTGGAACAAAAGAGGTGAGAACACGCACATGTCACTCAGCTGCGGATGTCAAATTTTTTTTGATCTCTTAGATTCGGTGTATGAAAAAAATTTATCAAAACTTACTATGGGCTGTAACCTTGCAGATTCTGCCAGAACCCTTTGGCCTGATGATGTCTCGGACGATGATCTGCTGCATTCCTGGATCATGGAGAATGGAGGATACGTGCACCCTAATTTGTACTTGGGGGCATCTCCGAGGACAAAGAGGAGGCAGGTTGCTTTTCTAGCTCTACTTGTCTAAACAGACTGCCTGGTGACCTTCCAGACCCTTCCCTTGTGAGAAACTTCAAGTGATCTGGAACGATTTGGTACAGGGTTTGGATGGCGAAAGATGCCATCGATTTGCAGACTGTTTCCACGCAGCCTCTCATTGTGAATCCCATAAGCTTCCGGCTCCACAATGTGGATGCCTCAGAGATGCTGCAGCAAGTCCTTCTGGACTATGGGTGCGAAAAGAAGCTCACGGTGCGTAGCTTAAAAGCCCCACGGCATGACAACTCTTATTCATGCTGAGACAGCACCGTTGAATGTTGCATATTTAATCTTGTGAGTCTTCCGGGGCTGGAAGTCCTGGTGTTGCCATGCAGGACTTTGAGCCATATGGTCATGACATTGCCAACAATGACGTATGCCTTGCCATCAGCCTTGCATGGGAGCGCAACAGGGGTCGGCAATCGCCCTTCTACCCTTACATCAGATCCCTACCCGAGGAGACCCCATGCTTTTTCACCAAGGAGAATGATGAAGTCCGGCAGATCCTGCAAGAACTTGGTGGTTACATTACCATTTCCGCTTATGCAGAGCAAGCGTATATGCTGAGCTCACACCTAGCAGAGATTCAGTCAGGAGCAGCATGTTTATTATGTGCCCCTGTTGCATGTTTCGAGCTAGCACCTCTGCCCCCTTTACCCTGGTATGAACATTCTGGTGGTGCGCCGCAGATGTACGAGCTGCATGACACCTAAAGCACCATGGACGAGGTCGTACAGTCCAACGAGACAATTTTAATGATGCATTTGTGCACGAGCAGGAACGCATTCGCATGAGATTGAAAGGATCGTTGCGATGGTGGACATTGAGCGGGCTCTGTTCAATGATGCTGTCAAGGCCGTTGTGAGGGAGATTCCTCTTGGAAAAGCGCTTGGGGTCACAGTCAAAGATGTCATGTGGTGCTTCGCTCATGTGAGTCTGGAGTCCTTATCTTACATCTATTGACTAGAAGAGGCCCTGGGTGCAACCAAGTGTGTCATCCACCAACGACCCGAGTGCAAATACTGGGTAACTCTTGGATGTGCCAGCCATGTCACGACATGCATGCTGTACAGAGGCATACCCCCTGGCTAAGTTTTGTATATACCCCTTCTGAACGGGGCTCAACAAGGACCACATGTTGCTGATGCACAAATGTGTCGCGCCAGGTGTTGGCGAGAAGAATGAACGATGGTGATGACGTGGCGCATGGCCACATCAGGCCGGCTTTGTGCCCGGTGGCGAACCATGAGAGCGCCGGGCTGTCGTTCGAGTTGTGAGGCTCCCCTTCTTGATGTATCTCCATACCGCGCCTGAAATCACTGAGCAAAAGTACTTCACCTACAAGGTTTCAGCTGTCAAAGGTAAAAATTCCTGAGCTTAAGAGCGCCGCAGGGGTGCTGGCACAAGCAGAATTCCAGGATCCATGGATGTGCTTGTGTCTCTGTTGGATGGCGTTCCTCGGCCGCTTGCTGCTGGAGACGAGCTGTACATTGCATACCGGAGCCCCTCTGGGGACACCTACGAGGAGCAGCTCGTCAACCATGTTGAGATGCGTGGGGCAGAATCCATGGCGGCCGCTCGGGCTGTGCTAGGCAGACTCCGTCAGCGTAAAGGTGTCTCCTGATGCCCATCTGATGTCAGCAATGATTAGCTCATTGACTCGACAGTTTCCAACGCCATGATCAAGTTTTTGTGCCACAATACGCCGCTGAGATCAGATCTAGCTCTCAATCGCAAATGTAGTGACAGATCTGCCGAAGCATTTCTGCAGCAACCACCCTGGTCAGAGCTGGGTCAGTGAGTGGCCAGTCACAGTTGCTTGATCAGGCTCCTCTTTGGTTGTGATTTGAATGCGAGTGCTCTCTGTGCTGCCTCTGCAGTGTTGAGCAATGGCATGCTGGAGCCTCTCCCTGGGAACAAAGGGCCGGGGTTGAACCCCCAGAAGTGGCTGCCCAGCCATTTGCAAGTGCGCGAGCTCTTACAGAACCTGATAGATCTGAGGAAGGAAGAGCCCGCGCACCCGCTCATGAGGATGGTTTTAGGCACCCAAGATGGTCACCATGAAGGTGAGTTCTTGTTCCTCTGGTCTGAAGCTGTTGTCTCGCATTCCATGAGGTTCTGATCAAACAAGAGTAGGGGACCTCGCGCCTGAATTCATTGGTGACATGTGCTTGACCTTGTGTCTTCAACGGCCTGATTCTTGGGCTGTGCATGTATTGAGGGGTGTGTTGGGGTGGTTCAGGGCAAGTGCGCTCATGCATGCATCCTGACTGCCCCAAAAAGCAAAGCACCGAGGGCACCGGGCAGCTGCGCTGCTCAGTCTGCCGAAGCCCTTACTGCAGCCGCTCCTGCCAGAAAGCACACTGGCGCCAGCACAGGCCGCACTGCAAGCCCCCTGCACCGCCGACGTCCTCTTGATGGCAGATGGATGTCACCGTGACTGCTATATTGATGTGTCTGAGATGAGCATGCCCCAGATGCATCTGCTAGCACTGCATGGCATGTGATGCGATTTTGGCTTTACACCAAAGGTCTAAAATCTCTCACGCGCTGTTTACGGTGAGACAAGGTGCCGTACTTGTCAGGCAGAGACTGTGCTCATCGCGTTGTGGAAGAGATTATAACAACGTTGTACAAATTTGTACCGGCTTGTACCTATAGGTATATATATATATATATATATATTTAGCTAAGTTGAAACTTACAAAGTGTAAAAATAAATTTATTTCAAAGGGCACAACGTTAACGACTGGCATGCGGCACTCAGTGCCGGGCACTGCACTTTGATGCCCATCGGCATGCCTTTGGCGCCGACTCTGGAGCATTCAATGGAAACACTTCTGTAATGTTGATTGCAAAGTGCACTACTTGCAATAGGCGGTGCATGCATGCATGCGCATGCCGGTGGCCGCGTCCGAGCCCAGCAATTAGCATACCAGGCTATTGCTATCAAGCTGCAGCATTAGATTGGGCACAGATGCTGCTCGAATGAATGAGGAAAGCGCATCAGGAAGGGCATTGTTGCCACGTCGCCCTCCATATCCAAAACGGCACGTGCGAAAATGCATTTGCTCAAAAGCAGAGGTGCCAGAAATTTGGGAAGTGCGTTTGCAAACTGATTTCGCGTGCTGTTGTCATGTGGGGCACGAATAAATTAATTCTATGAAGTTCATGAGGCTCGGTGCCAGCGACCTTGGGTATTACAGTAATGTCATATTGCTGCCTCCACAAGTTTCATTTAAGCGAAGCAACAATCTCAGCAATCTTCGAACACATAGGATTCCTGGAGTTTTTTTACGCTCCAATGCACGTCAGTTCACGCAGCAGCGCACAACACCACTGCTACTGCACAGACAGCGACTCAGACACCAGGCTCAGTGTGTGTCAGCAGCGGCTAGCAGTGCCAATTTCGACCCTAGCACAAATGCCGAAACAGATACGAGCGCATCAGGACCCTTGCAGTGGGCTCGATCTGGACTGGCAGGCATTTCCAGGAATTACCAGGCCGCTATTGCCAGTACAAGACTGCAGACAGCAGCGTTCTACAATCCAAAATTCTTGCCAATGGTCACACTGTGCGTTTCTGAACATCCAACAATTTTACCCTCGTCCTGTGCTTTGGACAGCTTGCGAGTCACATTGCCTCCTAATTGGATTGTTGTCCGTTGCTTAAGCCATGTGTCTTGGTTGGCGCAGGTTCTTCTTTCTATCGTGCGCTCTCATACGCTTCTGGAAGATTTCGTTTTGTATCCCGTCGCAATTGCTGGGCCACCCAAGTCTGCCCTGCATGCATGGTCATGACGATTTGGAGCCTTCAGAACCTCACTGACTCTACTTTCTTGTTCGCAGGTTCATCAATACTCTGCTAGATTCGTAAGTACTCCTCATCAGTCTTTTACACCTCTAAGGATGAATAGCACTCTCAATTTCTTGTCCAGTTCCCTTCAGAAGTTGACAGTGCACTTGCACATTTGCAGGTTAGGTAGCTCTCTAGTGATCACTGCTGTCGGAGGCGGAACAGAAGTCATACCGTTTTTGACAGGTGCATTCCTGCTTCCTGTTACCTGCTGTCCATTACTTATCCCTCACACCAGCCAGCAAAACTTGCAACGATCATGTCGGTCTTAATGCTCTGCACCACTGACTTCTTGCTGTGTTGTTTGCTGCAGTCTACGCTGTATGGCCCGCATCCTTCGTCTTCCTGGTGAGCCTCAAGTTCCCACGCTATGGCAGACCCCTTCCTGCTGCAGACTGTCTATATTCCATCTGACCTGGTGCATGCTGACATGACACAGCCCCACGCTGACATGTATCCAGAGGCCTCACATCAAGGCCATTTTCCTGCAGGTGCTGTACAGTTTTGCGACGCAGCGCTTCTCGCGGGGGGCGCTGTTCAACATAGTGGTGGGGCTGTTCATGCTGTGGTTTGTGGCGTTCGGGTTTTTGTACCCGTCCCACGAGGCGATGCACTTCCATGGCCTGGCGGAGAGCGTTCTGGAGGGCCTCCCATCCGGCCTGGCAGGCGCTGTGGGCATGGTGAGACTCCCCTCTAGCCCAACTAGCCTCTTGCTGTGTACTTCCTGGATTGCTGCACAGATCCTGGTCAAACGAATGCATAGCAGGCTTGCCAATTGTTGTCATCTTGAACATCTTTGGTTGATGCAACGAAGTGACCACATGCCTCTTCCAATGCTGGTGTGAAGAGAAGGGTGCATCGCTAGGTTGCCTCAATATAACCTCGTACTCAGTGGGAGTAGCGCTTTTACGGGTTGTTCAGATTTAGTGTGCATGTGGCAGGTGCGGAACTGGATGTTCACTACGTTCTATGTGGGAGCGGAGATGTGGGGGGATGTGGTGCTGAGCCTGCTCTTCTGGGGGCTGGCCAACGAGATGACCACGATGCGCGAGGCGCCTCTGCTCTACCCGCTCTTTGGCATCGGCGCCAACATCGGCCAGACGCTGTCCGGCAAGGCGCTCTCCATGTTCGCCACCTTTTCCGAATCCCGCCTCTCCTACGCCGTCCAGCTGCAGGCGCGCCCCCTGATGCCTGTCATCCCTGCACATGTGCAGAGCCGTGAGGCACATGCAAACAGGGGAGACCTCAAGCTTTTCACCTCAAGCTTTTGTGATCGGCGGCTCTGTGACGATGTCTCACTACCACAAACCCATCAGTACCTGAATAGACACACTGTTACCTACGCTTAAAAACCAAAATTCGCAGACCGCTCCATGCCAAACACTGGAACATGGTATGATACAAGGCTGAGGTGTTGCTGAGGCTGGCTGTGCATTGGTGCTGCTGCAGGCCATCATGGCGCTGATAGTCACATTCAGCTTCATAGTGCTGGCGCTGCACGCCTACATCACCACGCGCTTCCCCAGCAACATTTCCCCCGACCCCGAAATCCCGCCCCTTGACGCAAAGCCCACACTGCGTGCTGCATCCCACGACGGCGCGCAGCCGTCCTCCTCCGGAGCGCAGCAGCAGAACGGGGCTGTTTTGGAGTTGCAGGCGGACACCTCTGGCAGGCTGCGCGCCGGCAGTGAGGCCAGCACAAGCGGCGCAGCGCCGCAGGGTGCGTCCCTCTGGATGACTGTTGAGCGGGCGTGAATGAGTGATAGTCATCGATAATTTGGGTTTTCGAGCCAGATGTACCTGTGTGCTCCTTGCTAGGGACACCCCTATGTGCAAATGTCCTCACGTATGACAGGATTGCTGATCATGGTCGGGATTAGCACTCCCCAGTTTTAACTATATATCCGTTTGGGCTTGGATCAGATAGGAAGCTGAAGGGGCTGGAGTCTCTTTGGGGCTTGTCAACCAGCACTTGCTACTGCCGCTGACCGATGCAGCCTGGATGAATGGTTATCTTCTGTGTGGTATACAGGTGCAGGGTCCTTGGCGGAGGCGGGCGGCGGCAAGAAGAAGCTGTCGATACGTGAGGCGGTGGTGTTTCTGACCAAGTCGCCGCAGATCCGGTGCCTGGCCGTGATGGCGCTGGCGCAGGGGCTGAGCACCAACCTGATTGAGATCGCCTGGAAGAGCCACCTCCACATGCTGCATCCCTCCCCCGCAGCCTACTCGGTGCGCATACCCTCCCAACCCTGCTTCTATCGGGTTGCTAACTGCTAGTGCCCTCTGCTTTTCTCTCGGGCCCCTTGCATCACGCAGCCTAGCCTTCCTTGCTTCGTGTGCAAGCCGTGTTTGTGCCGGTGCAGTCACAGGCAGCCACAGCTCGCATGCATTAGTATCCTCTGCTGCTTGACGGTCGAGTCAATCTAGAGAACCATGTGTGGGGCCAGGGACTTTTGACTTTTTTATATGGATTCCCCTGGTGGGGCACAAGACAGAAGGAATGATGCGTGGGGGTCTGTGTCTGGGCAGGCTTTCCTGGGGGAGGTGGCCACCTGGACGGGTATAGTGACGGGGACGCTGATGTTTGCCAGCCCGGCGCTCTTCGCGCGCTGGAAGTGGCGGGGGGTGGCGGGCGCGACGCCGGCCTTCATGCTGTGGACGGGGCTGCCCTTCTTCGTGGGCTGCGTCCTCTACAACGTCGCCCACCCCGGCCCATCCCTCGTCGGTTCTGCCGCTCTGCGCGCCCTTGTCATGGTCGGAGCCGTCCTGCAGGTGCGCTCCGCACTGCTGGCTCTGTCAGTGTTCACTCTTGCCTGTGTGCGATTTCTGCTGTTTTGGATGGTGCACACTGTGGAGGGGTGAATTTCCCAGGCATTTCCCGGCCCAGACACATGCCCATGGCGGTTTCTGAAAGGCGGCAGGTCTGCAAAGAGAGCCTGCAGTGCAATCTGAAATGCACAGGGCTCAGCTCCGGATGCGAGGGAGAAACATGCGGGTATTGAGGGTGATTACGGCGAGAGTACTGCAGCAAAGGTAATGGTGATTGATGGGGTGTTTGTTTGTGTGGCAGGTGTTTGCGAAGGGCGCCAAGTTCAGCATGTTCAAGCCTGCGGAGGAGATGGTGTACATAGGGCTGGACGAGCAGAGCCGCACCAAGGGCAAGGCCGCTATCGACGTTGTCGGCGCGCAGACCGGCAAGAGCGTCGGCTCCGTGCTGCAGCAGGTCACTCCCCACTGCCTCATTACACCTTTCTCACCCTGAATTGCCACTGCAGCTCACGACGCCAGCTTTGTGAGCTGTCTTTGGTTTTGCTGCATGCGAGCTCTCCATGCCTGTCATGTGCCATTTCTCCAATGTGGCAGTTGCCCTGGATTGCCTGGGAATAAGCTGCACAAGCTGGGCCCATGTTGCTTGATGAGCAAAAATGATGGGAGAACAAAGGGATTGGTACTCTCCCATGCGCATGTACAGCAAGAGGGACCTGCAGAGAAGCAATGCAAATGGTGCCAGTGGACCCTGTCAGACAAACATGCACGGTCGCCCGGCAGACAGCAGCCAAGAGTGTGAATTGATATTTGTAACCATTAAGGCGTGCTCTCTGCGCATTTGGTATCGAAATTCAATATAGGATGGGTGGGAGTTGAGCCTGCAACTTCTAGCGCAGGTGCTGCTGGTGGTGAGTTCTGGGTCGCTAGTGAAATCACTCCCAGTGATGGCGATGGCGTACTACGGAATCCTGCGCTCCTGGTCCCGCTCCGTAAACACGCTGTCCACGCTGCATGTCTGCGCCTTCACCACGCAATCCACCAGCTCCGACACCGACGACGATGACGGGGACGGCGGCGCGCCAGAAGAGGCTGTTGCCGTATCCACCCTTGGTGACATCTCACCCAACACGCCCTTGGCTGCCCTCTGAGCGCCCTTGGAGAGAGCACTCATCTGGCCGCCCTGTGAGCAGCCTTGGAAAGGCATCGCCCAGCGCTGCGCTGGCTGCCCCTGTGAGCGCCTAGAAGGGGAGCACAAGAAGAATAGAAACCTCCTTCTTTGGACTCGCTGTGGTGTCAGATGGGGAGTGGCGGCAGTGGGATGTCTGAGGGGGTGCATGGGCGTATGAGTCAGCATGGGTGATCTACTGCATGGTTGATCGTGAGAAGAAACAGTTTTGGGACGTCTGTTTGAGAGAGCTGCGTAGAGCAGGCTTTGCGCCAAGAATTGTGGAGACACACAAGGACGGTGGCAGAGTTGACAATGACGATTGTGTGAAGGTTGGCACGAGGTAGATGCGCATGCAACCATCTGCAGGGTCTTGACTTGTGTAGACTGATGCTTAAGTATTTTAGCTTGAGCACACAAGGGCAAGTGAGAGTGGATTCCAGGGAACACGTTTCATCATGTTTGCACAGAGGCCAGCTACAAACGTGTGTTTCTTGTCATGCAAAGTCCACCTGACGACTGACGACGATTGTCGGCTTACGAGAACATTGAGATAATCACTTGGCTCAGCCAGAATTACATTAAGGATTTCATCATGTAAAAATATTTGATACTTCATTTCAGCACAGCCTTGTAGGCCACCAGCATGATGTCCCATAATTGTTGCAATGGCATAATTCCTGTCAACGGTTAGCACCGAGAAGGCAGTGTGGGGAGGATATTCAGGACACACACTATGCTATAATAGAGAGACGCAGAAAGGAGCCGCTCTATGAACCTTCACTGCAAAATACACTGATGAACACGTGGTGTACACTCTCTATCATACATTAAGTTTCACCGGCATCTGCCAAGCAGACTACCCTGCGGCTACCTACTACACGGACCACTCTCAAAGCCATATGTGTTCCAGGGGCGCGCTCCAGCTGCCAGAAAGCAGATGATGACACTTTAATTGGCGTTCTCAGCTGCACTTCTCAGGGCCTCAGCCCCATGTCTTGGTAGCGCTCATCCTTTGTGTCGCTGTAGTTTGGTGCGTACTGCGGCGCTGTGGGGATCCTCTGAGACTCATCGACCGGAGATGTCAGGAACACCTTGGATGGATCGTTCGGATCCACAAAGCTGTGACATAGCACACCAAAGAGCCTCAGCAAATGCTGATGCAAAAGAAATAACATACGATTGCTTTTCATGGCATGCAATCAGGCTCCAATGTGAAGCCAAAGGGAAGCAAAGGACACTCATTTACTGTCCAGAGGCAGAGAGAGATTGGCTTGGGAGACTCACGCTTTGGACAATATTTCTCGCGTGTCTTGGGGTGGCGCGGGAGCTGTGGGTGCACTGCTGGCATTCATCCGCTGATGCATGTACTTGACGTACTCCAAGAAGTTGAAATAGAGCGGCAGAAACGTCCCGACTCCGCCCTCTTTGAAGTAGATGGCAAAATTGTGTGGGGGGAGAGTCCCTGATGGCCCTCCTCCAGGTACAGCAGGCCAACACTTCCCTGCTTGCAGCACAGGGTGCTTCACACAGGTTGAAACAGCAGAGTGCAGCTGAAACAATCGGCTACAGGAAAAGGATGGCTCACCTGCCAGGTTGTTGCATCCGAAGACGGGCTGCTTGAACTTGTCGTTGGTGATATAGGCCAAAGGAAGCTCAAAAGCCACCAGTCCTGCGTAGTAGAACGTCAGTACTCGGTTAACCAGTAGACATCCTTGAAGTACCGATAGCCCAAGTGCTGCGATCTAGAGGGCGCACCTGAGTTGGCATCAGCATCTCTGGCGACAAATATCAAGCGCATATTTGTCAGGAAGATGACGCCTTTCGCAGACCACCTAGGTCATAGTCCAAACGCCTCTAAGTTGCCAAACTGTTATAAAAAGGGAGTGAGTAAAGCACATCCCAGTTCAGTATCAAGACAGTGCCCAGAATTACTCACTTTCCATTGGAGGTGCGGACTTCATCCACAGTGAACTCGATCCCTCCTCGCGCCAGAGCGATCGCTTCCATTGCGTATGGGGTGGGCACCAAACTGTTGTCGAACGCTCGTAGCAGAGGTGGATTGGCGGCCATTGTGAGACTCAAGTAAAACGCCTTGCGAAAGTTCGAACGGAAAGCAAAGGAAGTGAAGGAGAGCTCAGATGCTTTGCATGTCCAAGGAAACTGGCAGAGTCATCAAGGTCATAGGGTGACTCATCACTGTGATCACTACGCCAGCCAGGTGCTCGTCCTAAAAACCTTTGCACCTAATGTACAATGGGCCACTCTTCACGTGACACTGCTCTACATCCTCTGTAGGCAAGGTGTGTGTAGCATGCGCATGCGCAACCTTCAATTTTGAATTTTCCTCTCCTTGAAGCTTTGCGCAGCGCTGGCAATATGCCAGTGGCCTCGAGTACGTGCATCTGGCCATTTAGCTGAAGCCAGGCCCAGTAGCACGCGGCGTTAGGCCACGTGTCAATTGGCATGACTGCATGATGCATGCGCAACATTTCTAGATGCGCATGCATGATCCAGATCTAGAAGATGGATCCATATATGGAGCGGGTGGACTGTCTGGAACATGAGCTCGAGCTCTTTCAAGCCTTGAGACTGCAATTCGCCACCAATTGGTACTATCCATATATCTACATTATCTCACTGAGGGACATTTTGGTAGAACCCATTGTCATCATACTCTGATCAGACTTCGAGTTGCTTCTCAAGCAACGAGTTCCTTCTTCCATTGACACCCTTACCTGAGGTGAGCAGAACATGTGCCGCTTCTTCCTCAGCTGAAGAGTGCCTATGATAGAAGATTAGCACATGCCCCATATTTGCAGCAAATCAAGCAGGCTCTATATGCCGAAGGACATCTTTAGACAAAAGCGCTGCACATTGCCTAACAATGCCAGGAAGCACTGGCAGTAGCTGACATGACCTGTGACCACTCACACTTCTATGCACTGAATCCACAGCCTACCTCAAAGCCACACCCACAGCTTTCAAACCCGCTCCTATCCACACATACAGCAGTGCGGCAACAGAAGCCACTTTCCCATATCCGGTCCCCCTCTCCTAGGCCTCATTAACACTGAAAACAGAGCCCCCTCAGTGGACTGAAACAGTTGCTCCCACTTGCAGGATCAGGATTTGGGCGGTAGGGTGATTGACAGTAGCTGCCCAGACAGCACATTCCACTTTCTCTGGGCAAATCCCAGGGATTTCTGGCCTGCCTAGTAACTTTGGCAGTCATCGTCGCTTAAATTTGTGGGCGGACTAAAAACCCGCCCATTTCATTGGGATATCGGGCTCACTAAAGGCGTGAGCCCAATCCCAAGGGAGATCTCCCTGAAATGTCAAACATGCTTTTGAACTTGAAATCATGGTTCAAGTTTGAATCCTGGAGATGTTGCACATGCTGGACATGATGATGTTGATGGCGGAGAAGGGCCCTGTGACAAAGGGCTGGAAGGAGAACTTCTGCCGCTCCACTGCCAGAACTTCCATCTTGTGCAGGATCTCTTTTTTGTCCATGTAGCGCAGGTGCCCCGCTATGGACGACACATTGTCCACCTTGATCGCCACGTCAGTCACCTGCACGCATGCACAACAGCACGCATTCGGTTTTTGTTGTACTCTTACTGGCACTGGCCTCTTGCACCCTGCAGCATGGGCTGGATGGTTGCCAAAGGGCAGGGACTCGAGCCCATCTGCCAATCACAATCAACAACAGTAGAAGTCTTGGGCTTTAGTGACACTGCCAACAGGCGCAAAATGAGCTGCAAATTGAACATGAACGAACTGGGATGTCTGTGCATGTCAAGAACTGTCTCTTGTCCTTTAGTCTGCTCCTTTTGGGTCCTGGGCGGATAGAAGCAAGACACAATGCAAGACATGCACAGCAGTGCGAGCACCAAGCAGGTTTACAAGTGACTCAAGAAAAATGGGCGACCCTCATATTTTGTACTTGCGAGGCTCATATCCCAACAACAATGAACATACGAGAGCATTGGTATATGTGCACAGCGTTGGGCAAGCTGCTGCCGTGCATCTTCCTTCCAGATTGCGCCCCAAAGATGCCACAAAGGAGATGGGGCAGTCACCTCCAGCTCGGGGATCCAGGTCCAGGGGTTCAGGACGTGGTACGGCCGAATACTGGGGTGGATGCCCCATTCCATCTTGTCCTGCAACCAGCCGCTGTAGTCCGACACGTTGAAGAAGACGCTGAAATCCCGGTAGCGCACGTGCTCCGCCATCGGCATGCTGGCGTAGGGGGGCCCCACAAAGACGGGAATGCATCCGGCCATTATGGTCTCGCTCAGCCGCCGCGTAGACGCGCTGTCCCCCGGCATCGTCAGGCAGAACGTCGCGTTGCGCATGCGCTCCATTATGCTGCGCCGGGGGAATATATACGGTGAGAGACATTAAGCAACCGTTGCTGACCGAGACAACGCTCTCTGGAGACAGGCTATCTCGCAGCCTGTCCTGTGCGCGAAAGGCTGTTGGGGGTGGGTATCTTCATGAAACTGAAGCTGCTGCTCCTCACTCATATAAGAACTCTGGGTGATGCAAGCCTTTGAGCAGTGACGTTGAAAGCTATGAGGTCATGGGTGAGACTAGCAGCAGCTTCACAATGGGAGAGTGCTGGAGACGGCAGCTCCTACAGGGCAACCAACAATAAAGGCATTCCCCCCTTCGAGGGTCACATGGCTTATAGAGCAGCCGGAGAGAGGGAATGCGGCGCACCTGCGGAAGGGCAGCGGGCGGCCGCCAAGCTGGCGGTCGGTGCAGGAGACGTCAACGTCGATGCCGGCCTTGCCCAGAGCGATTGCCACGTGGTGGCAGAAGCGGTGGCCGTTGACGTAGCGCCCCTGACCCTCCATGATGTAGGGCAGACACTTGGTGCGGAACCACAGCAGTATGTGGCGCTCGTTCAGAGGCGTCACCTTCATCTGGAACCCCTGCGCCAATCCCACGCAGACATGATCAATCATTACATCACTTAAACACCCTTCATGGTTCTCGAGCTCTGGCTCCCATGGTCAAGTGTACATGCCCAGGAAATGTGCAGCATCACTGTCACTGGCATCAAACAAGGCGTTTCAAAGGCCTTGCCAATGCGTTTGCGACGCTCCGGAGCGGGAATCAGCAGCTTTGCATGGCAATCAGGTTTGAGGTGCCCATTCGACCCAGCCAGGACTGTCTCCTAGCATCCCTGCCTTTTATTCCATGTCTATAGTGCACTACTTAAAAGTCATCTGAGCCTGAGGGTCCAGAGCAACACAGGGTGGGGAGAGACCAAGGGAAACAGAAATGTGCGCGCGCCTTGAGGGGCCGGGCGATGTCGGATGTGGCAGGGACGTAGGGCACAATGAGGAGCTTGGGGGCCATGGTCCAGTAGTGCTGGCATACGTTGCGCTGGGTGCGCTCGGCCACGATGTGCATTGCGTTGCGGAAGGTGTTGCACACCATATCCAGCACCGGCATCTCCGCGCGGCCCGTGCCGAAGCCCGGGTGCGGGTCGTAGAACACAAAGTCCGCGCCCTCCCGCCGCTTCCACCGAGGCGTCTGAATCAGCGCCTGCGCACGCGACATGGTGCGTTTCCTCAGGCTACACTCCGGCTACGTCTGCTCAAGTGCTAGAAGTGTTGTTGCTTGTTTTTGGTGTCATGCCTCACCCAAACGTGTCCAGGAGTCTCGATTTATGGAGCCGTGAGGCATAACTGGTCCCTCTTCAATGCACCCCAGCAGCAGCTATCCAGCCTGACATTTGAGTTTTGATCAACTACACCCGCTAAAAGGGGCGCTGGAAAAGGGCAGAGACAACCGAACTGCCCATCTGGAACCTTGAAAGGCACTGACGGCTTTGGCATGCAAAGCCAGACCAAGTCACACAGCACCAAGACCCCAAGGGCGCTTGATATAATGGGGCAACTCACGGTTGGACCAGCACGCCGTCCCAATCTGCACAGTAAACGGGAGCGCTTTGAGAGCTTGGCCCACCTGGTAGCCTTTGAGGAGGTGGTCTCCTGGGGTGGCGTCCTCGCGCTGCACGCGGCCGTTGCTGTGCACAAAGCTGAGCCACCAGGTGTAGTAGCAGTAGTCGTACACATACACGATGTCTGCCGCGTCCAGGTCTGTGGTCACATAGGGGCTGCCCCTGATCGCCTGCGCCAGATGCCAGGGCCCAGAATACTGCCCAAGATACTGTGGGAGGTATGCATTCTTCACCTGCATTGGCACGCATGCAATTTCAGATTTTTGTTTTTTATTACACGCTCTTCCTGCCTGAGGCAAGGCGTGTCTGCAGACAAACTGCAGCTGAAGGCTGCCAGTGCCACCCGCCAGGACTCATATTTTCAGCTGTAGCTCTGTCAGAATCAACCTTACAGCCCTTCACAGCATTGTGGCCAAGTGCCAGAAGGGAGGAGGAAGAAATATCGTGTAGATCCATGCAGGAGAGTGCAACTTGCCCTGCATAAACCTGTGCAAGAGCTTAAATGTGGAGGAGAGGGGTTATTGGCACACCTGAGGGTCATCGTGCAAGAAGGGCACATTTGTGATGGGGTCTACTCGAAACGTTGTGTCTGGATTGCACGCCGGCATTCCCTGCTGCTCTGCAAAGATGCCCAAGTCGAGCACATAGATCTTGCGCCCCTGCAGGTCACAATAGAAGGATCAATTACCCGCTTTAGAAGACCATAAAATTAGAGCTATCCAGAAACCCACATTCATGATGGAGCCCAATCAAAGCTGAAAGTAACATGGGACGAGATACCTCGCAGATTGGAAGGTCTGCCTGGCTGTGCACTCCCACGGCTAGCCATGCTGCAACAGCTGTCCAGAGCCATCGTCTTCTCCCACACTCTAGCATGGAGCGCAGCCGTACAGTATAGACCTCTACAACATAAAAATATATTCAGAATGTCAATTTACAGGGAGAATGTTATCTGCAGGTGATTGCCATCGTCATGTACTAAGCTCAAAAGAAGATTGGGGTCCTACCCAAATATGATCTTGCATCCAGGCTGTACTAAAGGCGTCTCATGCCCCCATCGTATTCATCGGCATCATCAAAGTCGATCGGAGCAAGACCACCCAAGAACAATATCTGATTATCAAACGGCTATCCAGAGACAAACGAGAAAGCACTGTTTCGAGTCGGTTCGAAAGCTCCTCTGCAGTCGCGAAACCCAACTCTTCCCGATCTGAGCTTCGATTAGATCTATAAGGTACACATGCAGGACTACGTTGGTTCTGCTGGTACAAACTGATTTGGTTTCACCTGACGGAAGAACTTCCAGTGCCGGAACGGGGTCGATAGTGAAAGCGCAGCTTCTTATTATTTCCTGCAGCTTCTCCTTGTGAAATAGGGCTGTAAAATGTAGCAGGGTGAATAGAGGGTTGGAATGATATCAGGCTCTCAAGAAACCGCGGATTGACAATTCTTTCACTCTGAGCTCAAATCTGTACGTATAACGTCTTAGAAAGAGAAGATGGTTCACGCATATTGGTGGTCGAAAAGAACCTTGTGACTGCACTTTTCGAACACATCCGCCATCAGCATCAAAGGGCTGCAGTATGGCACGAGAAGAAGAAGATTACCCCGATGAAATGGAGGAGAGGCTAGTCAATGAAGAATACAAAATCTGGAAGAAGAATACACCGTTCTTGTATGGTGAGTCTCATTCTGGGGTGTTCCAGCGGTGAGATAATCTATTGTTACAGGGTCTACCGTTGTCACGAGAGTTGTGTGAAATAGTTCATCTGCAAGCAATATTATTTGTTACCATCTTGTACGTTTGTTTCACACTGCTGTATGGAATATAAGGGAGAAGGTTCTGTGCTGCAGATCTGGTCATCACACATGCTCTGGAGTGGCCCAGTCTTACAGTGCAGTGGCTCCCGGTAAGACCCTTTTGCGGTTTTTACGTGCACTGGCCCTCGTGATGTCTGTATCTGGGTTCGCAAGACCACCACGAACGACATCATGAGATTTTTTAAAGAGGAAGCAAGATTCCAAGGGTTCAGCAGTGATGAATTTTTCTCTTGAAGACGAGCATTGACGATGGCGATATGCACATGCAGAAGCTGCATAAATCTGAATCAAGATTGACGCATTGACATTCATGCCTTGGCTTGCTGCAGGAGAAGACAGTGGACAAAGACAAGAAGTCAGCAAAGCAGCGGCTGATTTTGGGCACGCACACCAGCGAGGGGGAGCAGAATTACCTGATGATCGCTGAGGTGGCACTACCCACGTCTGACTCAGAGGCCGAGGCTGCGCAGTATGACGAGGAGAGAGGGGAGGTGGGCGGCTTTGGCGCAGCCACAGGCCGAGTGCAGGTGAGGATAACACAGCTTTTGAATACAGAGGCACTGGACGTCATCATCAAGGACGGCCTTTCCTAATTCGCTGCTTCTTAGGTTGAAATTGGAGATTTGTGTTTGACAGCAGCCTGGAGGATCAGCAGTCCAAGCATAGCATAAGGACATTCAGCTGTCAGCGCCAAAGAAATGCCTCATACCAGTCAGGGCATTCTATGACGTGGCTGGGTCTGAGAACACACTTTATCATTTCGAGTCTACATAAAAATATGTCTGGCATCTGCAGGTGGTGCAGCAGATCAATCATGAGGGGGAGGTGAATCGGGCACGGTACATGCCGCAGAACCCCTTCCTCATCGCAACCAAGACAGTCTCGGCGGAGGTCTTTGTCTTCGACTATACCAAACACCCCTCCAAGCCCTCCCCCAACGGCATATGTGCCCCGGACCTCAGACTCACAGGTCACAGAACAGAGGGGTGCGTCTCACATTGCCACCTACTGACCTATATTATCAGTTGCATACTTGAGCAGAATATTGCAAGGCTCTGGTCTCTCTGCGCATCGCCTTTGCGCAATCCCAGGTACGGATACAGTAAAGGAAAAGGTCAGCTGCACTATGAGATGCATGCCGCTCTTGTGCCCTCTCTGCTGTCTGATGTGCTTAGTAGGCCTGCAATGCCTGCATGCTGATCAGCCATCCGAGATGCATGGAAGCCTTTCCAAGATCAAGCCTTCCATACTGCAAAATTTCACTCGTGAGGCTCTGTCACAGGTATGGGTTGGCGTGGAGCCCCTTTCTGGAGGGGCACCTTCTGTCGGGGTCGGATGATGCGCAGATCTGCCTCTGGGATATCTGCGCGGCCACCAAGGGAGTCAGCACGCTCGACGCTCGCCAGATCTTTAGGGACCACAGCGGTGTTGTGGAGGTAGGGTTTTGAAGACCCCTCGGGCCTGATTATTTTTTTGACAAGTCTTTGACATTTTGGAGTATAATCTTGTTATCGACATCGTTTTGTAATCCACTGGACCCTTCAGGTGCCAGATTGACCTGCAGATTATGTATTTTAAGTACATGTCTTGCTTGTCCTGCTGTGAGATGCACGGATATCTGTTCTGCGTCGCTTGCTGATCTGTCTGAGAGTGTATGGCGGAGATGTGAGCGGTGTGAGTTGGTGTGACAGGATGTGGCGTGGCACAACCACAGCTCCAACATCTTTGGCTCTGTGGGAGACGACAAGCAGCTCATCGTGTGGGACACGCGGCAACAAGGTGCTTGCACCTTTTTTTATTCAATTCCCCCTGCTTCATGGCAGGAATCCACTCTATCCACCCATATATATTGTGATGCATCTCTGTTGCGCATGCATAGGTATGTAATAATCAGTTTGTAACATAGTGTGCGTAACCAAGATTAGCATTAGGTTTACAATAATTGTGTCCCTGTGCTTGCAGCTGTGGGTCAGGCGGTGATGGCGCATGAGGCGGAGGTCAACTGCCTCGGCTTCAACCCCTTCAATGAGTTCGTGCTGGCAACCGGATCGGCCGACAAAACGGTGCGCGCTGCAACTTCGCTTCTGCCTTGCCGCATTTTGAGACACCTATTCAGCCACATTGTAGTCCTTGCTCCAATCATGGGCACTCCTACAGATGCTGGTCCAGCCTGTCTATGCATACCTTCCAACCAATGTGTGATCAATTTCTCGATGTCTCCATGGGCAGTTCTCTGCAACCAGCTCACTGCACAATGATACCTGCAAAATAGGCCCGGTCCACATGACAGTATTGTGACATTAGTAACTGGGAGCATGTCAACCATTACTAGGGGAGCATGGCGGTTTCTAGATATGGGCGCGACTCCCCTGCCGGTACGATTACTAAGGGGAGCATGTGGCGACATGTGCGCGCAGGTGGCGCTGCACGACCTGCGCAACCTGCGGCGGCCGCTGCACACGTTTGAGCACCACAACGAGGAGGTGTTCCAGATCGGGTGGAGCCCCAAGAACGAGACCATCCTCGCCTCATGCGGCGCCGACCGCCGCCTCATGGTCTGGGACCTCTCGCGCATCGGCGAGGAACAGGTGCGCCGTTGCATGCCTGCCCCTTATAAAGAAGACGCTGTTCTTATTCTCTTAAGGATCTTTCCCCAGGACCGAAGTGTCATGCTTGGTTTGGACCCTCTGGTATGGGGCTCTTGCTTCTTTGGCCTGCTGTGCACCGGCCTCTATGTGTGTGAGTTTTGCGCACAAGACCATGCCGCCCATCTGCATGGAAGTGGGAGCTGTTGTGCTCAGGCTTCCGTGTGTGGAATGTGTGCAACTCATGACACCCATCCGCATTGCAGTGAGAGCTGTCGTGCAGTGGCGGGTGAGGGTGCCCACACTCGCATCACAGTTTCTAGTCCTGGCTCAGGATTAGAAGCTCTGATGTCGTGTGAGTCCCCTCGTCCGGAAACAGCTCACACTGACACTGGCCTTTTGAGAGAGTGCCTGGGCCACGCCAGCCCCGCTTCAAAAACCTTGCATGAGGCAGGGTGCAAGACCATTCCATTGCCACTCCATTGCAATCAGTGGATGTTTCATGACTAAATTATGAAATCGAATTTGAAAAGAGATTTTTGAATTCGAATTTGAAAATAAATGATTGTGGGCACAGTCGCCGGAGGACGCGGAGGACGGCCCGCCTGAGCTGCTGTTCATCCACGGGGGCCATACCTCCAAGGTCTCTGACTTTGCCTGGAACCCCTCTGATGACTGGGTGGTCGCCTCAGTCGCTGAAGACAACATCCTCCAGGTCAGCACCTGCCTGCTACTTGCCCTCACTAATCAGATTTGAAACTCTTTGAATTTCTGTTCTTTTTTCCAGTTCCTTAGGAATACGCAAGCAATCATATTCCATTTATGACCGGAGATGGGCCACGGTGTTCTGTATGATCCAATTCAATACTGCTGCCGTCTGCTGTACAGGACTCTATCTCTAAAGACGAGTGATCACTGTTGCTGCAGGTGTGGCAGATGGCGGAGAACATTTACGAGGATGACTTCCCCACAACCGCTGCGGCAACATAGGAAGTTGCAAAAATTGCGAGGCTGAACAAGCCATAAGAACCATTACGCACCTATCACCAACGACCCAGTTGGAATATAGAACACCCCCGGATGCCTTCCGTTGTGTAGGCACAGAATAAAAGAAGTCTTGCTACAGCTCTTCAGTGGTGTTGTGTGAAGCGTGCGATCATGCTGGCTTGTGGGCCTCTTGCCACCTGTGTGATTGCAAAGGTTCTTTGTAAACGACTCAAGGATCCGCAGAAGACTGTGCGCCCAATCCCCGGCCATTATTTGCACTCATCCTTTATTTTGGAGCTGCGGTACAAGCCAGGCCTCTTTCATGCAAAGCGTAAGGCTGCTCATGCGTGTGCATAAAATCTCTTGCTCAGCGAAGTGTGTGCAATGCATGCCTATCCGTCATTCCACGATCTGATTTTTCCAAATATGATACACTTCATATAAGAATGGGAATGGCTGAGGGGAATGGCAATTGAAGACTGGCAATATTGCGCAAGGCCTCAATTGCAATGCTTTGTTCAATACAGTCACTAGTCACATGGTGCCAATGCCTCCTAGCTAGCAAGGCCACGGTCGTTTGAAACTGCATGCAGCACATTGGGCTCCTTTCAGGCAATGGCCAATCAAATAGAATTGTCTGGCTGCCTAGCGCAGGTGCAACTTCGTGAGGGATTGCAAAGCCATGCTAAACTGCAAGTCTCTGAGACTGAGTCAGCAATAAGGCATAAAATAAGTAAAAAATCACAGGGACTGCCCAAATGCACGCTCCCCAGCCCAGTGCTGTACAGGACATACAGCCCTGGGCTGTATGTAATACATATACAATACAAAAGAATCTAAAGCTGTCCCCCATACTGGAAATACAGAAGTATTTCACAGTCTTCCCATACTTCAAACGTAAACGTCTGCCGCAGCGGCGTTCAACAATTACAGACGACTTGATCACTCCTCAGCGTGGCCATTGGTGTGTCCATTCGTGTGTCCATTCGTGTGGCCGTTCGCATAGCCGTTGGTGTGCCCATTGGCAACGCCGTTTGCCTGCAGCACAATCTGTGCTCATCAGGATCTGATGGACAAACCAATGCAATGATCGTGCACAGAGGACGCAGCGGTACAGCTGCCAAATGAAGCAGCACATGACTATGTTGGCAAGCATCCGCGCAACGTACAAAGCTACTGATGTCTCCTATGCGCCCTGAGCTGCCTCTGGAACTGTAGAATCCCAAACAAGAGAGCAGAGCCCAAAAAACAGGGGTGCCTCTGCAAACCACTAAATATGGGTGCTGATTGGTCTACAGCTATGATGCAGATGCAAGAGGGCAGATTCCTACTCCCAATTCGGCCCATCCGGCACCAACGTGCAAGGGAGCCCCGTCTGAGGCTTTAGGGGCCAAAGCATGGCAAAGACAGCCCTCAGTGAAAGAGTCCGGCCCTCAGAGAAAGGGAGCGTCCGGCACGGTGTGAAAGGGAGTGTTTGGCGGTGGCTTAGCTGGAATCTCTTGAATGCCCCTCCCTTTGGCCCGTCCAATCTAGAGGGCCCATTTGGGACGGACAATGTCCCAATTGAAGTGGGTCACATCCTTGCTTTACTAATAGTCACCCTGCTGGATTGTGTGTTTGTGTTCTGCAGCACTGATGGGCACCTGGCCATTGGCGGCGCAGCAGGAGCCGGCGAGCTTGGATGCGGCGTTGACGGTGCGAGGCAGGTCGAGCGCCGGGTTGTGCTTGAAGAAGGAGACCGGCTTCAGGTGGAAGCCAACAGTCTCCACGGGCATCACCGGGAAATCCTCTGGGCGCACCAAATGCGTCGCGCCTGCGTGCACCGTTATTTCTTAGCAAACTGTCTCTTATGGTCATTGGTAAAACATGATTCCGGCCATCTGAGGCCAAAACCTTTCAGGCAGCACTGCAGAGAAACTGCTGCCAAGAATCCCCGCCCTTAATAAGTTCTAAAGATCATGCATGGTCTTGATTGCTGCAGCGCCGTGTTGATTGCAAGAAAAGGCTGGGTAAAATTGGCACGGTGGCCACCGTTTCAACGCTGTACTTATTTTCATGCTTTGAAAACATATTATGCCATAAGGCTGCTCCAGGGGCTGATGTCGCAAGTTGTTGTGCATTGGGGTTCTTGGGGCATGGTGGTATGGGCAAGGCTGTGGAAAGCGTGCAAGCATGGGTGACCATCAACAGAGTCATGATGGATGGGCTACTCACTGAAGACGTGCCACACGACCGGGTCGTTCCCACTGGCGATGGAGCGGCCCTGTGTCAGCATGCACACACATACACTCAGCGCAGGCGCCCAAGGACAAGTACACTCACAAGCACATTACTTGAGAGGAGCAGGCGGCCTCAATCACACCTGTCAAGGCTGAGCTTCACAAGGCATGCAGCTAAGCAAGGGAAACCCGCTTCCGCCTCTGAGAGAGTCAGTTTACGAACCATTGTACTGCTTCTGTATAACATTCACTCTCAAACGGCAGCCTATTCTCATATCTCTGGTGCTCGTGCTGCCTTGACATCCACAGTTTTCCCCCCTTTTTTCACCCCTCTTGCTTAGGATCCATTCGCAGTCAGGGGCCGCCTCAGGAATGCTCAATCAGTGGGTGCACCCTATTTTTAGGGGCTAGGGTCAACCCTGAACCGAAACAAAATAAAAAATATATATGCGGTGAGTCACCTTCTTGGTCCACTGGGAGAGGCCGCCGGTGGTGACATTCTGCATGGGGTAGTCTCCACCGGGGTACCTCTCGGCCTCGTCGTACGGCGTCACCCACAAGCTCTTTGTGGCGAAACTGGCGCGCTCGGCGGCGGTGCAGGTTGGCAGGCCCAGCAGCAGCTGCGTGTTGGCCGGCACCAGCTTGTACGACGCCGCGTGCCCTGCATGACAGATCCGACAATTTCACTCCCAGCCTTTCCACATTGATTCATCCGCTACTAAGATTTCTACCTTGGGCGCCTTACCTCCTCTCCGTCCTATAATGTATTTACATGGGGCGAGATCGCAAGGCAAAGGCTGTCACAAAACGCGCGACAGAGGGCAAAAGAGATCAGGGTGTTGACTGGCTGGGCCAGGGTTTCAGAAAAATTTGCCATACTTGATTCAAGATGGCACGGAAATCTCGTTTCTTGTTGGTGTTGCTAATTTCGCGTGGGTGGTTACAGTATCAAGCTGAGCGCTGGCTCCCAAACCAAACGTCGGGTATTGAAGTGGCTCTCAGCTGGTTGGAGGCCATGTGAATGACCAACTGACTGGACTGGCACAGGGGCGTGCAGGAGCGGAGGGCGTGCCTGAGTAGACGTGGCGCACGGCGGGGTTCTTGATCTTCCAGATGCGCGCCTTGGTGGAGTCGACGACGCGCGCCGCCTTGGCCTCGTTGGTCAGGTCCGTCTCCTGCTTCATGAAGGCGCTGCCCCACGGGTTGTCAGCACCCGCCGGCATCGACACCGTGTCCACCTGGAAAAGCACCACAAGATTTTATGTCGGGCCTTCCTCGCTAGATTTGGTGCTCGCACCAACTTTTGTGCATGCATTCTCTCCGAAATTGATGTCAGGTGGAGCAGATACAGGACAGACAGCCCTCCACATACAATACCCTGGGCCCCTTCCCAAACCCGTTAAAATAGTTCCCCAACCCCTTGACTAATGCTTGATTGATGGGAGCGGGGCAATCGAGGAGCCACACACCTCCATTTGCCAGCAGAGATACTCACAAGCGCCCGGAAGGCAGCAATCCAAGGGAAATGTTATAGTAATAAGGGAGCGATGGAGGAAACGCGCTTGACCAATGATATTTGATTTAGGGGCGAAGGAGGGAACGCGCCAGGCCAACTATACTTAATTGAAGAGTGAAGGAGGGAATGCGCCTGACCAAGGACATGAAACGACTGAGCGAGGGAGGGAACGCGCCTCGGACACGACCAGGCCGCGGCCGCCATCGGGATCGTCGACGGCCATGTCGAGGCGCGCGCAGAACAGATGCTGGTGATGAGCGGCCAAAACGTTGGGCAGCACGAGAGTGCCGAAGCGCGGATCCTCGGCGTCCTCAGGCGATGCGAGCGTGGTGGAGACCTCGCCTGTCAGCTTCACCTCATGCTGGATGGCCCCGTCCTGGCCAAAGTGCCAGTAGAAGCCGTACTCGTAATTGGCTGCGCGCAGCAGCACCAGAAAAGTGTCAGTCTTTCGGCACCCCTTGCATACTACTAATAAATCAAACTACTGATATTACTGAGCAAAAGCCGTGATATTGCATTTCACCAGAGCTAATATCGGCGTAGGGCCCCTGACGCAGGTTCCAGGACTTCAGTAAGCAATGGCAGCGTTCCTTGACGGGAGCTCAAAAGTGACTTTATATTGCAATCGATGCAACAGTAACGCACATGACAAGCTCATGGGAGCATGTGGGCTGATGGATCTCATGGGTAGCACAGAAGTCAGGAAGTAGAAGGTGCGGAGGGCAAGGGGATCTCACCCACGGTGGCGATGAACGAGATGACAAGTTTGCGGCCGCGGCGCACTTCAGGGTGCATCGTGCGCAGCTCGGTGTGCTTCCATATGATGCCCGCGTCCTCCTCGTGCACGCAGATTGCCTTCTTTATCACATACGGCTCACCTGCACCCCAAGAAGTGCAGAATCTCACCAGAACTGCACAGCCTCGTGACAAAGGCAAGGGTCTGCCCGGCAAGCATGCAATGCATGCATCCTGTCATTGATGCTGCAGAACAAAAACACACAATCCAGCAGGGTGACTGATAGTAGAGCAGGAGAGGAGGAACATGTGAAGACAAGCAGGAAGGGGCATCTAAGGATGGAATCCATCCTTTTGGGACAGGAGGTATCATGCTATCAAGACCACCCTCCCAAAGGTTTGTTCCCGCGGGGAGAAATGAGATGATGAGTGAGCAAAACCCCTGGGAACTTCTGCAGTTTCCCATAGACTTTTTTGGCGCAGGGTCAACAGTGACCAGTGCAGACAAGCTGCTCACGCACCTTGCCTCTAGCAGGAAAGGGTGTGATAAGAATAAGAGTATGGTGAAGAAGAACAATGATAAAGATTAGGATAATAATAATGTTTATAGTAATAGCGACCAATGCGGTGGTAAAGAGGTTGGGAGGCCCACCCTTGCTGTTGTTGAGCACGGCGTCGAAGTAGTGAATGTGGCCGAGGCAGTCGCAGCCCAGCTCCAGGCTATTAGTCAGCTGCCCAATGCCCACGTCCCCCAGGTCAAAAGCCAGCCTCCTGTGGTGCGGCTCCTGTTGCAGCAAGACACCCCCATGACTCACCCCTTGGACAATAACCCTGTCTTTCTACCAAATAGCAATAAATTTGTGAGCGACAGGACACTCAGCACATCAACTACCCTGATAATGCCAGTGACACGTAGAAGTGCCAGGCTTACAAAAACTCAGCTGCATGTTCCAGCATTCAACTTCTCAGGTCATGAACTTCTGGAATGTGATGAGCCTGATCAAGCTGGAGACAAGGAACTCCAATGAAATCTAGAGTCGAGCTGAATAACTTGAGGCTCAGGTGAGTCTCCTTGATCTAGGGTCTCCTGCCCTGGGAACTAGCTCAGCTGTCACTTTCAAATTTGGATTCCAACGTGCATTGGGGCCGCGCCTGGGCCTCGGCATAGGGGACGGCCATCTCGGCGATGGATGCGCGGTGCATGATTGGGCGCAGGCGGCCCTCGTCCTCATAGCCCACGTTGTGGAGCACCAGGCCCTCACGCCAGTTGAAGGACACGCGAATCTGCCACTTCTGCCACTTTACCAGGTTGCCCTCCACCTGTAACAGAGGACAGCCCACGTCAGGCCTGAGCCACAACCACATACTATTATTATTATTATTACACGCTTTTCCTGCCAGGTGGCAAGGTGCGTCCTGCAGACAGGCTGCAACTTATGGCTAACCCAATCCTACCCCTTGTTGAATTCGCCAGATCCAAGCAAGACCCAGTATAATTAACGCCCCCCGCAAGCCCGGGCCAAGCACATATCACCACGTCAGCCACTAGCACACGAGATGATTTACAGACCAAATGTCAAGCAAGAGCCAGCGGCATGGTAAGGAGAAGGGGCTGTACACACTGTCACGGTGTGCATGTCATCTTTATAGTGACCTCAAATAATCTGTCCTGATGGCGCAACAGACTGTAGTGCTCAGTTGGATTATAGGGTCAAGATATCAATCAAATCAATGTTTGTTGCTGCAACATAAGCATTCAGGCTGCAAACAGATCAATATATTGCAGCGATACCATGCCCAAATCCATTTTTCCAACCTTCTCCTTGAATGACCATCACACCATACATGGGGTTTAATTCTGCAGCACCCATGCTGAAAGCAGAGCAGGGTAGGCGAGCGCACAGAGAAGGAGGGGCCTTCGGGCTGCACGATGTCCAGCGGCTTGATGTCGGTGCGCGGCGGCACCTCGAGCACCCGGTGGTCGTAGTTGGAATTCATCTTGGGGAAGGGCGGCGTCCCCTTCCAGGCACACTCTATGCGCACCACCTGCACAGCACCGAAATTGCACTCACTGCTGAGCCACAAAACTTTGCACCCGCGGAAGCGGCAGCTGCTGCAAGAGCATTTTGACGCTCAAGACTGCCATGCCTCGGAAAGGTTCAACCAGAAAAATATCCTCAAAAGGGAGCCTGCAGCCTGCACAATGGAGTTGTGCTGCACCCTTGTGAGCATAAGAGTGTGTTACTTGGCTAGGACAGAAATCTTGTGGGGGTTAGGCGGATGGATTCTGGATGTATGGGAGTGCTGCAAACTTCACCACTGCCGTGCATTCTTGCAAGGCAGTACTTCCTCCTTTGCTCAGACGGCTGCACATATGATTGGATGGCATCGTGGCAGGATCGTTAATTGCCGTGGGTCTTACAGCCCTTCCTTCTCCACTCAGAGGATTGCGCAAAGGGGTAAAGGACAGTGTGGCTTGACTGGCAGTGGCCTTTCCTCATCCACTCAGGGGGCTGAACAAATGGGTGCAAGGAAGGTATAGTGAGCGCACCGTGCGGGTCTCCACATCCAAGATTGGCACCCAGGGCAGCGGGTGCGCGTACTGGTTGTCCTCCGCGCACGAGCGCCAGTACATCAGCCCCATGAACATGCGGTGCTCCGAGCCCATCTCGCGATCCACCGGGTGGACTGCGCACACACTCCTCAATTCACCCCTCACTCACTATGCAGACACTTCACTAGACACTTGCTTCAATAGACACCTGCGTACTATGGCAGGACCGCACACTAGCCCCTCACTTCTAATACCAGACAACTCATCTTCAGCACCGAGCCCATCATGCAGGACTGCGCACAACACCGAATGGCCCTCACGTGTCATGCCAGGCAAGTCATCTCAACACCTCAATGCTATGGCGAGACTGCAGACACGCACACGCTAGTTTGTGCCAACACTTCATTGTGAAAGCCTGGCTGTACTCTGGAAGAGGTCTGTAATAATGCAGGCGGTTGCAGGGAGAAAATGGAAGCGCACTTGGCCAGGTGTCGACTGCCACCTCGTCCATGTCATCGATGCCAAAGTCCTTGCAGAGCGCCTGCAGCTTCGCGTCAGACTTGAACAGCGTCTCGCCGACCTCATAGAAGTCATCGTAGATGATCGCAACTTGCACTCCTTCCACCTGTCAGATGTAGTAATTGTCAGTTACGGACTGTTTGCCGATGTAAGCTGTCAGACATGGCAACAGTCCACTTGGGAGTGGTGGCCTATTTCAACGGGGATGCAACACTTACAAATATTTCTGCAACAGTGTGTGAGGCAGCACATGGTTTTTCATATTATGCATGGGAGACTTGTGCCCACTGTCTTGTAGGAGACAACAGATCCCTCCTCCAGGTTGAGCTCCATCTCGATGGGGTACGACTTGGGTGGCTTGGTCATGGTAACCGAAGCCATGCGGGTCGGATATTTGCCATCGCGCTCGAAAGCCAATTGCTCCGCTTTGAACGGCTCCTGCAAGTGAGGAACTGGATGAGCACAACATACGTGGAGGCAGTCATAAAAGCACGTTACCTCTACAGCACTCATAAAATTTCTAAGGCTTGTTTTACTTCTCGACATACTTCAAAGACCTCAGCATGAAGGTGAAAGCGGTTCGGGCTCGAGCAGATGCCGTCTTCGAGGGTTTCAATGGCTTCCAATACTTGAGCAAATTTTCTTATAAAACAAATAACGGCGAGCAAATAACAACATCCTCAGCAACGCACTGACCTTCAACGTGATAGTGTTGAACCGGTGAGGCTCGAGGCCCTTTTCGACAACATAGGCACGGCAGATTGCAGCTGCAGCTACGACCTCCTCGGCGCTCAAGGGGTCCAAAGGATGCGGTGCTGCGCGCTTAGACAATTTTACACCTATGAGAACAAAAGAAATTACTCGAACAGCGGATGAAGGTGTCCATCTGCAGGAATATGAGACGCAGATCCGCACCTGTCGCCATTTTCACCCAATGCGCAGATTTGAAGCTGATCTAATTCGAAAATTTCCACATACCAGTCAGAAACAGCACTCAATCGACAATTGATACTCTGAGAGCTCCGCAATGCGACTCATTCATGAGAAAGCCTGTAGAGCGTCAAATCACGCCGGTCACGTGGACGTTTACGTATTCCAGCTCCCGAATTTGTCTTCAGGTCAACTCCCCTGAAGGGGAGGGTGGCACGCTTATAGTCCAGCGCTCCACCGTGCATTTTATTGGCCCCAAATTCTGTGTACAGCGCAGCTCCGACACAAGACTACTCGAGTCCAAGTAGCTAAGGGCACATGGCGGCTGTCGACCAGTGATCGTCCTGTGTTCCAGCAATACTTTTCTTGGACACGTCGCTTGATGATGGGCCCTTGCACTGCTGCAACATTCGATTTGATCCCTGTGCAAACTCAAAAAATCGCTTGAGCGAGCGTCATCTGTGCGCGAATGACGGAGCATATCACTCATCCACACCTCAAACTAGACTTTAGATCGTGTGCTGATTGCCTGTGCCCACATCTGGGTCAGGCATTAAAATTAGGCATTAATAGATGACCATTTCTCTTTACCAGTCACATATCCAACGACGATCTTTACCCTGCACTATGATGCAAAGAAGTAAGTCTGCCGGAAAGCAGCCTGCACGACCTGGGTATGTACCCCTGCCATCTCAGGACCCTGCCTCAGGGCCAGGGCCATCGCTGAGCAGGAAAGTCTCCCCTGGGCCTGATTTGCAGCGGCGCCAGATGGCTGCCAAACGCACATTAGCGCCTGGCCAGGTATATGCAGGAACATGGTTTGGCATACCTGGAACTGAGAGCTTGGAATCTATTGGATATGCATGGTCTCTATGAATTAGGTGTAAATTGCCCTGCTGTATGCAGCCCGCGCCTGGAGCCAGGTCAAAGGAGAAGTTTGTCTCGCTCCCTGAAGAGCTTGAAGAGCTCGAGCTGCCGCCTCCTCAGCTGGAAGTTCCCCCTTCCTTGTTCGAGGTGAATTCCCCATAATCGCCAGTCTCTTCAACACGTTTCTTCTATCATTCTCTTCTGCAGGACCTCTTGACAACTCCAGCTTGGAAGTGTGCAGTCCACTGTTAATGTGCTGGGGGGTGCATGAGCAGGACTTGAATATCAATGACCGGATATCGACGGCCCCGAAGCAGAGAATAAGCGTGTACTGCATAGCGGAGAGCCTGGATCGCAAGATGCTGGAGAAGAAACTGGAGGCCAGGGGGCCCAGGTGGCTTGTCAGCAGATATCCTGATGTCCTGTATGGCCAGTACTCCTCTCTGGAGTCAGAACAACCGACAGGGGACATCTTCTATTTTGACTACGGCTGTGTCTCCTTCTGGAATCTCACACCCAAGCAGGTGTGCTTTTCCTGTAGTCCTTTTGCTGATATGGGCTTAGAACCTGGCTTTCGCAGTGTCCACAGTATGGCTTCAGAATGTTATTTCTGAAGCTCCTTGCATGTGGGCCAGGAGCAAGATGTGCTCAAAAACCTGGTGGTGCCGTGCGAAGTGGACCCCTTGCCAGTCAGGGAGGTAGAAATCGACGAGTTTGATGTCAAGTACACAGCCAACGAGGGAGGTGGCCACATCCAGAACGACACCATCACTCTCAATTACAGGCTATCTGGTGCGCCTGCTATACCCTCTCCTTATGCACCAACACTTCATCTTTTTGCGAATATGTCATGTCTGACTTGGACAAGTCTGGATGATGCATTGTGCTGATGTGACCGCAGGTGATCACTCCATCAAGCTGTCCATTTCGTACGCGCTGTCGCAGTCGACAAAGCTCTGTGTTTTCGAGGAGCGGGTGCTCGAGATTGTAGCCTCCACCAAGGACCTACCTGAGTCCCTGGCTTCCACCGGTACACCTCCAGTCTTGCTCTGTCCATTACCATGCATTCAGCCCCTGCCCAATGTACAGAACTGGCAAGTGTTGTGCTGACTGGACCATGTGCTTTATTCACAGGCAAGGTCACCATGTCCAGGAAAGCCATCGCCCAGCTGATCGGCAAGGTGCGCCCATCCTATTCGATCCTCCTCCTCAGCTGCATGTTCTGAACGCACTTCATTAGGTCATCATTAGTCGCCGCAGTGTTGCAGAAGTAAGCACCGGGATGCCTTGCTTCTACCCATCCTGTTGCATCCATCGTGCCTCGCCAATGAAGACTCCATACACGTGCCACGGTGTGGTCCATAGATGGGGAAACTCTGAGGAAACGCCGGCTTTGGGAGTTGAATGGCCGACCCGAAACGCAGCTCCTCAGCGGATGTCAGGGCAAAGCAGCAGGCTTGTATGAAGTGTTGGCTGGGGTGTGTGGCAGGTATTCATCCAGCGCGCGGCGGTGAATTTGCTGAGCACGGTTCTGGACACGCCGGAGTTCTTCTGGAGCGCGCCGGACATCATGCAGACGCTGTACAAACGCATCTGCGAGTACATGGAGCTCGATGACCGCGTTGAAGTCCTCAACAACCGCTTCTCGGTGCGCGCCCCTCCTCACCTTCCTTTTCCCCCCAACGTAAAAGCATAACATGACAATTGTTGATGCCGATCCAAGTTGCACGCGGTGTTTGTATTTACTCCTTTTCATGCAAAGCTAGGTACTGGAATGCAGTGGCCTGGTTTCTGAAGATTGGAGCCCCAGGGCGCGTAGTGAACTGTGATAGTGGCTTGCTTGTGGGTGATGAGTTCAGGAATCTAGAAGCTATTTTCCTGCAGCCCAGGGCTTCTGGCTTAGGCTGGTCTTGCTTGGTTGGGTGAGATTGCCTTGAGGTTCAGGAAGAGATAGGGCTGCTTGATCTATGTATGAAGCACTCCAGTAGGAGGGGGCAGTCGAGGAAGGGGCAGTCAGGCGGGGTGCATGTGTGTGGGAGTCAGGCGGGCGCCCTCTCACATGGCAGGTGTGGGAGCAGGTGCTGCACGACATGCTGGAGCTAGTCAGCGATGTGAACGAGACCTCGCATGCCTCCTACCTGGAATGGATTGTCATCTGGCTCATCCTCATCTGTGCTGTCATTGGCGTCTTTGAAGTCCTAGGCACGCTCGGCATCGTCGGGCCCGGCCACCATTTCCCTTAGTAAGCCCTCGGCGACCCCCGTCCCGGTGGGTCAGGGGGGTCTATGTCTAGATGTAGATCCCCCTGGGTGCGTGATATAGGGGGTGGATGAGCTAATAGAGCTGGGAGGGTGAAGGGGTGATGAGGCGTTGGCGGTTGGTTTCTGACCCTCGCGCCGCGTGCGCGTAGGTGCTGGGAGAAATGCTCGACATGTTGCGAACCCACCAGAACAACAGCCACACTGCGCGGCTGGAGTGGATTGTGATCTGGCTCATTGTCATTGAGATCGTGATTGGCGTCTTTGAGTGCGCCTCCATCCTCGGGTGGATTGGACACCCTGTGTAGCCGGCAGCCGTGCCTTGCAGTGATAACCTCCGAGACATGGAGCATGCAAGACACTGCCTTTAAGCCCTGCATGCTTTCATGCTGCTTGCCACTTGGATGGTGGGTAGGCAGTGTAATGTCCATTATCTGCTGCAGCGCCGGCCACAGCCTTAGTAGCGTGAATAATCGTTGTTTTGACTCCCTTATGGGTCAAGGCCTTATTTAGCTGGAGCAGCTTTGAGACTCCTTGGCCTAGTGTCATGATCTATTTGATTACCATATGTAATGTATGAGTAAATTGTGGTCTTGCGCCTGCTGGAGGAGAGCTCTTCTAAACAACTGTCCACATGCTTGGCCGTGCCTGCCGTTATTTCAACTTTTCATGTGATATCAAGCCCAGTAATGATCCAAGCATTCTGGACTGTACCTGCGAAGCATCTGCCCATCCCTGAGCTCCAAGTTGTACTGCAAGTAAATCCATGTTCTTGCTTACTCCAAATTAATTAATGACGTGCTGCTTGTGTTATACTCATTAATGCTCGTTCAGCCAACAATGCTGGCCAACACTATTCTGATCTAAGAACGCTTGAGAGCATTTTTGAGATGGACACAACTCTCGCTTCATTGCACAAGGGCTAAAGCCTGTCGACACGCCACGCTCTCTTCACTCCCATCTCAACCAGGCCAGTTTATGCTTCGGGCATTGCCTGCCGCATTCGAACACGGTGGACACCAGTGCCGGACTTCGAGATGTTCACTGCATTAGAACTTCTCTTGACTCGCAGACTTCCTGCTCCATTGATGTTGCAAGAATGTGTCCCGAAGCGGTTACGAGAAACAGTCACGGAACCTCCGAATTGATTATGAGAAGAGAGGCTACCGCCGAGTCCAAATTGCCGAAGGGTCAGCCCGCAGATGCAAAAACCAAAAGCTTCTTTGCTGTGTTTTGCTTCCAGAGCTATTGGCTACAAGTATCTGGCTTGCAATCTTGGTGCTCGATTCGTCTGTTTGTGCAGCATCCAGAAGTTGGCGATGGCGCCCCGTGCTGCTTTCGCCCGTACAAGCAGGCAAAATGGCTCTGCAGCGTCACAAACCCAGTGCTGCAGAAGGTTGGCAGAATGTGAGGTTGCTCTAGCCGAGGCGCAGAGCATCATCCAGGTCACACAAGCTGCCCTCTACCAAAGCAACAACGAAGTCGCCAAGCTGCAGGCTGCGCTGTCAAACAGTGATGTGCTGATCAGAGACCTCCGTCGTGGCAATGCGGTCCATTGCAGAGACCTCTCCATTTGCCAGGCCCGCCTCCGCCAGCGAACCCAAAGAGCCGCTGAGGCGGAGGCCGTGCTTGGCGACTACGTGAAGGCGCTTGTTGCGTGCCAAACCAAGGTGAGCTCGGACCGTCAGGGATCTCCAGAAGATGCATTGTGCAGTGGTAGATTCATTTGACACCCGTAGATGGCGCCGCCAAGGAGGCCTGACCACCTTGAAAAATCCGTTTTTTGGCCTGATCCTTGATCTACTTGTGCAGCTCCTGGTGGCGGAGAAGCTGCGCGAAGCACAGGACTCTCCACCCATCCAGAGTCCACGCTGCCCGGCAGAATTCCCGGAGGTGAGGTCCACGCAATTCTCTCCTGTGGCACGCAAGCTTTTGTACTGATATGGCCTTCTTCACTGCCGCCAAACTTGAAGCAGGCTGCTCGATCTATCAGGCGCTAGAGGTTGTCTTTGGTGCTGCATGGAAGGGTTCGGTGTGCAAAGCTGATGAGAGGCTGTGCTGGCGCAGTCGGATGAGGAAGTGGAGGAAGCACCGGCGACAGATGTCCCGGCTGCAGAGGTGCAGGAGCCCCCGGTGGTGGAAGAGGAGGGATTCCAGGCATTAACACAGTCTGTGGAGACAACACAGGCTCCTGACGGGCTGCTGGAAGTGCCAGCACAACCTGCAGCCACAGAAGGTGAACAGGTGAGAGCCCACGCCTGGATTTGAGCTTGCATCTGGCAGTGAAGAGTTGACCTGCATTGAAGGTGGGTCCGGTGCTGGTGCTTGCATGTGGCTGTCTTGCAGTGAGTCGTGCGATGACATACGCTGGTGACACCGCTTACATGTCTGTGGATGTGTTGTGCAGACTCACGACTCGCCGCTGCCGCCCTCGACCCTGAATCTGGCCCCTTCACAGGCGTGTGAGCATGCAGCCACAGAACAACCAGGCCTGGATCAATCTCCACCGCGCGCTCCCACGACAGCCGCGCTGCCCCCGAGTTCCAGGCTGCTGGAATCCTCTCCAGAGTGTGAGCCCCGCACTGCCGCGCGGCCAGGTAGCGCCGGCCTCTGCACCTCTCCAGAGCAGCACATCGCTGCAGAAGAGCTCCCCTTCAGCCTGGGCCTCCACGATGCAGCACAGCACCCACCCGCTGCTGATCAGCTATCAACCACCCTGGGCCTCTGTGCAGCACCAGAGCAGCACATCGCTGCAGAAGAGCTCCCCTTCAGCCTGGGCCTCTACGATGCAGCACAGCACCCACCCGCTGCTGTTCAGCTACCAAACACCCTGGGCCTCTGTGCAGCACCAGAGCAGCACGTCGCTGCAGAAGAGCTCCCCTTCAGCCTGGGCCTCTACGATGCAGCACAGCACCCACCCGCTGCTGTTCAGTTACCAAACACCCTGGGCCTCTGTGCAGCACCAGAGCAGCACGTCGCTGCAGAAGAGCTCCCCTCCAGCCTGGGCCTCTACGATGCAGCACAGCACCCACCCGCTGCTGTTCAGCTACCAAACACCCTGGGCCTCTGTGCAGCACCAGAGCACACCGCTGCAGAAGAGCTCCCCTTCAGCCTGGGCCTCTACGATGCAGCACAGCACCCGCCCGCTGCTGTTGAGCTACCAACCACCCTGGGCCTCTGTGCAGCACCAGAGCAGCACATCGCTGCAGAAGAGCTCCCCTTCAGCCTGGGCCTCTACGATGCAGCACAGCACCCACCTGCTGCTGTTCAGCTATTCACCACCCTGGGCCTCTGTGCAGCACCAGAGCAGCACATCGCTGCAGCAGAGCTCCCCCCGAGCCTGGGCCTCTGCGCACCTGCAGTGCACGAGGAAGCCTCTGCCGAGCTGCCTGACACGCTCAGCCTCTCCCCTTCTTCGATGGGTCATTCTGCTGCCCACGAGCTTCCTTCTACCCTGGGACTGTGTGCATCCACACAGCGTCAGCCGGCTGCTGCCTCGCTGTCATTGCCTGGCTGCAGTGACATCCCCACACGACCCGCGCCTTCCCTGCCGGTGAGCTCCATGCAACCCCCTCGCTGGATTCTCGATGCAAGCGAAGTGAGAGGAAGGAATGTCCTGCATGTTGCAGCCCTGTTCAGCTCGCCTTATTAAGGTGCCTGACAGGAGGCTGAGTGCTGGCCGGCTTTGCATGCGTTGGGAAGTGTCGGATCATAAGCTGATCAGCGTGTGTGATGGTGCAGTCATATGAAGGACAGGAGGAAGACCTGCATGGAGAAAATGACAACCTGAGATTCAATCTCCACAACGCCAACCTGCAGAAGGAGCTTGCACAGGCCGACAGGGAAAGACTGGTGAGCCCACGTCCACTTGACTGCCCCATTCCCTGGCTGGCCGATGCTGTGTACAGTAGCGCCAGAGACGCTTGATGCGCCTGTTGCTGCTGATGTCAGCAAGCCAAAATAGGACATGCACTAGAGTTGCAAGAGCGTGTGTGTGTTACCACTGCTTGACGTACTAGTACAAATCGTGCGCTGTCGTGCAGGCCAAGGAGAATGCGCAGCTCAAGGCCGATCATGACCGGCGCAAGGGAATGCTGGCCAACACACAACAGCTGCCCGTCCTCCCACCGGTAAGGGCCTGGATTCATCTGTTCTGTTGCCATTAGCCCAAAAGCACTAGCAGCCCCACCTGGAGTGCTGCAAGAGCGTGGACTGCTTCTGATTGATCTGCACAATGGTGCTCATCAATTGCCTGTCGCAGCTTGCTGAGAAATGTCAGCAGGAGTAGATCACTCCTCCGTGTGTCATCTTCGTACCATGAGGCAGGACCATCTCACTGGTGTTGCCAAAGCAATTTCCAAGATGTCATGCTGGGCGCTGACCCTGGAAATAAGAGTCAGGCGTGAGTCAGTCCTTAGGTGATATGACTGATTGAATGGTTAATCCTGCGCTGTGCACTGCAGTGCGCACAGAGCGGTGTGGAGTGGCGGCACGTGGCTAAGGGCGGCTACGGGGCCGTAAAGAGGGGCTGCCTGCCCGTAGCAATGAAGATGGCCCTTGCGGGCCAGCAGGACGTCCTCATATACGAGGCAAAGGCAATGATGAGAATGAATCATCCGCACATCCTGCGGCCGCTAGTCTTGCTGGAGGACGAGGAGGGGCTGCAGGGCATGGTGATGGAGTGGTTTGGGAAGGGCGATCTGCACACTATCTCCAGGTGCGCGCAAGCCCATTCTCGGTGGCCCTTGTGTCATTGAGTCTGGCCGGTGGCATGTGCAGCTGCCTAACTACTTCCTGTTGGCATGCACCTTGCATGTGTGTCATGAGCATGCAGCGCACCGTGTTTCCAAACGTGTGCCCTCTCCCTGTGTTTCAGAAGGAAGGCCCTCTTCTAGAGCAGGATGCACTGAGGTCGCCTGACAGCACATGCTGAGAGCTGCTGTTCTGTAGGCGTGGTACCGACCGCGCCACGCTGCCGCTACAGCAGCAGCTGCACTACATCGTACAGGCCTGCGACGGGATGATACATGCAAACGGCATGGGCATCTTCAACTACGACATTAAGCCGGAGAATGTGTTTATTCGCAAGGACGACAGCATCGTCATGGGCGACTGGGGCCTGGCTGTATACTGCGAGAAGCCCGTCAGCTTCAGGTGCGGACCCCCCCCTCTCCTTGCATGCAGATAGGCACATGCCGCCAGCTGTCGCCCCACTTCCGTCTGCGCCATAATTGGTACCTATACTCTGCGCTGTGCTGACACTTCGATGCATCTAAGGGGATAGGATGAATCTCGTGTCTGTGAATCCCTACACAGCTCTTTTTTGCGCAAGCAAGGCGGCATCTTGGGTGGGTTGTAACCCTGGCTGAGCAAAGCAAAGTGATGTTTTGTCGGCTGCGCGCGCAGGGGCACGGTGGGCTACACGATGCCCGAGGCCATCGACCCGGCGCATAAAGTCACCGGTGGCGACATGGACGCGTACGCCATCGCCGCGGTGGGGGCGTCACTGCTCTCCGGCAAGCACAGATTCTTTCAGCTGAAGGCGCTGTACGAGCAGCTGCCGGAGAGTGAGGTGACGCGCGTGCGTGAGGCGCTGCGGAAGGCCGGCCACATTCTGACCTGCGAGCACCGGCAGTTCGCGATGGCGCAGTATATGGGCTTCATCACTCTGGTGCGCCTGCCTCTTGCTTTCCTGTTCCCTTGCCTGCCTGCAAGATCATCACCTGAGATTGCAGATTTCTATACTGCAGCGAAGTCTGGTTAGAGACATGCTGTGGCTGTGATGCTTGCTTGGCAGACTCTTCCTGCCCACCATCTTCAATACTGCTGCAGTCGTTTGATTTCAGGCTGCCAGTGATGACCCTTTCCTTGTAGGCCCCAGGGAAGCCGGTTGTTGATGGGGAATGTCCTGACCTGAGTTGCTGGCATTGCAGGCGGTCCAGTCACCGCGGCAGCTGCCGCCCTGCGCCGACAAGTGGATCCAGCACATGACCGCGGCGCTGGCACCTGTGAAGGACCCTGCCTCGAGGAGCAGCTTCAGCCTGGAACACACTCGGCGCATCGCCATGGAATGCCTGGCAGAGCTGCAGAAGGACGGGAAGGAGGGCTGGCGCGGGCTGTACAAGGCAAAGGCGGCCGCACCCGCCCCGACCGCCGCCCCGGCCGCAGCCGCCGCCCCGGCCGCGGATGCCATCAGTGTTGCCACCCTCCCACAGGGCATCCTGGGCAGCCTGTGCAGGCTCGTTGGCTGAGCTGACAGGGCCCTGGCAATCGCTGCATTTCTTTCTATCTCAGACTGCCACGCATAGGAGGGCAGCGCTCAGGTTTACTCAGCTTACGTCAGCCTGATGAGCTGGCGCAGCACGGTGACTCACAATGGGCAGGCTGAAGCTGCCCATAATGAAGAGACCTCAGATGCTGGCAGATCAGCTTCTTTTTTAGTCACAGCAGGAAGATCGTATGCGCAGCAGTGTTCAGTGTTGTACAGCTGCAGTCTTTAATTGCCTGCACAGTGGGCAGGGGGCCTAAACGTTGCTCATTGTATTGAAGCGGCCACACATGGTTCAGTCTCCATGTTTTCTATTTACAAGACCTCACAGCTTGTTGGGAGCGCTCGAGTTTGAGCTGTCAAAGAGTTCGGCCTTTGATATTTTTCAGGTTTCCTGTTGACGTCTGGAACCGTTGGCTGGTTTTCTGTCTGTTGGGGCATCAGGTTGGGAGATGAGTGCCTTTGAGTTGCTGCATTCAATTTGAGATCAAGCCAGCAATGTCCTGTGCTGTTGCATGTTGAGCTGGGAAGCGGTTGGATCGGGCTGGCAAGATGGATGGCATTGCTCAGACGAGAGGCAGTATTAATCTGCCGCTTTTAAGTTTAAGACAATGCAAGTACTGCAGGACCGTATGTCTCGAGGCCTGAACATGTGTGAAACAATGCCCGGAATATCAACAACTGTGGGCAGACAATTGCATCAAAAGGAGGTTGATTGGAAACACTGAAAGCTGTTGAACGCAGTGCCATGGCAAGCAACTAATGACCATTGGTTGATGAAACACCAGCAACATGTAATCACCCATTTCAGACCGGTCTTCACACAAAGCCTTTCGTTGAGTGCCATCTGTGTGCTTCTCAGCTTGCACATGGCAGCATAACACTTTGTTGAGACTGTCTTGAGATCGTCCTACACCACCAATTCCAACAGCCTCCATATGCATAAGGTTGCACTTCAGCAGTTAGCATTGGCATCCGGATCCATCCATCAGGCAACACCTCTGTAGCGGCCTCTATCTGGCGCAACAAGAGCACCCTGTGCTGCTGTATCATCTGCTGCATGCACCTCCAGTGGAAAGTATTTGCCCCCCAGTGGGCAGCTCCTGGTGCTGCCTAGACCTCAGCCGAAGCACCTGTCCCTGTCACACGAGAAAGATCTTCCCAAGGGAGCAGACAGCAGTTGGAAGCTGCCATCCTTGGCAAGCACTGTACCTGGCAATGGGATCGGCTGATGGATTCACATGGGTCGTGGGTCCTTGCACATCTGTTGCAGGGTGATGGGCAATGCTGCTTGCTGCACAAATCGACATGGGCTCACTGGTGAACAGGAGGCAAGGCAATATTGATTGACATTAATGCAGGGCGCGCTGGCAGATGAGCACCTGATTTTTGTCACGGCGCAGGTGCAGAGTACAGCCTTGATGTCGCCAATCAATCATTGATCCCTCTCGTTCTCCTCCTGCACAGGCGTTCGTATGATATGTTTTTGTCTCTGTCACCAAGCACCAGATCCGATAGCGTGCACAATCGATGAGCTGGCACAGACACGTTCTTGCGCATGCCTGACCTCAAAAATTTTGTTATTTTAATTAGCTCACAGAGATCTTTGCACAAGAGATAACATTGGTGCATGTGCCGCACAGCAGCAAGTTGAGACCAGGAATGAATAATGCTCAGCGCTGACAAACATGCAGCTGACAATTGGGTTGTGTCATAAGGTCAAAGATGCACCAGAATACGCATGCAGAGGCTGCGGTGTATAATGATGTCGGGTCAAGACATTAAGGAGCCCAGAGTGGACATGTTGGAAGCAAAGTAGGTAACCAGACAGAGCAAGCCTTGCTTGGAAGCCTTTACATGTTGATCCAGCAACGGGGTGAAAATCATCCCCGAGACACAGAAAATTCTGCTAGATAGAAAGGGCAATCATTATACCGATGGAGTGTATTCTGCAACATGTAAGACTTGCTTCATCCCTTTGCTTCAACAGGCATTGATTCGCATAGTAAAAAATACAGCCTCTTGCCACTGGCAACTACCTATCTTAATGGGATCCTCAAGGGTCAAGTGATACAAATAATTGCCATGGCGAGGCTTCAGCTGTTAAGGCTTCTGCATTGCAACCCAAGGTGGCCACCATATGTTCCGCAACACATGCCAGCCTTTAACTGCCCGGACGAGCCTTGCATGCCTCGCCCCTCCTGCCCTGACGAGCTTTTTCACGCAATCCAACAAATAAATACGCACACCACGACCCATACAGCACAACGCAGCTCAGCCCAACTCTCAACTTGACAGTTGAACGGCTGCATCGCCAACATGTGCCATGATGCCTGCGCCCTCTGCTCCCACGCATCAATGCAGCGCGGCAACGGGCAGTGTGCTAGCAGGCACTGCATTCGTCCCAAAAAAAGAGCGCAGCACCATTGAGCAGCCTCACATGGTAGCATCAGCCCTGCAGGATTTCGCCCACCACTGACAGGAACACCTGTTCTAGCGTGGGCATGGACAGGCCGTACGCCTGCACTCCAAGATCTGCCTTTGCAGCCTCCATCGCCCGAAACACCCGCGCCATCGACTGTGCAGCATGAAACACAGCACCACTCAGTCAAGCTGACACCAGACCATTCATTTCTGCAGAGACAGGCCTTTCCAGGACCTCATAGCACCAGTATGGGACCTGCTGGCACTGCAGCTCTCGAGGAAAGCTGCACAAGATTTGACTGCATGCTCCAGTGGGTCTTGTTGACCCCTGCCCCAGGGAATCTATGCGCCAGCAGGTCTTACCAAGGCAGGCAAGATCAGGGCACCGATGCCCGTGAAGCGATGCAGATAGATCACTAATGGGGTCAGTAACATAGGAGTGTCATTAGTCACCTGGCCGCACGCGGGCAGCCGGAACTTGGCGCGGCCGAAGTGGCGGTCCTCGGTCTCCTCGCCGCCGAGCTCGCGCGCCACGTAGGCGGCCAGCCGAGCCTGCGCCGCGTCATCATCCGCAGCGTGCACCTCCAGTAGATAGCCGCCGCCGAAGCGCAGCTTCAGGTGCGAGCTTGAGCCCAGGCACCGCAGCCGCCCCTGCCACAGCGCATGGACTCAGCTCAGAATCAACCAGGAATGGGCTGAACCCAATATGGCAAAATTCAGGATGAAGTTTGGTGCACAGCTTCATGAGCACATCGCGACAGCTTCTCCTCAGGCTGTCGCGCACAGTCACCCTGTGGTGTTTGTCAGCAGCACTTGTTGCCAAGCCCTCAAGAACAGTACAAGACACCGGGAAAAAAAATGACAAGGCCGAGTGCGGGTGAACACCTGGTGCATGATGCCGACGCGGGTGCAGAGGGCCTCGCACTCCTCCATGCTGTGAGTGGTCAGCACCACAGCCAAGCCGTCTGACTTGGCACCGCCGACGAATGCGCCATCGCGTTTACCAGTGGCCTCTATGATGAAGCTCCACATCGCCCTCCGCGCGCCGGGGTCCTGTCACAGCACTCAGCGCTCAGCCTAAAAAATAAAGGAAGGATGCAAGCAGAGGCTTCTCGAGAAATCCCAGCACACTGTGATTCCTAATTTGTAAAAATTTTGTTTTTCTGACGTCAGGGAGTACAATGGCAGCTCAGGCACACTGCTGCATACAGCCTCCATGAAGGGTGCATCTGTGACATTTGAACCTCCTGGCAATCTCAAGGCCTTCAAATCTTTCTTCTACAGAAGCAAGTTTGCTGGACCACAGTATGACAGGCTCATACTTATGTCATGATTACTAAGAACAAAAATTCCCAAGCTTGTGAAGGCTCACCATGCCAGACGAGGGCTCGTCCAGGAGAACGGCGTCGACGCCGCCAACGAGTGCGATGCCGAGCGCGAGCTTTCGCCGGCTGCCGCCGCTGTACTCCCCGGCCGGGCGCGCCGCCATCTCAGCCGGCAGCGCCACGCGCGTCAGCACCCGCGCCACCTCAGCCGCCACCTCACCCTCCGCCACCCCCTGCACAAACCACCCAATACTAAAACACAAGATTGATGAGCACACGTTGATCTTTGGCACGGCTAGGAGAGAGCAGGAACTCTCCGGATTTGAGAATTTGCGCAGCATCTGCTTTAGGTGAGTCGTGTCGTATGTCAAGCAGAACACACAATTCGGAGCCTGCAGAAGCTGGTATCATGGACAGAGCGGGTGACAGGTGGACAACAGGTGTCAAGATCTGGGCCGTGCCTTGAGACGGGCGTAGAGGGAGAGGTGTTCGCGCGCGGAGAGCAGCTCTAGCAGAGGGTCCTGCTGCGGGCAGAAACCCAGCAGCGCGCGGCCGGTCGCAGCGCCTTCGCCCATCACGCTCATGCCGTTGACAAGTGCGTCACCGCCGGTCGCGCGCGCCCGCCCCGTCAGCAGCGCCAGCGTCGTCGTCTTGCCTGTGAGCGTGCAAAGAGAGCGATTCGACAAGGGGATATTTGATGAGTTCCATAGCGTTACAGGCTCAGGCATGCAACATCACGTGATCAATTTCTTAATAGAGGGCAAAGATTTTGTGGATATCCCTTGTGCATACAGAAATAGCTGGAGAACATGCATTTCCTTGTAAAAGACAAAAAGGAGGTAATTTTGGTTTTTGCAGGCCAATGTGGCGTTGTGATGGCACGCGGGGAAGCAAGGCAGGCAGTGTGTTGGGAGGTGAACCTGCTCCGTTGGGACCCAGCAGGCCAAAGCGCTCCCCAGGAGGCACTCCCAGGCACAGATCGTGCACCGCCACCTGTGTGCATGGACACCAAGGAATGAGCAAGATCCCTTTTACAGCTCAAACATAATCTGCACATGCCGGCAACAAAATTGGATGCAGCCGAATGAGGTTCAGCCAGGCAGGCCCATCAATCGATAAAATATCAACAGCGGATTTGTCCCTTTTCTATACTGGTGCTAGCCACCTTGGGAGGTTCGCCCTCGTAGACCTTGCGCAGGTTGCGCAGGCACAGGCTGTCCCCCCTGGCTCCGCCTGTCGTGACGCGTTCCCTCTCTGCTGCCACGTCATCATCCTCCCTCACACCCGCCCCCGCCCCCTCCTCCGCAGCCTGCCACAAGCATGACCAAAAACCTCAGACACCACGAAAATCAGCAAAGTGTTTTTCATCCGATATTGTTCCGCAGCTTGCAAGATATCTAGTGGGGATCGATGGCTAAAGTGGCAGACTTGACAAGGACTTCTAATGCGGGATGGTAATATATGCTCACGGATTTAAAAATCGGTCGCACCTGCACGGCAAGGACCAGGGCCTGTGCTTCCTCATCCCACTGCTCTGGTGCGGCCCCTGCAGCAGCCCCATTTGCAGCCGCGCCCTCCATGTCGGTCATCTGCACAGCCCTATTCCCCTCCCCAACATGCACATACTCCCCACTGCCGTCCCGCCCCCTCAACAGGTTCTTGAACTGGCGCCTGCCTACTCCCACCGCCCTGCACACAAGGGACCATACCCCTCAGCTCTGCATGCCAGCGTCTGCACAGGTACAGACCCACCGATGAGATATAATGGAGGTCATCAAAGCGAAGTACCCAAGGAATGATGCCATGAGCAAGGCATTCCACGCTCTGCAGATGATGAAGCATTCCAGTGGCACAGAACGTGCCAGGAGCTGGTGCAGGGGCAGCAACATTTTCTTTGTCAACAGTGGCCGGAGAGAAGGTGCCAGGAGAAAGGTGCCCACCAGAACGTGTAAGAGCGGAGGGTGGAGCAGAGGGATGTGCCATGGCGATTGTTATGATCCAGCCACAGCGCCAGAGCGAAATAGAAGAACGCCTCCAGGACCAGCAGTGTTAGAGGGCGTCCCAGTGTGTCCCAGTCCACCACCCTCCCATAGTCCAGATCCATCTGGCCTCCTGTGCAAGTCAGCAGCTTCCCATAAGCTGAGGCAACAGGCATTCCATCATGTGAGCCATTTAGCAGCAAGGCCGCCTTGTCAGCTGCCACTGGTAGTGATTTGAGCATCTCATGTTTCCTGTTGCAAAAACATGCCAAGCCAACAAATTATCAAGTCAACATTGGTCTGCTCGATGGTGCTGAATGGTGCTCAATTGATATACTCCCAACCCGCCTGTGGTCTGCTGCATGGCGGAGTCCGAGGCGGCCGTCCCGTCACCGGCCGGCATATCCGCGCCAAAGCGCGCGCGTGCGAGGTCCTTCTCGAAGTTGAAGCGGGTGAGCTCAATCAGCCCCTCGCCCAGCAGGAATGGCGGCTGCACGCGGAAGATGTGCACCAGCACGGCCTGCAGCGCCTGCGTCTTGGGGATGAGCCGCATCACGTACGAGCCAGTCACCGCCACAAAGCCCAGCGTGAATGACAGCGCCGCCACCGAAACCTGTACCACACAAAAGTCTCCTGTAGTGCTCAAAGTAACCCCACAATAAGTACTATTTTTGCGCCTGCTGTATGATTATATGACAGGTTATCAAGTGCAGGAGGTTGACTGCCGGATTCAGAAAAAAGCTTTGTTGCAGCCCAAAAAGCCCACTGTCCCAGTGAAGTGGGCCTATTTTGGGGTTGCGGAAAGCCGAAACAACAGCTTTTGAGCGTGCAGGAAAACCTGGAATCCTGTTCAATAAATGGGTTTTGAGAAAGTGGGTGACTTAGTTTGAGCGCTACATCATCAGCCGCTTGTAATTCGTCCATACTGCGTACATTCATTGGCTGTGGCATGCTGTAAGTTGGCTGCGGCAAACTGTCCACACAAAAAACATCACTGGTTTCAAGGCGTTTGCAATATGCTTGCAATGGTCTCCCATAAACGCTGAAAGTCTCTCAAGCCACAGACAAACAGCCATGGAGGAGACCATCGGAAGCACTGCCTTGCCAGGAGGAAAAGCGGCAAACAAATTTGCAACCACTTGGCCAAGGAGACTCTTCCTGGTGCCATGCTGGAGTGGACTGCAAAAACGCCAAACAGAGTTTCTTGGGGCTTTTAAAAGCAAATTGTCGTGCAAAGAGGCTGTGGAGCAGGGCGCAGTCCTGTCAGGTCCAAGTAAGTTGCCAGTATGTATGATAGATGCACCCGGTCTTTGCTTTGTGTTTAGGAATAGCATTTGGGGGCGTGCCTGAGCCGCGGAGGGGGAGGAGAAGGAGAAGGAGTAGCAGTAGACGAGCGGGATGACGGCTGCGCCATAAGCAAGAAGCAGGGCGAAGGTGCCAAGCGCCTGCTCCACGCTGCCCACCGTTGCGCGATCGCCGTACGCCGCAAAAACCCCCAGCGAGAGCAGCGCCACAACCACATATGTACCCATGTCCCACACCTGCATTTAGATGAATGGGTTGATTCTTCATCTGTGCAGACAGGTTTTCTAGTAGCAAGGGAAGCAAGCCCGATAAATGATTTCTTTGCCACGCATTGCCGGGACGAGAGATTCCGTTTGAAGGGGCTTCTCACCCTGGCAATGCAAGGCAGAAAACACATCAATGGGGCTTGTGGGTTTCCACTGTATCTGGCTGATATCCATGATGGACGTGTGATACCAAGGACACAATCGAGGTGTGCGGTGCAGGCTCACAGACGCTCTCACGAGGCTTCATGCAGAAACAAGCCTTGAAATTGACTCATTCCTCCATTACTTCATTTTCACTTCATTCACTGAGGTTTATTTTCATTCATTCATTCATTCATTCATTCATTCATTCATTCATTCATTCATTCATTCATTCATTCATTCTCATTATTACACAGCTTGATGCCAAAACAAGCCTTAAATTCAGAAAGAAGGAGCGGGGATTTGGGGTCTCACGTAGGTGCCGGCCCAGTAGATGAGGGGCGGGCAGCCGGAGAGCAGCTGCAGGTGGTGCGCCTGCGACGCCTCCTCCACTACCGGGCTGATGGCAAACGCACCGCTCAGGTAGCATAGCGGCACCAGCACAAACAGCGCCGCCAACACCTGCACAACTCATCATATCACAACACATTTCTGCACATATCTTAGGCTAGACTGCATCCCTGCCTTCACATTGCTTGCCCTGTGAGGAGCTGTAATTTCTGTTCAGCTTGCGCTCCGATGTAGACATGCTGGGAAGGCGTTTCCAGGTCAGCTTCTCTGGACACATGAAGAGGCAACTATATGAAGCAATCAAGCAAAGGGTCAATAATATGGAGAATCAATCATAATAATAACCATCATATCACATGACTGTAGCATATGAAGAATCAAGGACGGAGGCGGATGCAGGCCTCACCGTGAGCAGGCTGTCCAGTTTGACAGACTCCTCGGAGGACAGAGGCAGCGGATGCGACTTGACCGTGAAGGCCGGGGCGACCGCGCTGGCGTTGCCTGTCCTGGCCACCTCCAGGGCCCCCAGCGAGCCGTGCAGCCCCGACAGCAGCGCCGGCAGCGAGTGGTAGCTGGACGAGTTGTGCAGCAGCATCACCCCTGCGCATCAAAGATAGCATCCTGTCATCCTTCACCATAAGCCTGCCTGTGCATTGCCCATATTCAAGCATCGTTTTGCTGCCACATTTAGCTTCCATTTAAAATCCTTCTTACACACACTGCTGGGCGTTATCGTGCCCAGTCTCCCTTGACCCTGTGATGGGGTCCCGTCACTTTAGCTTGGCATGAGAGGATCAAGTGCTCTATTGCAATCTGTCAGAGGTGAATGATACTAGCAGAGAGACCAGGCATACAATCATCATCATCCATGCACGCCCTCCCATTACACATGTGGTTCTCAGCCAGCAAAGGTATTATGTATCATTACTCATATTAATAATATCATTTATCTTGTTTCTTCTGTTGAACTTATGCTCAATCTTTGAACAATTGATAAATTATGTTTTTCCTATTTTGCGCTTTTCCTGCGGAAAGAAGAATGCAGACTTAAAGTGGAGGCTGTGGGAATCGACGGACCTGGGTGGTCCTGGAAGCGCCTGATCAGGCGCGAGACAACTCGGCTCTCAGGCGTGCTCAGCTGGGGAAGCAGCCCGGCGCCCAGCTGCCCGCTGCCCGCTGTGGGCAGCCTGGCGGGCAGGAAGCTGCCCAGAAGGGGCAGCATGTTCAGCAGCTGCCCCGTGCCCACATTGCTGATGCTTTGATTGAGATCACGCAGCGCGTCGGGAATGTGGCGGATAACGGGGTCGTCAAAAACGAGCGCCCCGTACTGCGCGGCCGCCCCCGCCGCCTTGTCTTTGAGCAGCTGCTGCGACAGCTGCATGCTGTCGTTGGCCGCCGTCGGCCTGAACCGCATCAGACGCACTCAGCTTTAACCTCCTCACAATGTTATTTGAAGAGTTCAAATCGTCCCGCGATGCCTCCCCCTCTGAATGTCCTGACCGGAAGAGGAGGTGCACCAGCCGAGCAGCTAGCACTTTGCCTCCTCTGCATGCACGAATTGACCGGGAAGGGAGGAACACACGACAAGCAAACATATCACTGCCGCTACTGCAAGCAAAAGCTGCAAGTGACGGTGCGTGCCTGAAGTGCAGGGCGCTTCCGCAGGGGCCCGTGTCAGGCCGGTCGCTGGGCGCGCCCTTTATAATACAGGGGGCGAGGCCGAGAGGCGCGTTGGCGACGATGACAGGGTCTCGCTGCAGCATGGAGGTGAAGTCGAGGGTGATGGTGGGCGAGGAGGGATCAATGTTGACCTTCAGGATGGCCAGCACGAGGCAGATGGCTGCCACCGGCAGCAGCAGCTGGAACAGCATCCCCTTCTTGTCCCGCCCTGCGCAGGTCAGCCGGTCCAGTCAGCATGTTGCTACATTGGTTGAATACACGGTCGAATGCCATGTCAGCACTGTGCGTGACTTGGACACTGATGTGACTTCGAAATCACATTACAGCTGTCAACCCAGGTACATTGCCTGTGCTCGCTTGTGAGGAAGGCTCTGAAGCCTTCTTTAAAAAAGCTCAAAGTAACCCTGTCATCCCTGGAGCTGACTTCACAACTCAAAGGGGCACCCATGGTGTTTGCAACAGGAGGGGAGGGCATGAGGCATCAGCAGTCTTACCGGCGATGATGGCGCGCTTGCGCAGCATTTCCCTGAAGGCCACGCACGCGCGTTCCCTCCTCCCCCGCTGCTTCGGCGCAGGGTCATGCAGCGGCACCTCCTCCAGCACTTCCTCTATACAGTGCACCTCCCCGGTCCCATTCACGCTCACACCTGCAGCCGCGCAATCCGCTGTAGTACGCACCGCACTCGCCCCTGCATCCTCTCCCTTGCCCGCCGCCTCCTCAGCAGTTCCTGTCAAAGGGGTGTCCTGGTTGCGCTGCCTGCTGGTGCCGGCCACCTGGCTGCTCCTCTCCGGAGTCTTGGCGCTCGGCTGATCGCCGTCTGCCTCCTCCCCAGCCGCCAGCACGGACGACAGCGCCTCAGCTGAGTCATCCCTGCTGATCGGCAGCGGCGCCGACGGGCCCTCGGCTTCCTCGGCTGCGCCCGCCTCTCCCCCGTTGCGCGATGCCGGCCGGCTACCGCAAGCTTCCACGCCTGCACCGCTCCCATCGCTGCTAGCTGGTGATTGAGTCAACCCTGCCTGCCCGCTGTTACCTGCCGCCAAAGAACCAGCGCTATCGGGAGAGGTGCTGGACTGGGATTGTTTGGTTTGCGGTGTCAGCGTAATTTCGCAGCGGCCGTCAGCGGCGGCGGAGTCGGCGGCGGAGGGATTGCCGTCGCGCTGGTGGGACTCGGCGGTGCAGCGCAGGAAGACTTCCTCGAGCGTGGGCATGGACACCGCGTAGTGTGTCACCCCCAGCTCACCGCTGCGCGCCTCCAGCGCCTCCAGCATGTCTGCAAAACGTCCCCTCCACTCCATTGGCAGCTGGTACACCTGCGTTCAAGGAAACAAGAGCACGCTTGTCAGGAAGACAGTGTCGCACAAAAAGCCTGCAAAACCAGGCTAAGGCTTTTTGTGAGCGGGCTCCCTACAAAACGAGTAAGGGATGGCTCTGCCTGCCCAAAACCATACCCTTGAGAGGAAGTGGTAATGAGCATTCCTTTCACGCGTGCTGAGGCGCATGCACTGTGGCAGATTTTTCAATTACCGCACTGGATGTAATGATGGAGGTCTTGGAAGTGTGTGCGCACCAGCTCTGACCCAGAAGACCGCAGGATCTGGGCGCTCGGGGCATGGCTTGTGAGGAGGCTGTGAATCCCTGCCTTGTCTGGCGGCGCGTCCGCCCTCAACGAAGTGTTCATGGTGAGTGTGTACCTGGAAACAGCAGTGTTACGTCACTGAGACAACAAGTCTTGTGCAACTACCGAGAAAATCATATCGGCAAAGGGGAGATAGAGGCAAGAAGTGGTGCCCGCAGCGGCCGCGAGGCCCATCGACCCTGATGGGTTTGTTGCTGATCACCCTTAGTTTCATTCATCACCCCATCTCTCAGGGGTATTTATTCCATTATGTTACTATATCTATTCCATCACAGCAACTGATCTCTAAGGCAATCGCCCTGAAATCGATTGGCCGGAAATCAACAGAGCCAGAAAGCTCACCCGCTGCTGTATTGCTGCTTGAGGAGAAGGGAAGGCCCCCAGCACTGCAGCCGCCCCTCAGCCATGATGGCCACGCTGTCAGACAGCAGGTCGGCCTCGTCCATGAAGTGCGTGGTCAGCAGCATGGCCCGCCCCTTCTTGTACTTGGACAGGATGCTCCACAGCGCCCTCCTCGACGACGGATCCACTCCGCTTGTAGGCTCATCTGTCCCACAGTTCCAATCAGTGTCAACATGGCTTTCAGAGCCTTGACTGCCTGCTCTGCATGTGGGAGAATTGGACAGGGCAAGACTGTCCATTAGACATTTGAGGTGGCTCGGGTGGCTCCAATAGGTCCCCATAATGAAGCGATAGATGTACATCAAAAAGAATGGCAGCACTGCTTATGAAGGCTGCTCACCAAGGAGGACGACTTTGGAGCTGCCAAGGAGGGCGAGTGCAACCTGCAGCTTGCGCTTCATGCCACCGGAGAGAGCGTTTGCCTTGCAATCCCTCTTGTCCTGCAAACCCACCGCCTGCATGCAGAAGATATCTACCCATCAGCATCAATCATAGCTATTCAAACATAATCTCTGAAGCCTGGGATCCACTCCAACAGGCACCATATCCAAACAAAGCAGTCATGTAGTAGACATATGGTCAAGGGCATTGCAAGGCTGTCTAACAAAGCTCTCCATGTCTCTGCTGTAGAACCTGGCATGTTTTCTTTACTGGCACACACGCGAGCGTCCGGCAGGGTTTATTTGATTAGGAAACAATCAGTCACCTCGATGATCTGGGCGCTGGCAGCGTCAGCAGCCTGGCTGAAGGCGCCGCCGGAGAGGCCCTTGATGGCGCAGAAGAGCAGCAGGTGCTCCCACACGGTCAGGCTGCCAAAGAGCACGTTCGCCTGCGGGCAGTAGCCGATGTGCTGCCGCGCGTGCGCCGCCGCCCGCATCACGTCGTGACCCATCACCGTGCAGCCGCCCGCCGTCGGCCGCAGCAGCCCCGTCAGCATTCCCACCGCTGTCGTTTTCCCTGCGCGCAGAGTGCAATGCAGATATTATCATGGTGATTGGAGCAGCACACTGTGGCCGAGGGTGCCACAGGCTTTCGTGGCCTGTGAGAGCAAGGCCGAGAGACCCTTGCCAAGGATGCGTACTTGCTTGTCCTTGGCAAGGGTACCGGCATGCTGTTTGCAAGACTAGCTTCAGCCAGAAACAGCCAATATAGCTCCGGTGCAAAGGAGGAACATGGGCATGCCATGGTGGGGGAAAAAGGAGGGAATCAAGCAATGCGCACCGGCTCCGTTGTGACCCAGCAGGGCTGTGACCTCGCCCATGCGCAGGTGGAGTGACAGGTTGTGGACTGCCACATGCTGGCCATACACCTGCAGATAGCAGACCATTTTCCTCGGTATCAGCCCTTACACTGCCCTTATGCATCCGCCCTTGAGCACCATATCCCTAAATCTGACAAGGTGAAGGAAAAATACGAGCACATTCAAGCTTCTCTAAAGAGAGACTGCTTGGGCAGGGGAGGCCAGATCACCTTGCGCAGATTGGTCATCTGGGCCAACGTGGGGGGGCCCACAGCAGCGCCATCTGAGCCAGAACCATTGCCTGCCTCAACATCCGCAGGCGGCCTCATCCCCATGTCTGTGTTGTCCCCTTCCAGATCCACCTGCATTCCACAGCGTACACATTTATATTCTAAGACACTCTTAAGCGCCCATAGCACGCACCCCTCACACTGTACAGACACGTGCACAGTGTCATGAGTAGTTTGTGCTTGAGCACCTGCTGGTAAGACAATGCCTCCTCCCGGTCACGATTCAGCCGCAGGAGCTGTTTGACACTAGTTAGTGATTGTTTCAGGGCAGCAGCCACGTTGAGGTTGTCCTCCACATCCCCCGTGGCCCAGTAGGAGTGGCTGCATGGGAACCACCACGGCAGCCTCGGCCCGTACGGCGACGGCAGCACCTTCTCAAGATACCTGCACATGCAAACGTGATGCTAGATCCGACCTTGTCACTCGCCTTCTGAATTCCGACACAACAAGAAAATGCAACTTCTTCCGGTCAGCATTGGACTTCGGCAAGCACAGAGACGATAAAATACAGCAGAGGGTTTGACATCCTTTTCCTTTCATACACCACAAGAAGTGTCAGGGTCAATTGCCAGTTACAGGGAATCATGCTCTACTTACATGTCAAAGTTTTTTATATTCGCAAAAAAAAGTCCCCTGTAACATGCGTTTGCAATGCCACATCTCTTTCAGTCTTCAATTTATTCAGCCCAACTCACCAGGCCAGCAGGGAGTAGAGCTTGACATCTGCGGCCAGCATGAAGAGGATGGCGCCCATGGGGAAAGGGTCGCTCCACATGTTGGACCAGTGCAGCCCCTGGCCGGACCCCTCGTACTCGCCAATCAAGTCCGCCGCAAAGGTGAACGCCGATGGGCTCAGAAAGCTCACAAACACCTTGCCCACCACGGCCTGCCACACAACAGACAGTATCTTCAGCGCCTAAATTGCAGCCATCCGCTCATTATGTGTATTCTGCCCCCAGAGCTAAAGCCTCGGCACATGCTGCTGCGCGGAGAATTGCTGACATTCAGGAGGAACATTGTTGCAATTGATAGCACCTTGGGACTCATCATGAACAACTCTCCTGTGGCCCGCCGGATTACGACTCAGCGGGTGACGATCCTGCTGCGTTTGCTGTACTCCATGCTGGTAGTGTGCCTTTGATCTACAAAGGAATTCTCACACACCTGTGCCTACTTTCTCACCAGATGTTTTCTATTAAGCTTCAGACATGCATCAGCACAGTCGCAAGAAAGACCGGTTTTTTGCATTGGTCTGCCAGCTAATACTTTTTGCCGGAAGGCATGGCTCCTGCATTGCAAGAAGGGTCTCAAAAACAGCAGACAGCCCACCTGAGGGGCTTCTACGCGGAAGAAGATGTAGCGCGGCAGCAGGCAGGCGAAGTGTGCGAGCGGTGCCACGATGCCGGCAATCTTGGCGTTGTTGAAGAAGGCAGCCACCATGAGGCCAAATGCCAGCTCGCTGGCGGCGAAAAAGGCAAAGAGGATGAAGAGCAGGACTGGATCCGTGTGTCGCAGGAATGAGGTGCAGCAGACGATAGTAACCGCCACGCAGATGACCAGCAGGATGACCGCGTATGTGATCATCCAGGCCGCGTGCAGCACCCAGCCTGCCAGCAAAACACATGACCTTGGTCAACTCCTGGAGACCTTCTTCTTTAACGCCTTCTTCACTTCTTTTCTTTCATTGTCCCAAGTTGGGATGATATCTTGCACTGTCTCTCAGTGTTGCAGAATGACAGCAGGGGGAGCGCACCCTGCAGCCCCATGATACACATGGTCTCCTTGAGGCGGCGCTCGCGCTCCTCCACCACTCCGCGCACCAGCATGCTCAGCGGGTACACCAGGCTCAGGGACATGAGCAGGCCCAGCATGGGCCCCACAGCGTCGTAGAAGTCATTGTGCACATACTCGGCTGTTGGAAACACGCCGCCCCACGCCGTCCAAGCCTGCGGCGCGGCCGGGGCCGGGGACGGCGAGTCGCCGGAGCCGGTATCCAGGCTGGCCTCCAGCGAGGCGGGCAGGCCGAGGGTGTACGCGTCGATCGCCGACTGCAGCGAGAGAAAGCCCGAGGTGTAGTACTCCTGCATGGCAGAAAATACCCTTTACTTTCTACTGCAGCAGACAGCCCACAGTGTGACATCCCTCCACTCCTGATACAACGCTTGAACACTCGATTCATGGCCTCGCATGCAATATTTTGCTGCAACAAAAGGACACTATGTGGAAGGACAAGGATCTTCTCAACTTGGCAGAGTAATAAGTGACGGCTGGCGTGAGTTGTTCTGGGAAGTGAGGAACCACTGTGTGGGAGTGGTGCTGACCTTGTAGTGTATGGACACGTCATGCCTCCAGCGATTGATAGGCACCCACGTCCGCGGCACGGTGGTGAAATTCATCCTGATCGTGTAGTCTGCAGCGTGGTAGCACATTTGTCAAGCTTCACAAGCATGAAAAGCATCAAAAGCTCTCTTCAGATATGCTTTGCATATACAATGCATGGGCAGAGATGGACACATACCAGAGCCGACGGCGGACGGCCCGCTGTTGAAGACAACCAGGGCCCAGAGACGCTCAGTCTCGCTGGCTACATAATCCTCCGCATCGCTCTCAGTCCTGCATTTGTGCACCATGACACTTTGTGACCCAAAACGCTGTGATGACGCCGTTCTGTCAGATACAAGTGCTACCATGCCACGCTTCAGAAAAGCAGAGCCGGGCAGCTCGTGGGCAGCTTTGTAAGGGATACCTGAACACGCCATGGAACACGTCTGCGAAAAGCTCGTGGGAGCGGCGCAGGTGCGCAGCCAGCTGTAGCACCTCGGGCGTTGCAGGAGCAAACGCCAACTTTCCCATATCCACCAGATTACCTGCCATGACACTCATTCAATCAAGCAGCATTTCAGGGCCACCAAACCCTTCAAGACTGTTGGATACCACTGCAACTGCAGAGAGGAAGGTGAGCATTTGTGGAGGAGATTGAGTGGGGCTCACCGAGCACATTCCACCCAAAGCTGCGCTTGGCTCCTCGCAGCAGCCCCAGGATGCTGGGATCGGATTGCACCGCTGTCTGCAGCACCTTGTGGAGCAGTACGAACTCATCCAGCGTCGGCACCGGTATCGGCCTGCACACACACCAGGCACACTTTGAGATTATCTTCGTATGAAGTTGATCTTTGTGGTGCTGACTGCACACACATGCAGGTGCGTTCGTGACAAGGAGAATTTGGGGCTCTCGAGGAAGCATATGCATGTCTGTGGGGTGCACAAAACGCGGCCGACGCGCACCCGTTGCTGTCAATGAAGGCTTGGAGCAGCTTCACGGCCGCGCTGCTGAGGGCGGCGGTGGTGCTGGAGGTGTCAGCAGTGCTGACCTCACCCAGGCAGCTCTCCACCGCCGCCACATCAGCGGCGCTCGGCTGCCAGCCTGCGCCGCCCACTTTTCCGGCCGCTGCCATGCTATGCAGCAGATCCGAACAGTTGCTGCGGAGCGCCGGCGCATGCTGGAAAGGGGCTGTAAGGTTGCGGAGCGCATCTGCTGTCTCCTCCACGTAGATCTTGGCCGGGAAGTGATCCGGCGTCACTTGGGTGTATGCGATCACCTGTGCCAACCTTGGACCGTGAGCTGACTCACTTTTGCAAGCAGAGCAGCCATCAAATGCAACTCCGTATGCTGCAGTGTACAAGAGACATCTTCCGTACAAATACAAATGCATATTAGCTGCATGGACCGCACCAAGAGACTGATGAGAACGATTGGGGATAGCAGCTCCACGATTGTGCTGGCAAGGGACCTCCTCTTCAGCAAGTACTGCCTCCATAAAAGCGCCTGGCACATTCATCCAGGGTCAACACCCAGCAATGAGTAGGGCCAAGGACAGGGAAGGTGCAAGAAGTAGGGACCCAGAATGGTGCGGTTCAGGAACTACTGGGCATCAACAGACATTCAGGAATTTAAACACCTTAAGTTGCAAGACTCCCAGTCGCCAGCCAGGATCCTCTCTTTCCCATTCGTCCTCCATCAGGACCTTGCAGTTCCATGACTACATAGATGGCTGTTGGAAGACATGGAAATGATCTTCTTCAACGCATCGCCCGATGTGCAGCGGAGATACTGTATCCCAGATGCGAGGTATGCATTATCAAAAGAGGGATCCGATCGTGTCAAAACAAAAGACTAGTACAAGAACATTAGTAAGCGCGCCCTCGATGTCTTTTGTGCTCGTGTCGCGAGGACTTGTTAAATAACTTTTGATTCGTATGTATAACGACCACAGTCGTCCTGATCCTAGAGATCGTGTCTCAATTCCAATGGAAATTGACAGTTTCGTAGCTAGCTTCCAGCAGTAGCGATTAGTAACCCTAGGGCCTTGGCCCTCACGGATCGGCGATGTACGCTTGGGGCGCGACCAACGCTCAGTTTACGGAAACGCTTCAATTCTCAATCAAGAAGTCTTTGGATCCGGCGTTTTTACATAAGTACGGGATTGCGTAGCTTATGATAAACTTGAGCGATTGGATCTGCTCTCGCTTGTGCTGAGTGCATTCATTCAGATGTTTTTGCGATTCGCGATCAAGCTCACTGGTCTCGGCTCCAACAAATTGTCAACTTCATCGCTGAGCCATGCAGCATTGAAGACCTATACTGCAGCCTATAGCACAGGTAGCGAGCATGCAAATATTCTCCTGTTCCCTCAATCTTTGTCTCAGTATCCTCAGGTGAAGGATTGCTATCACTGAAGTTGCGTTTTGCTTGACTGCAGATGCGGGCCAGGAACAGGACACTCTCGTCTGGCCTCCGCCAGGAACTGCTGTGGAAGAGAATTCAGCGTTGCGGCATTTGCTGATGGCTCAGGAGGCCAGGGAAACGAGGGAGCAGGAACAGCGCGATATGGATCGCATCCAGAGTGGATCTGAAGCTCAAGGCAGTGGCCATGCACACCAGCATGACGCCCAGAGCGCTTTAAAAGCAGTGCATGATGCCCTGAAACAAAGATCCAACCTCGAGGGGCCCATTCAGTCTTCTAAGGACCTGTCGGACCTGAGGGTGCGCCATGCCCTCATTGGAAGATTATACTGTTTCCGTGTCAGCCCCGAACACCAAACAGAGGGGTGACAAGCTGTGTTGGTGCAGATTGTGGATATCCGGCCCATCCTGGCTCAAGTAGGAATGAAGACCTCTGGACCCAAGCCACTTCTGATTGATCGCCTGTGGTCAGCCATCCTGGAGGAACGCTCAACAAGCCAACCTGGTGCACAGCACAGGCAAGCAAAGCACTCCATGCATGTGCACCTCCTGTGGTCTGCATGTCTCAATGTGAAATGTGCTGCCTGTTAGTGCAGCTTACCTCCTGTTGATGATGCAGCAGGTGGGAGGACGAACTCCTGGAATCAGGAGAGACCAACACTGTGCATCCATATGCGCATGTTGTCACTGGCGAAGAGGTCTGCCTCGTGCGCTTATTGCCATTATCCTCGTGAGCATTCTTGATAATAATTCCCACTGTATTGAACGAGACAACAGGGGATTACCAGGATTTTTCCTGAATGACACTCCATGGACGTAGGTAGCTGAGATGCTGAGAGAAGCAAAGACAGACGATGTGCGTGTGCTGGATGTGCGGCAGAGGGACTGTGACTTCACGGATGAATTTGTGATTGCCACTGCCCGGTCCAAACTCCATGCACAAACTGCTGCGCAAGCAATTGTCTACCAGGTGAGCCTGCCCTTTTTCTCCTAGACTTCCTGATTTGCAAGGCGTCTCAGATTGGCTTTGCCCTTTGAGTATCTGTTTTTAGCCAAATGTATCAAGAAAGAGCTGCTTCCAGCAATGAGTGATTTCTTGGTGCAGCAGCAACTTTTTCTGGTTTGTCATCTTTAAGTGTTGTGCTCGTTCTGCAAGTGCTAATTGGGGTGCTTCGTGTGCACAGCTGAAGCAGCGGTGCAAAGAGGTGGCACCAGGGATTGTCCCATCTGTGGAAGGATTGGGGACTGACTCTTCTTCCAACTCTCAGTGGCTAGTGGTGGATTGTGGGAGTGTAGTGGCACATGTGTTTGAGGAGGGCGCCCGGGAACTGTATGATTTGGACAGTATGTGGGGTGGTCAGTCAATGTCCCTGGAAGCTGCTTAGGCTATCATGTTAGGTAACGTGTGCCAGCACCTCTTTTCCAGCAGGTACTAGCTGACAGCTGTCAGCCACGTGACCAGGCAGGGAACGTGTCTGTGAGGTACATTTGAGCTCAGTGACACAAGCAGAGGGTGAGGCATGCCTGTCAAAATCATGAGACACTAATTGGCAAAATCAACAGACTTCTGTGCACCCGCGCTGCGACAGACAGTGGGCGACCTTCTGCTACAAGATGATGTGTTGCTGGGCCTCTTGGTGGTGAAGAATACTGGTGTAATGATGGTTGTAAATTGTGTGGAGGTTCTCACACGTGCTGGTGCCTCGAGTGGACTTGAGAAGCTTCATCTTGCTTCTAGCACCAGTATACATCCCATTCATCAATTGATGCATTGCATTGGACACCTGTCCATTCCCTTCAATGCTATGCAACCCCGGTCATTTGATTTCCAATTGTTCTGCCTTGAGATTTTGGTTAATCTGCCCAAAGCACCCTCCGTACTTCCTGTGTGTTGGTGTCATATATGCTGTTTGTGCATGCCCAAATGCCGGACTGCCTCTAGACTGAGCAGCACCAACCACACATAAAATCCGACGTGATGTCTCTAAATGTATTAAATGTCATACAATATGGCGAGACACTGGCTTCTGCTTGCAGGCATACTGCCTGGTGCAACTCCTTCCAACCCTTCTCCAACAACAGAACAATGACGTACAATTGTGCTGGCTCAACCTCCAGCATTCCAATAATACAGCAACCTCCAGCATTCCAAAAAAACAGCAACCTCAAAGGCAACCAACGGGCAGACAACATGCAGCCGCCCAGTCAAGTACAGGCAGCATGCAAATGTATCGGTACAACCTTTACAACACTGCGCTCAACATTGTGGCAAAGCTGATTTGCCGGCATCTCAACGTCCTAAAGGTTTTAAAACCCCCTCCATGAGGACCCTTCACGCATTCCGCCCAGAGTGAGTCACCCGGGCAGCGCCCAGTCATCAGGCTGACTTAGCTGCAATTTGCCATCCCATGCTTGGCAGTCTAAGATACAAGAAATGCAGCGGTTGCCAGGGCCCTGTCAGCTCAGCCGATGAGCCTGCACAGGCTGTCCAGGAAGCCCTGTGGGAGGTTGGCAACACTGGAGGCTGCGGCTGGTGCGGCCTGTGCGGCCGGGGCGGCGGTCGGGGCGGGTGCGGCCGCCTTAGCCTTGTACAGCCCGCGCCAGCCCTCCTTCCCGTCCTTCTTCAGCTCTGCCAGGCATTCCATGGCGACGCGCCGAGTGTGTTCCAGGCTGAAGCTGCTCCTCGAGGCTGGGTCCTTCACAGGTGCCAGCGCCGCGGTCATGTGCTGGATCCACTTGTCGGCGCAGGGCGGCAGCTGCCGCGGTGACTGGACCGCCTGCAATGCCAGCAACTCAGGTCAGGACATTCCCCATCAACAACCGGCTTCCCTGGGGCCTACAAGGAAAGGGTCATCACTGGCAGCCTGAAATCAAACGACTGCAGCAGTATTGAAGATGGTGGGCAGGAAGAGTCTGCCAAGCAAGCATCACAGCCACAGCATGTCTCTAACCAGACTTCGCTGCAGTATCAAAAATTGCAGTCTCAGGTGATGATCTTGCAGGCAGGCAAGGGGAGAGGAAAGCAAGATGGAGGCGCACCAGAGCGATGAAGCCCATATACTGCGCCATCGCGAGCTGCCGGTGCTTGCAGGTCAGATTGTGGCCGGCCTTCCCCAGCGCCTCACGCACGCGCGTCACCTCACTCTCCGGCAGCTGCACGTACAGCGCCTCCAGCTGAAAGAATCTGTGCTTGCCGGAGAGCAGTGACGCCCCCACCGCGGCGATGGCGTACGCGTCCATGTCGCCACCGGTGACTTTGTGCGCCGGGTCGATGGCCTCGGGCATCGTGTAGCCCACCGTGCCCCTGCGCGCGCAGCCGACAAAACATCACTTTGCTTTCCTCAGCCGGTGCCACAACCCACCCAAGCTGCCGCCTTGCTCGCGCAGAAAGAGCTGTCATGGGGTTCACAGACACAAGACTCATCCTATCCCCTAAGATGCATCTAAGTGTCAGCACAGCGCAGAGTATAGGTACCAATTGTGGTAAGGCGACAGCTGGCGGCATGTGCCTAATTGCATGCAAGGAGAGGGGGGGAGGGGGGTGGGGGGTCCGCACCTGAAGCTGACAGGCTTCTCGCAGTATACAGCCAGGCCCCAGTCGCCCATGACAATGCTGTCGTCCTTGCGCACGAACACATTCTCCGGCTTAATGTCGTAGTTGTAGATGCCCATGCCGTTCGCGTGTATCATCCCGTCGCAGGCCTGTATCATGTAGTGCAGCTGCTGCTGTAGCGGCAGCGTGTCGCGGCCGGTACCACGCCTACAGAACAGCAGCTCTCAGCATTCGCCGTCAGGCGGCCTCAGTGCATCCTGCTCTGGAAGAGGGCCTTCCCTCTGAAACACAGGGAGAGGGCACACATTTGGAAACACGGTGCGCTGCATGCTCATGGCACATATGCAAGGTGGATGCCAACAGGAAGTAGTCAGGCAGCAGCACATGCCACCGGCCAGACTCAATGACACAAGGGCCACCGAGAATGGGCTTGTGCGCACCTGGAGATAGTGTGCAGATCGCCCTTCCCAAACCACTCCATCACCATGCCCTGCGGCCCCTCCTCATCCTCCAGCAAGACTAGCGGCCGTAGGATGTGCGGATGATTCATCCTCATCATTGCCTTTGCCTCGTGTATGAGGACGTCCTGCTGGCCCGCAAGGGCCATCTTCATTGCCACGGGCAGGCAGCCCTTCATGACAGCCCCGTAGCCGCCCTTAGCCACGTGCCGCCACGCCACACCGCTCTGTGCGCACTGCATTGCACAGCGCAGGATCAGTCATTCAATCAGACATACTATCAGTCATATCACCTAAGGACTGACTCACGCCTGACTCTTATTTCCAGAGTCAGCGCCCAGCATGACATCTTGGAAATTGCTTTGGCAACACCAGTGAGATGGTCCTGCCTCATGGTACGAAGATGACACAAGGAGGAGTGATCTACTCCTGCTGACATTTCTCAGCAAGCTGCGACAGGCAATTGATGAGCACATGCCCATGAGCACAGTGCAGATCAATCAGAAGCAGTCCACGCTCTTGCAGCACTCCAAGTGGGGCTGTTAGTGCATTTGGGCTAACGGCAACAGATCAGATGAATCCAGGCCCTTACCGGTGGGAGGACGGGCAGCTGTTGTGTGTTGGCCAGCATTCCCTTGCGCCGGTCATGATCGGCCTTGAGCTGCGCATTCTCCTTGGCCTGCACGACAGCGCACGATTTATACTAGCACAACAGGCGCATCAAGCGTCTCTGGCGCTACTATACACAGCATCGGCCAGCCAGTGAATGGGGCAGTCAAAAGAACGTGGGCTCACCAGTCTTTCCCTGTCGGCCTGTGCAAGCTCCTTCTGCAGATTGGCGTTGTGGAGATTGAATCTCAGGTTGTCATTTTCTCCCTGCAGGTCTTCCTCCTGTCGTTCCTTTGACTGCGCCATCACACACACTGATCAGCTTATGATCCGACACTTCCCAACGCATGCAAAGCCGGCCAGCACTCAGCCTCCTGTCAGGCACCTTATTAAGGCGAGCTGAACAGGGCTGCAACATGCAGGACATTCCTTCCTCTCACTTCGCATGCATCGAGAATCCAGCGAGGGGGTTGCATGGAGCTCACCGGCGGGGAAGGCGCGGGTCGTGTGGGGATGTCACTGCACTCCAATGACAGCGAGGCAGCAGCCGGCTGACGCTGTGTGGATGCACACAGTCCCAGGGTAGAAGGAAGCTCGTGGGCAGCAGAATGACCCATCGAAGAAGGGGAGAGGCTGAGCGTGTCAGGCAGCTCGGCAGAGGCTTCCTCGTGCACTGCAGGTGCGCAGAGGCCCAGGCTCGGGGGGAGCTCTGCTGCAGCGATGTGCTGCTCTGGTGCTGCACAGAGGCCCAGGGTGGTGAATAGCTGAACAGCAGCAGGTGGGTGCTGTGCTGCATCGTAGAGGCCCAGGCTGAAGGGGAGCTCTTCTGCAGCGATGTGCTGCTCTGGTGCTGCACAGAGGCCCAGGGTGGTTGGTAGCTCAACAGCAGCGGGCGGGTGCTGTGCTGCATCGTAGAGGCCCAGGCTGAAGGGGAGCTCTTCTGCAGCGGTGTGCTCTGGTGCTGCACAGAGGCCCAGGGTGTTTGGTAGCTGAACAGCAGCGGGTGGGTGCTGTGCTGCATCGTAGAGGCCCAGGCTGGAGGGGAGCTCTTCTGCAGCGACGTGCTGCTCTGGTGCTGCACAGAGGCCCAGGGTGTTTGGTAACTGAACAGCAGCGGGTGGGTGCTGTGCTGCATCGTAGAGGCCCAGGCTGAAGGGGAGCTCTTCTGCAGCGACGTGCTGCTCTGGTGCTGCACAGAGGCCCAGGGTGTTTGGTAGCTGAACAGCAGCGGGTGGGTGCTGTGCTGCATCGTAGAGGCCCAGGCTGAAGGGGAGCTCTTCTGCAGCGATGTGCTGCTCTGGTGCTGCACAGAGGCCCAGGGTGGTTGATAGCTGATCAGCAGCGGGTGGGTGCTGTGCTGCATCGTGGAGGCCCAGGCTGAAGGGGAGCTCTTCTGCAGCGATGTGCTGCTCTGGAGAGGTGCAGAGGCCGGCGCTACCTGGCCGCGCGGCAGTGCGGGGCTCACACTCTGGAGAGGATTCCAGCAGCCTGGAACTCGGGGGCAGCGCGGCTGTCGTGGGAGCGCGCGGTGGAGATTGATCCAGGCCTGGTTGTTCTGTGGCTGCATGCTCACACGCCTGTGAAGGGGCCAGATTCAGGGTCGAGGGCGGCAGCGGCGAGTCGTGAGTCTGCACAACACATCCACAGACATGTAAGCGGTGTCACCAGCGTATGTCATCGCACGACTCACTGCAAGACAGCCACATGCAAGCACCAGCACCGGACCCACCTTCAATGCAGGTCAACTCTTCACTGCCAGATGCAAGCTCAAATCCAGGCGTGGGCTCTCACCTGTTCACCTTCTGTGGCTGCAGGTTGTGCTGGCACTTCCAGCAGCCCGTCAGGAGCCTGTGTTGTCTCCACAGACTGTGTTAATGCCTGGAATCCCTCCTCTTCCACCACCGGGGGCTCCTGCACCTCTGCAGCCGGGACATCTGTCGCCGGTGCTTCCTCCACTTCCTCATCCGACTGCGCCAGCACAGCCTCTCATCAGCTTTGCACACCGAACCCTTCCATGCAGCACCAAAGACAACCTCTAGCGCCTGATAGATCGAGCAGCCTGCTTCAAGTTTGGCGGCAGTGAAGAAGGCCATATCAGTACAAAAGCTTGCGTGCCACAGGAGAGAATTGCGTGGACCTCACCTCCGGGAATTCTGCCGGGCAGCGTGGACTCTGGATGGGTGGAGAGTCCTGTGCTTCGCGCAGCTTCTCCGCCACCAGGAGCTGCACAAGTAGATCAAGGATCAGGCCAAAAAACGGATTTTTCAAGGTGGTCAGGCCTCCTTGGCGGCGCCATCTACGGGTGTCAAATGAATCTACCACTGCACAATGCATCTTCTGGAGATCCCTGACGGTCCGAGCTCACCTTGGTTTGGCACGCAACAAGCGCCTTCACGTAGTCGCCAAGCACGGCCTCCGCCTCAGCGGCTCTTTGGGTTCGCTGGCGGAGGCGGGCCTGGCAAATGGAGAGGTCTCTGCAATGGACCGCATTGCCACGACGGAGGTCTCTGATCAGCACATCACTGTTTGACAGCGCAGCCTGCAGCTTGGCGACTTCGTTGTTGCTTTGGTAGAGGGCAGCTTGTGTGACCTGGATGATGCTCTGCGCCTCGGCTAGAGCAACCTCACATTCTGCCAACCTTCTGCAGCACTGGGTTTGTGACGCTGCAGCGCCATTTTGCCTGCTTGTACGGGCGAAAGCAGCACGGGGCGCCATCGCCAAGTTTTGATTGCTGCACAAACAGACGAATCGAGCACCAAGATTGCAAGCCAGATACTTGTAGCCAAAATCTCTGGAAGCAAAACACAGCAAAGAAGCTTTTGGTTTTTGCATCTGCAGGCTGACCCTTCGGCAGTTTGGACTCGGCGGTAGCCTCTCTTCTCATAATCGATTCGGAGGTTCCGTAACTGTTTCTCGTAACCGCTTCGGGACACATTCTTGCAACATCAATGGAGCAGGAAGTCTGCGAGTCGAAAGAATTTCTAATACGAGGAACATACCGAAGTCCGGCATTGGTGTCCACCGTGTTCGAATGCGGCAGGCAATGCCCGAAACATGAAGTGGCCTGGTTGAGATGGGAGTGAGGAGATCGTGGCGTGTCGACAGCTTGCTGGAGCCCCTGTAAAACATGGAGAGAGGTGTGTCTATCCCGAAAACGTTTTCAAGAGATCCCCTTTCTCAACAGATTAGAATAGTGTTGGCCAGCACTGTTGGCAAAACGAGCATTGATACGTGTTACACAAGCAGCATGTCAATTAATTTGGAGCTATCAAGTACATCGATTTACTTGCAGTACAACTGGGAGCTCATGGATGGGTAGATGCTTCGCAGTCATAGTGCAGACAAGAGCTGCAGAGCCACACTTACGAGGACAAACTTTGTTGTTAGGCCAAGTCTGAGACCGGAGTGTGCTCCCCGATCATGCATGATGCCCGATAGAATTCGGCAAAGGGTGGCGGAGGGTGAGGTGGGGGAGCGTGCTGGCGCACGTGACGCTGCCGGGGCAGATGGCGGCGCGGCCGGCCGGGGGTACAGCGGCGGCAGTTGGCGCAAGCTCGCACTCGGCATCGCGCTCGCCAGCGGACTGGATGCCGTGCTCCTGGACGAGCTCTCCTCCAACGTGAGAGCCCTCGCAAGTTTGGGGTAGTAAGGACTGCAATTCGTAATCATGACATTGACATGTGCCTGGTCCGGCATCTCTGGAAGACAAATCTGAAGGACCGAGGACCGCCACTTCGGCCGCGCCAAGTCTCGGCTGCAAGCGCGCGGCCAGGTGCCTAAATTGTGTTGCTATTCTACCAATATCATAGTGATCAAGCTGCACTGCTTCAAGGGCATTGATGCTCTTTCATGAGCCTGAGTCTGCCTGCCTTGGGAAGACTTGCTGGCTCATGGGATCTTTCCCCGGGGCAAGGAGCAATAAGACTCACAGATGCACGCTGTCATAAGTTGTGCAGCTTCCCCTCAAAGCACATCCTGCAGCGATGTCAGCAGGTCTCATACCGGTGCAATGATGTCCTCAATAGGCCTGTCTTTACAGTAATGAATTGTGTAATGTCAGGTTGATTGAGCGGTACTGTCTTGCATGTGTGCAGTCGATGGCGCGGGTGTTTCGGGCGACGGAAACTGCAAAGGCAGAGCTGGGAGTGCAGGCGTACGGCCTCTCCATGCCCATGCTGGAGCAGGTGTTCTTGTCTGTCGTGGGCGAGAACCTGCACTCCTGATGCATCATGTTTTCTTGGCTTTCAGCGTTGATGGGAGGCGCTGCAGCCCATTTGAGGAACAGGACATGTGAAGGGACCTGCTAGCACATTGCACGAGCTCGCGCTGCAATGACCAGTGGGAGATGGCGGCAGGCAGCAGGAAGACAGAGCCATTCCTTTGTCAAAATTGAAAGTTGGCTTGAGTTGCATTGTATGGGGAGTTCCTTCGGATGGTGGTGGGAGTGGAGGCAAGTGGTAAGACTGAAGCGGACAAGGCCCGTCCTGGCATAGAAGGATGGGATGTGTTGCATTGCAAACGGTTGCACAATGGGATTCATGTAGAACCTTGACAGCTGGACCCTGAGCCCCCCATGTTGGCTTTTAAATGAACTCTGTTGGTCTTCAACAGGTAGTCGCCAGTGGCGCGACAATGTAGTCATTACTATGCAACTTAATGCCTCTTCAAGGAAAGGATTGAATCTATTGCATTTACATGTTGCGGAAGCTCCATCGCTGTACACATGTGATGATTGCCTCAATTGTCAATCAGCACATTCCTATGTCCTGGCGATCCCTATCCCCTTGATGCTGAACCAAGTCTGTAAAAGATTTCCATGCCAGGCTTGCTCTGTGTGATTAACACTGATCACCAATCTAGGTTACTCAATTTCTTGACCTGACTTGCTTGTGCATATTACATACTACTTGTATACAGCCTCTGCATACTTACCCCAGTCAATCTTCTATCTTATGACACAATCCATAATGCCAGCTGCATTTCGGCTAAGCAGCGCTAAGCATCGTTCATTCCTGGTCTCAACTTGCTGCACTGCGGCACATGCACCAACGTAATTTCTTGTGCAAAGGTCTCTGTGAGCTACATTAAAAATCGGTACGGACAACTTGAGGCTGTCCTGATACTGCACCCCAGCAACCAATCTCAAGCCCAAATGGTTCCGATTGAGAAGGCAAAAACTCTGCAACCAAGCCTCCCTCAAGTTGATCAACACCGCAAGCCCCAACTTGGCAGGCTTCATGACCTTTGCTTCAACACCAATTGCTTCATTAGCTGCTTCCACGCGGACCAACTCAGTCACTGTACCGCAGAACAATCATTTGTGACATGTCCAGCATGCTATGCTGTGCTAAATTTCAACAGCGCACTTGTGGTGCTGCGCACAGATATTCTGGCCGAGGGCCATGTCAGAAAGCCCAGATGACCAATCAGGTCAAGCACCATCACGGCGTGCTGCTAGAGAGGGCGCCCGGTACCAGGAACCCAGAGAAGCTCACTGGAGAGCTGTGCACAGGGCGGCGTGGTTGCGGCCTCGCCTGGTGAGCGCAGGTGGCGGCAGCCGCTGCCGGAACAGAGGGCTGGGCAGCGATCGAGGCAGCTGGGATAGAGGCCTCCTCGCCGGCCTCCTCGAGCTCATTCAGGCAGCTCTGCACGCTGTCACGGATCTCCTGCAGGCTGAACTGGACCCTGGAGCTCCTGTCCTTGGCCCAGAACATGGCGGTCTTCAAGAAATGGAGGTAGGGCTGCGCGCACTCCGGCAGCTGACGGGGGAACTGCACCTGCGCAAGCAGCAAGCCAGAAGATTTCAAAACACTCTCAGCAAAGCCTGACCATCAGCGGCTTCAAGAGAACGGTGCTGCATTCATATGTGAGATGGTGGGCAGGCTTCTCCACTGCAAGTACTCGGCCGATTGCAGTCTGCAAGAAATGCAGCAAGGACTTACATACGTCAGGACGATAGTTCCAGGACATCTCAGAAACCCAGAATACAAACAAGGGTCCAGGCAGCGCACCTTGTTGACGCCCTGGATGACGCCGATGTACTGCGCCATGCACAGGCGACGGTGGACGCAGTCAGCGGCCAGGCCAGCATCGGCCAGTGCCTTGTCGATGCGCGCCACCTCGCTCCTGGGCAGCACATTGTACTGCTCGCGAAGAAGGTACAGGCAGTGCTGCCCGGTGAAGAGAGTGAAGGCGATGGCGCAAATCGCATACAAGTCGACGCGGCGCGCCGTCGTCCGCTGTGCCGGGTCGATCACCTCCGGCGCCGTGTAGCCAATCGAGCCCCTGCGCGCACATGCCGGCACATGCGTCAGTCATGCTTGTCTTGCGCTGCTGGCTACCTGGGTGCTGTCATCTCAGCAATGCAGTGTACTGGTGTGCCACTCATCGTCTAAGGCAATTGCTCAATTCAAAAAACTCTACTGGATCAAAAGACAGCACGCAAGGTGCAAAGGGCCGCACTTGTAGGCCAGCAGAGGCGCGTCGCCGCGGACGGCTAGGCCGAAGTCAGTGACGGCCACGGATCCGTTTGCGCGCACGAGCACGTTCTCGAGCTTCAGGTCGGCATGGAAGATGCCCTGTTCGTGCATCTCCCCCACCGCGCCGATGATCTGCAGAAGTATCCGCAGCTGAATTTGCAGCGGCAGCGTGCCCCCGTACGGCCTGCATGCATTCGCACACGCAGCCTGAGAAGTTGCCATCAACACACGGCCTTTCCTCGTATCCCAGGAAGCTGGACTATCCAGACTTTGCAGGAGCATGTAATGCAGGGGTCTCAATGCAAGCTGTGACACACCATGTGGGAGCTAGGAGATCAGGGCAGTAAATGGAGGTCAGGATCTTGTGGAGTTCTGCAGCGCACCTGTAGCGGTCGGCAAGGCTGCCGAGCTCAAAGTGCTCCATGAGCATGCCCCGGACGCCGTTGCCGCAGTCGACCATGGCGAGCGGGCGGACGATGTTGGGGTGGCTGAACAGGAGCATGATGAGGGCCTCCAAATTGATGGCCTCCTGGTACTGGGGGCTGCTGGAGATGGGCACTTTCAGCGCCACCGGCAGGTTAGCCTTGTACACAGCGCCCCAGCCGCCCGAGGCCAGCGGCTGCCACTCCAGGGAGTCATACGTTGCCTGAATTGCAGCATCGGGGCTGTCAGGAACGCCCTCTGCTGGATGGTATTGTTCATGCACTGCGCAGGCCTGACATGTGAAAGGGTGCACAGACGGAAAGCAAACAGACACAAGTGCGGAAGCACATTGATGATCTCATCATCATTGACTGACCTGGGGGATTACTGACAGGGTGGCTGTGCGCTCGATCACTTCTATCAGGTGCTTGATCTCGGCGTCTTTCTGCGTGATGCCAAGACTCTGCCACCACACAGCAGATGGTCAAGCACCTCTCCTTACAGGGGTTGAGACTGATGACATGGCATCCTGATGTCATCGGACAATGCAGATGATGTCAGGCATACGTGGGCGGCATTTGCAGAACAAAACACTGGCATGTGATCAGGCGCGAGGGCTCACCAGGGACGAGTTGGCGGCCACGGCACAGTTCAACTGGGCTTGCAAGTCGTCCAAGCGCTCCTGCAACGCTGCATTCTCTGCCCGGCGAGTTGCCTCCAGCCGCTCTTCCTGCTCCCGGCTCTGCTCCTTGAGCTGCGCCATGTCATCCCCCTGCGATTGCATGACATGCTCAGTTCCCACCGAGGCTTGCAGGTCCATGCATGCTAGTGGGCATGCTCAGTTTAGACAACAACATGTAAATGTGTTTGTAGGCGGACAAAACTCACCATGGTCTTGATCCTGGCCTCTGCCTGGTGCAGCTGCTGCTGTGCCTGGTTGAGGCAGCACTGCAGCTGGCCACCCTCTGCCAGCAGACTCCAACAGAGCTCCCCGAGGTCATTCTCAGCTTGTCTAGCTGGCTGAAGCACGCTCACAGGAGACGTGGCTGCACATCACACAACTGGTATCACAGGAGGGGACGGCCAATACATGCTGTACATTTGCACGGCAGAGCACAACAAGAGGCGATGTTTCAGGAAGGCCTTGTAGCGCAATCACCTGCTTCAGGAGCTGCTTGATCTGTCTGGGTGGCTGCATTTTGAAGCGCAGCTCCATGGACGCTCCTCTTGAGCTTCTGCAGATGGGCATACAGACAGGACTAAGCACATTTCCTTGACTGGAGTTTGGCACCATTGTATCAATACATGCACTTGCTGCAGAAAGCACGGTGTGCAAAAAGGTGGCTTATTTCCTGAAATGGCATGTAGGCCGCTCACCTGTGCTTCTTGCTGCTCCTGCGCCTTGAGAGCCTGCACAAGCAGAACGAGGATGCAGGTCAGTCCTTGGTAGCCTTCAGTTGCCAGGCCGCTATGGCGAAATTTTGTCATTTATGTCATCGCACGACTCACTGCAAGACAGCCACATGCAAGCACCAGCACCGGACCCACCTTCAATGCAGGTCAACTCTTCACTGCAAGATGCAAGCTCAAATCAAGGCGTGGGCTCTCACCTGTTCACCTTCTGTGGCTGCAGGTTGTGCTGGCACTTCCAGCAGCCCCTCAGCTGCCTGTGTTGTCTCCACAGAATTTGTTGATGCCTGGAATCCGTCCTCTTCCACCACCGGGGGCTCCTGCACCTCTGCAGCCGGGACCTCTGTCGCCGGTGCTTCCTCCACTTCCTCATCCGACTGCGCCAGCACAGCCTCTCATCAGCTTTGCACACCGAACCCTTCCATGCAGCACCAAAGACAACCTCTAGCGCCTGATAGAGCGAGCAGCCTGCTTCAAGTTTGGCGGCAGTGAAGAAGGCCACAACGGTACAAAAGCTTGCGTGCCACAGGAGAGGATTGCGTGGACCTCACCTCCGGGAATTCTGCCGGGCAGCGTGGACTCTGGATGGGTGGAGACTCCTGTGCTTCGCGCAGCTTCTCCGCCACCAGGAGCTGCACAAGTAGATCGAGGATCAGGCCAAAAATGGGTTTTTTCATGTTGGTCAAGGTCCTTGGCGGCGCCGTTTACGGGTATCAAAAACATTGAACACTGCAAAATGAATCTTCTGGAGGTCCCTGATGGTCCGAGCTCACCTTGGTTTGGCACGCAACAAGCGCCTTCACGTAGTCGCCAAGCACGGCCTCCGCCTCAGCGGCTCTTTGGGTCCGCTGGCGGAGGCGGGACTGGCAAATGGAGAGGTCTCTGCAATGGACCGCATTGCAACGACGGAGCTCTCTGATCAGCACATCGCTGTTTGACAGCGCAGCCTGCAGCTTGGCGACTTCGTTGTTGCTTTGGTAGAGGGCAGATTGTGTGACCTGGAGGATGCTCTGCGCCTCGGATAGAGCAACCTCACATTCTGCCAACCTTCTGCAGCACTGGGTTTGTGACGCTGCAGCGCCATTTTGCCTGCTTGTACGGGCGAAAGCAGCACGGGGCGCCATCGCCAAGTTTTGATTGCTGCACAAACAGACGAATCGAGCACCAAGATTGCAAGCCAGATACTTGTAGCCAAAATCTCTGGAAGCAAAACACAGCAAAGAAGCTTTTGGTTTTTGCATCTGCAGGCTGACCCTTCGGCAGTTTGGACTCGGCGGTAGCCTCTCTTCTCATAATCGATTCGGAGGTTCCGTAACTGTTTCTCGTAACCGCTTCGGGACACATTCCTTGCAACATCAATGGAGCAGGTAGTGTGCGAGTCAACAGAATTTCTAATACAGTGAACATATCGAAGTCCGGCATTGGTGTCCACCGTGTTCGAATGCGGCAGGCAATGCCCGAAACATAAACTGGCCTGGTTGAGATGGGAGTGAGGAGTTCGTGGCGTGTCGCCAGCTTGATGGAGCCCCTGTAAAATATGGCGAGAGGTCTGTCTATCTCAGAAACGCTTTCAAGAGTTCTCCTTTCTCACCAGAGTAGAATAGTGTTGGCCAGCATTGTTGGCAAAACGAGCATTGATACGTGTAACACAAGCAGCATTTCAATTAATTTGGAGTTATCAAGTACATCGATTTACTTGCAGTACAACTGGGAGCTCAGGGATGGGTAGATGCTTCGCAGTCAAAGTCCAGACAAGAGCTGCAGAGCCACACTTTCGAGGACAATATTGTTGTTAGGCCGAGCCTGAGACCGGAGTGTGCTCCTCGATCATGCATGATGCCCGATAGAATTCGGCAAAGGGTGGCGGAGGGTGAGGTGGGGAGCGTGCTGGCGCACGTGACGCTGCCGGGGCAGATGGCGGCGCGGCCGGCCGGGGGTACAGCGGCGGCAGTTGGCGCAAGCTCGCACTCGGCATCGCGCTCGCCAGCGGACTGGATGCCGTGCTCCTGGACGAGCTCTCCTCCAGCATGAGCCCTGCAGCAACTCAAAGACACTCAACTCCTGACTTGGTGTCTCAACAGACACCCACCAGCCAACGATTCCAGACGTCAATAGGAAACGGAAAATTGTGTGAAAATGAAAGCAGACCCCTCTGACAGCTTCAAAACGAGTGCTCCCAAGAAGCTGTGAGGCCTTGCATACATAAATAACACAGACTGAAAAGCGTGAGGTCGATGAGCAACATGCAGGCCCCTGCTCGCGCTCTGCAGGCACCAAAAAGTGCAGCTTTACAAAACTGAACACTCCTGCTGTGCACACGTGAACTAAAAGAAGATGGTCTGCCAGCATCTGAGGGTCCGAGAGGTCTTTGAAAGACCCTCGTTGTACAAAACCCTCTCCTGTGTGGGCAAACTTAATCTGCCCAGGGTGAGTCACCCGGGCAACGGCAGGTCATCTTTCTGAGTACAACAAGCTGACTTCCTGCCCTCTGCAGCGGCAGGCAACTACCCGCTGCAAGGAGGCACTGAAGAATCCCGCTGTAGACCCTGGTACTGAGAAAAGCAGCGGCTGCCAGGGGTCGGTCAAGGGGCCCCAGGAAGGTTCCTCTGAGTGGCTCGAGAGGAGCGGCTGCTGCGCTGGCGGCAGCCGCGCACCGGCCGGCAGCCTTACATCATGCCCCCATGTTCTCTGCCTGCAGCCGCGCCAGACACTGGCCATGCTCTAGGTGCGGTCCAGGCCGAAGGTGATCCTATTCTCCTTCTTCTTGACGAGTGTCAGCGTGCCCTGGAGGTAGGTCATCTAGTCTCTGGTGCAGGGCGGCAGCGGCCGCGGTGACACCAACTGCATGCGCGCAAGCCGGATGCTGATCAGATATCCTTTCAATGCTGATCAGCAATTCCCACTACAAGAGACGGCTTCCCTGGCAGCAAGGGGGCCACATTCAACAGCATGAAGGCAGGTCGCTGCAGCAATTTCTGAAAGTGTTGGGCTGACTTGAAGACCTCTCAGTATACCGTGTTGTGAGTCAATCTGCCCAGCGCACGACTCAGCACATTGCCTATTTTGGCAGCCGCCCCACCAATCAGGAGGAATTGAACATGGCGCACGCCCAAGTTCCAGGTGCTCAGCATGCAGGAGATGAGAGCAGGGAGGAGATGCTGGGGCAAAGAACAAAGATATATAAAAACCCGAGATGAGAAAAAAAGGCAGGCTGGAGGATTAGCCCCAACCTGCTTTTCACTTGCACTCGCATGATGAAACAACAACTCGCATGTTAACAGATCAACTGGGCATGTCAGGGATTAAATTTGCTCCCATAATTTGTCCTCGATGGAAGCCCCGTCTCCACTTCGAATGTTATTAGCTAGTTGGAGCGATGCAGTCTTGATGAGCCATTCCTTACTCCTATCAACAGATTGATTCGTATAAGGTTATATCGCAGGGCAGACGAGCACTTATAGTGGCAAAGTGTGAATAGCATACAGAAGACAAGAGTTATGGAACAGTGAAGATATTGTGCCCTGTTTGCAGCTTCTGACATACTACTTGGCACAGAGGCGCTGCAAACACAATCCTGCATTCAGCGATCCGTTTTCCGTCGTCTCAAGTAGACGATACAGATGGTTTCAAGGAACCCGGAGAGATCAGGACACTAGGCCGATCAGGATCCACTTGCAATTCATCTCCTATCTGTCAACTCATATCTCATTCTCGAAGGAAGCACTCGTTCGTGTGTGCTGGTTGGGGCCAAACCGTCGCCAGCAGGCCGGGTACATAATCGACTGAAATGGCATCATTGTCACCCAAAGTGGGCTAATGACCAAATACAATCCGATGCGGCCATGCAACGGGTTCCTGGCCTGGGCTGCAATAGGTCCCAGGTTCAAACCTTGGCGGTCGGTTCCTTCCTTTCTCCCTCCCTTGTCTGCATGTTCATTTTTTTGCTTTTCAGAAGAATCAATAGACGGAATTCTTCTATTGATTTGTCTGTTGCTCATGCGCCTTACATTTTCGTTTTTTAAAGGCATGCCAGAGGCGCCAGAATCACCGCCTGGCAGGAACGGTGGCATTGCAGGAAAAAAAATCAGCCAGGAAGATGGGCCTTCGTAGCTGGGCCTATAAGCAATTATTAGGTGTGCACTTGTAAGTCTGCAACGACGTAAGGAAAGTCGGAAATTTAATTATGCACACTTGCGGCGCTACTTTCATGCATGCACGGCAACTGTTCGCGCACGCATACCTGTTTTGCATATCTGCTGATGGTTCTATCAATAAGGACGTCTGACGTCGACAACAGTCAGATTTGTTCTAGGAATCTGCTGCGTCACCAACATCAGAAGTTACTCACGGTCCATAAGCACAGCTGACATCAGTTCTGAATTTGCAAACTTCATGAACTCTCTGATCAGAGAACAATTCTTTGTCAATGCTGCACATCGCCAGTTATCCTCACACCCCGTCGCCATCTTCTCTTGAAACTTGTGGCAACGACTCCAGCAAGAGTCAACCTAAGCTATCACTTCCAAGTTGGAAAGATATCCCTGTCAGGAAAACATCTCACAGGTCCAGCGCGGCGATCTCGTGCGGCTCAAAGTCAGTGCGCTGCCCCAGAACTTCCTTGACCTGCGCCTCAGTCAGGCGCCAGGTGATGGGCCCTGCGTTGTGCCCCCAGTAATCCATCACCTCACTCACGCTCTCCAGGCTCAGCAGAGTACCTGCACCAGCCGCGCACACATCAACAAGCCATCTTACTTCCATTCTTTCAGCCAAATGCATACAGGCTGCCCTGCCCTTCATTGTTGGTGCCACAGCCAAGAAGCTGCAACGAGCTCCTTGACGGCCAAAATGTATGCAGTTCAGAGAGGCGATTCCTGCACCCTGAATGCTACAGCTGTAAGAAACGCCAAGCCAAGATGACAAAAAGTCATTTCCAGCAGTCTGTCTGCTCCAGAACAGGTGGCCTGTCCCGTCTGCTCTCTGCCGTGCCAAGCAGACAACTCGCAATGGTTCGGGTGCGCACACCAAGGGGTTTCTCTGGACACTGCGGGCGCACTCATCTGCTCTCTGATCTGGCAGCCAGACAGCGCACAAAACATTTGCGCTAAAGGTGTTTTCCCTTGATACTGCGGGGGCGCACCCATCTGGTTGAGTATGGCGAATTTGTCTCGTACGGTGCGCTGGGTGACGTTGGAGAGGGTGGCCACGAGCGCTCTGACGTCTCTGTCCAGCTGCAGGCCCCCCAGCTGGTTGAAGGGCTTCAGCCGCAGCGTCGCCTCAACACGCTCCACCACCTGCCCAAAAGGCAGAGCGCAGTCAGATTTCTAGTGTATAAAGTTGCACTTTCTGCATACAATAATCTGATGGTAGGACTGTCAGCCTTGCTGAGGTAAGCCTTGCTGAGGTAGCCCTGCTGAGTCACTGAAAGTATTGGCCAGCATCACATGACATGAGCTGTACTGGCTGTACGTCCCACTTGATTGGCCTACCACTTCAAACAGGTGCTGATGTGCGCTGACACAAGGGCCAGGTGCACCATGCAGAGATGGCACAAAGACTTTGCCCTGCGCAATACGGGGAGGCATACAAACTTCATGAGCACAAAACCATCAATGAAATAGCTCTGCTGTCCGGACCATCTTTGCACATCTGCAGGCTGCAGAGTGCACATGCATTTATAATATGTAAAACTGAATCACGTTTCTCCACAGGCGAAAAGGGCATCAGCGCGGCGCGTGCCTTTTCGAGGAGGGATGCGACGAGGGCGTCGTAGTTGTTGGGGGTGAGGAAGGGCTGCAGCCACTGCAGGATGGCGCAGAGCATGGCCAGCAGCGCCTGCACCCAGGTGTCCTCCACCTCGTTGCGCGCATACTCCTCCTCACTCAGCTCGTAGCTCGCGCCCGCCGCCTCGTCCAGCATCGCCCTGGCGCCGTCACCCCAGCATGACTCATCTCTCTGGCACCCTCACCCATGCAGCTCTGCCCACGAAAGGATGCAGGGACACGCTAGCTTTGTATCCCTCTGGAGCCTAAAACATCGCGTGACCTCTATCTTGGGGACTCTTTTTCGGGACATGCAAAGCAGAGATATGCAGCACGGTCTAGACCAAACTTAGCGCACCCCTTCATAAATGCGGAGCATAGGGGTGTGCCGCTGCATAAGGGAGAAGCGTGCAGCAGGATGTAAATGTGAGGATGCGTGAGAGGGAGAAAATGCAAATGGATGACAGGTGGAAGGCTCCTGAGGTGAGAGGGTGGGTGGGATGGTGGAACACAGGGGGCAGCAAACACACACCTGTAGAAGGCTGCTGAGGTGAAAAGTAAATCAGAGGGTAGACGACAGGGGCGGTAGACACACCTGAGGCGGGGCACGATGGCGGTGCTCAGCTGCTCCAGGGCGCGGGCGGTGATATGGGCAAAGTCGGAGGAGGTCTTGGAGAGGTCGGCCAGCACGCTCTTGATGCGCTCGCGCTCGTTGCTGGACCCGAAGAAGTGGTACGACGAATCCTCTAGCTCCTCGCGCAGCTTCCCCACATACCTGCATGCCCCACGAGTCACTTTGCTGTCACTCGGGGGCCAGAGAGCTCGAATGGCAACCACGTTTTCATAACGGCTGGCCTACTGGTGAGCCTCCTGATTGTTCAGTAAGAAGTGTGTATGAGATGATCTTCTGTAAGCAACAGCACTCTCCACAAACACTCTGAAACCCAGCCTAGAAAAGGTCCTCATACGTACATTGAATAAGTACCAGGCAGGATGTTAGAAGCAGGTCATGCGCATGGGCCTTAGAAACACAAAACAAGCGTAAGTTTTGTTCCCAAGGACGATCCAAGCCTTGCTTTCCAGGGGCAATAGAGGGGTGGGCCTGGGGTGGGCTCACGTGGCGCTGACGTCCGCATTGTTGAACACTGCAGCGTACTCGGCTGGGTTGCCCGTTGGCGCGACTATGTTGTCGCCCGTCGCAGCCGCCACAGCTTGCGCCAGCCTGGCAGCACCCGCCTGCCACACACATTCCCCTGACTTAATCGTGTACTTGTACAGTAATCTGCTTGCAAGGGAGCGCAAGCATGCCCCATAAAAATTGTTGAATGGCCAACTCACAAAGGTGGAAAACTCATGCATGCAGGCATTGCCTTCTACTCTCCCATTGCAGCCAAGGAGGGGTGGTGTCACAAATTATCAAGATCACTAGTACACAGACATGTTAAGGAACCCCTGAGTCACACAAAAACAGGGTGCATGTTGCAAAAGCAGCACCTTCCAGTTGAGCTCAAGGGCGGTGCGGAGGGAGTTGGAGAGCAGGTTGTTGATCTGGCCCAGGATGGCGCAAAGGCACTGCAGGTTGCCGGTCGCTAGCGCGCGGCGACCGCACTTCTGCAGGATGAAGAACACGTCGTCCACCATGCTCGTCGTGAGAGCGTCCGCGCTCCACTCGTCGATCGCAATTGCCTTGCCCACGTTCTCCTCCAGATAGAACTCCTCCTGCCATGCCAGTGGAATTGACCTCAGGACGCCAGAGCAAAGTACAAATTGACTGATCCTATATTTTAGCATGGCTGTGGGCAGAGTGCGGCATGGAGTTCAAGCCCAGTCAGCAGGGTTGATGCGTCTATCACCGGATGACATGCTGTCCCTTTGATACAGCGCCTTGTGGAGAAAGGCCAAGGCTAAATGTGGGAACAGCAGACGCGAAATGCAGCGTCAAGATCACGCGTTACTCCTTTTCTGCAATCCTCCAATGTCACCTTCTATCCTTCGTGCCAATGTTTCCAATTTGTGCATTCGTTTTTATCCTTCAGACCTTCAGAGGGCGCACCAGGTTGATGTAGTAGGCGATGAGTTCGCGCACGGTGACGTTGAACTGGCCGCTGCGGAAGCTGTTCTCCAGCGACGCGGCATCGGCCTTGGGGGAGCCAGAGCCGGCGGCGGCGGCCGTGAGCTTGGCGAGCATGAACTGGTTGTACTCCTCGCTGCGCTGGCACAGCAGCAGCATCTCCTCCAAATACCCCTCTATCTGCACCCCGCCAGCACCAGACACGTCACTCAATTAGACTACCACCCTTGTGAACCAAAGCACAGAGTAATGAATACATCTATATCGTACATGTGTGTAGAATTCCTGACCACAACTGCATCCTTTCATTCTTGAAGCCTGAGAGACCGAGCGCACAGTATTATTGTGCAGAAGCCTTGCAGGCAGCACGAATTCTTTGAATCTTTCCAGCATGTAACATGAAATGCCATGCAACCCAGCAAGTTCCGCCGCAGCAATAAAGTAAGGGGCAGTGACAGCTTGATGCAGCGGCCAGCTATACAAAGACTGCAATATCCCAAGGGTGAGGGCAGCAGGGTTGCTGACCTGGCGGGGGTCGACGGCGAGGGAGGCCTGCGCGGGGGCGCTAGTGCGCTTGGCAACACTAAGAGTGCCGATCTCGCCCATCAGCTGCTGCAGCCGCCTAAACTTGATGTAGCGCTGCATGATCTTGGTTCCATGCTGGTCGCACAGCTGCACACACGTTGCGCAGGTGTCAGCCAGCACACCACTACAGTCCAGCATTTTCAGGCAGCCACACTCCAGCCCCCAAGAAGCTCTTGCTCCTCACGACTCACACTCTTCAGAGCAACATCCATTCATTAACACTCCATGCTCATGCGACTAGAACCCAGGCGAAGAAAAGGAAAGAGTAAGGAAATGACAGGCAGGTGCCAGCACCTGCTGGAGGCCTAAGATCGCCTCCACTGCTGCCTCGGGCCCAAAGGTTCCAGAGACAAACTGCTCGTTCTCGTCCACAGCCACGGCAACATCCTTGAACAAGTTGGTCAGCGTGCCCACGTACTCGCTCTCTGCTTGTTCTGCAACAGCCACACATTGTAGTTTTCAGGGGCCTCACCCCTCCACTGGCACATACCTCCCATAGGTATGTAAATACCCTGTTACCATGCAGCAGCAGAAGTGGAAGGAGCAGAATTGCTTATGAGGCTGGGAATGGTAAGTCAGGTGGGAAAGGGATGGATACCTCCGCCTTCCACCAGCGACGTGTAATCCTCCTCTGCCCTCCTAGAAATGAGATCCCTCAGGTACACCAGGAAAGCCTGCAGCCCCTCCTCCTGCGGTGCCACCCAGTTAAATTCATTCTCCGGTGCTAAAATTTGTGCATGCCTTGTAATATAACATGGAACTGAACTATTTCTATCCCGAAAACGAGCAAGCATAAAAAATTAAGGCTTGCGCTCAACACTTGCCTGCAGGCCCAGGGGAGCAAAGAGCCTGGTGAAGCGCAGCACAGCCTTGTGATCGCCCTTCTGCTTTGCTTCGTCAAGCCTTGTTTGTATCTCCTGCCGCAACCTCACTTTGGCTTCCTCGATCACCTGAAGTTGCCCACACAAAGTCATCACTACATTGTCATCTGACGTGTACTTTACTGGTGATGATGCGTTGCACCTACATGCGTAATGCAAGCGAAACGGACTGTTATAAGACAAGGCGAGTCTCACCCGCCGCTGATCCTGGAGCTGCCGGTTCTCAACCTCATCTGCCATGGTGCCAAAGCGCCTCTCCAGCTCGAGGTACTTGCTGACATGCTCTGCTGCTGTCTCGTAGTCCCCAACTTCCAGCGCGGCACGGATGCCCTCAACAGCGTTTGAGCGATCCACCACAATGCTGATCCTCTGCAGGGTGTCATCAATGCGCGACTGAGCTGTGTCCAGCTCGCGCACTTTGAAGCTCACACCCTCTGACAGCTCTGACGTGCTGTGTACGCTCGCTGCAAGCTGCTGCGCATCTGACAGGAGGCTCTCCAGGACCTGCAGACGGCCCAGGCTTGCTAAAAGAAGGGAGAACTGATGCTTATTTGCTGGACTGTACTGGTTGTTCTTCGAATTATGGCAAGATGAGACATGAATGGAGGTCGGATGTGACTGAGGGTTACATCTGACGCTGAGTCATGCAGATTGACAAATCCCTTCTCGATCTCAGCTCTTTTGGACAGCAGCTGCTCCAATTCTGCCTCGATGCTCCTCTCTCGTGCGACTGTCTCATGGAGGGCGCGATTAATTTCGTTTAAATTTGTGAGCCTTTTGACCGAGTTGAAGTCTACAGGAGCCAGCACCGACATCTCGAACAAATTGCTCAGCTATGTCCCAAGATGATCACATATGTATTTATGCATGAAATTGTTTTATGCCGGTGCCAAGCTGTCCCATCAACAGGTGATGACTCAAACATTACAATGCATGAAATTTGGTATTGTTTGTAGCTTGAACACGGGGTGGGAGGGCCAAGGAGAGACAGACCACGTTACTCCCCGTTATCTTGGCACGTGCCGGACACGTGACATTTCGATGAGCTCAGATCTTTGATCTCTGGTCCTCGATCAGCCAGGCAAGTGCGCTTCCAAAACGCGAGAACGATCAAACCAGCATTCTCCTCGCTCAATCTCACTGTCTCTCAGGTCCTGAGGATGCAGTGCATTGCCCCAATGGCGACTGGTCTGCCACTTATCAAAACCCCGGGACATTACGCATTCCAACGCAAGAGCGCATTCGTCGTTCTCGTACGACCTAACCACCGGCGTCGTCAAAGCCTAATGTCCACGAAGGCTATGGTGAGCAGTTGAAGCTGGTTTGGTCTCTCTCTGACTGGCGTGCAAACCCCAGCCACTACAGCTTCCGGTAGCTGGTGTCAGCTTCCTCGACATAGAAATCCACTGCTGAAGTGTGAGATGAAGTGATGAGAGCCTGCATCTATTCTTGTGTGGTACCAGTCAGTGCAGTCTCCCTTGCAACCTTTCCTGCTGTGCGGATTCACCAGAAGCTCGTGTTGGGAGAAAATTTCAAAGAAATCTGCCAAAGTAATCAAGCGGTGGCCATGATTCACTTGGTTTGCAGCCTTCCTTGGTCCGAATCAATGGCAGGAATGCTTTTTGCCTAACACGAGATTGGTGCTCTCAGGCAGAGACAGTGGAAGAGGGCCAGAACAAGGATGGCGTCCGCTGCTACATGACAAAGGAGGGCGCACTCGTCTGTGAACGTCTTCCAGCTGGCAACTACAGGTCTGATTAGCTTCCCTGCACAACGAAGATCGTGCTGTTCTCCAGTAAAGCAAGTTCTCAGGTCGCGACATTTGCTGAGGCCTCTGCAACGGCCTCTCATGATGTGAGGGAACGCATCTGTGTGCAGGCTGGAGGCAGCAGCGCCACGGACTCACGACGAGGCTGGGGCTTTGAAGGATGCACCGCGATGCGACCCCACTCGTCCAGAGGAGTGCCTGACATACTGCTATGTCATGGACGACGGCTCTATGGTGCGCCTGTTGATCAGTGCACAAGCAATCGTCTTCTGTATCCCGGGTCAAGGAACAGGATTGTTCGCGTTGTACCTGCAATCATTGTCCCTCGTTGTCTGCCTACTTTTGATCGAGCTGTCTGGAAAGCCAGATTCGAGGAGCAGCATCATTTGCATTGCACCTGCATCACTGTCTCTTGTTGTGTATCTTTTTTTGATCTAGCTGTCTGGCTTCTGGACAGGTCTGTGAGGGGCTTCCCAGCGGTGAATACCAGATCAAAACTGCCGGTCCCGAGGATGTGGAGGTACGTTTATCTCGTATACCATTATATGCCCCACCAAATCAATAAAAATGCAAATAAACCACGGGGCGCGTTACGTTCACATTATACACCCCTGAGAGCGTCCAGTTGTGAGTCTCTGATATTCACCACCCGGCCAGAGAGGCAGAATGTCAGCGCAGACATTTGCTCAAGATTGCGTGGTGTGTGGGTGCAAGAACTACTATGGAGATATCACAGCCATGCTATTTAATGTTGTCTCGAGGTCGATCACATGCGTCCTTCACGACTCATTCACCAGGACAAAAGCCACACTGGACAAGGGATTGGATTACATTTGCTGTCGCTTGCACGCAGAGGATGGTGCAGCACGCACTGGCATTGGAGCAGGGAAAAACTTACAAGGACTTGAGCTCTGCCGCAGCACCCACTCCTGAGGCCAAGAAGAGTGAGGGCCTCCTGGGGAAGATTGTGGGGATGTTCCGCAGCTCTTGAGCCATCCGCTTTGGAAAATTGGCTGTTGCAGAGTGGCTGGATGTGCCTGAGATCATTGCTGAGGTTTTGGATTTTTGGTAAGTTGAGGCTAAAAGTGAGCAACGTTGTTTAGCGATAAATCTTGAATGAGCTATTAAAATTATTGAGCCAAATGGTAGTGACAAAAGGCGAGAGAAGAACAAAATCTGCTGTGTGAGTTGATTATTTCAATTGTGTCATATACAAAGAGGACACTATCTCAAAGCGTGCCGGTGTCTTGGTGAGGCAGAAGAGACAATCGTAATCAATGAAGTATCGTGTTGCCAATTGGTCAGTCTGAGACCATTAATAGACTTTCATGATCGTTCGGCACAAGCACTAACGCATGCCTGCCATGTCCTCAATTTGCATGCAGAAACTACCTGAGACTGCATGCAGGCTTGATATCTGGAACTCTAAGCTTGTAGCTCTGCGTCAGTACGCCGTTGCTGCTTAAGAATTTTTATTCAGGGTACTTTTGAGAATTATGTTTCGGCATGACGACTGGTTTACATCACCACATTCCAGAGCAACAGCAGAAATCTGAGTACAATGTTCTCAAAACCTGGTCGCAAGGTACCAACTGACCAACTGGCCCCTCACCTGCTTGGGCAGCTGCGTTCGTCACAAGTGCCGGTCTATCCGGCGTACCTCCAACTTCTTTATTATTTATATCGAGGGGTGTCCAGGAAGGCACAAACATATCCTCCGACATTCACAGGCCATTGCTCTCAACGACTGCTCAATATCAGCAATGAACGCACTCCCAACTTCGGTGTTTCTCGCAGCTCCGACTGTCCCGACGCCCCTCGTCAGTGATCCTGCGACACCGTATGTCCTCGGGACCGGTGAAGCGTACCCACCATACAGTTACAGCCAGGATGAATTCCTTGAAGCGTTTCTCGAGCGCTACAAACTCGATGCGGGTAAGTTTCATCACAGGCGGTGCACCTGAATTGGACGTTGTTGAATTGCAGTTGACAGCCCTGATGTTATCGAAGCAAGTTTTTAGTTTCGAAGCGATCAATATCTACATTGTACAATCTGCAGAGAGCGAGGATTTTGCTCGGAGGATCTTCCCTGCAACCCAGATCAAGCACGGTTGCATCAACTTGCCTCGCGAGCGACTGTTCCAAAAGATGACCCGCAGCGAGTTTGTGGAGTACATCCAGACGAGCACCAAGGACATCGCAGAGCGTGCAGCAAAGATCTCCCTTGCTAATTGGGGTGGCGTGAGGAGCGACATCACGCATCTGGTCAGTCACGCTACCTCGAACTTGCGCAATCACCTCGTGATCTTCAAGGCAGCTCGCATAGGACCACATTCTTATACAGTCAAACGCTTCAGCATTTGCACTCTAAACGGCTTCTTTGTAATTCAGGTGTTCGGAACGATGTCGGCTGTGATCGACAGTCCAACGATGGATGCCAAGCTGATCAAGTCCCTGGGCCTACTGCCCACCACCAAGCGCATCAGCGTGCAGCAGATGGGCTGCCTGACAGGTTTCAGGCAAGTCACAAACTCCGCCCATTGCCCCTGGTATACAATGTACAAGTCATTGAGAGGCTCAGGTTTTACCCCGATCAACCTCATGCTGCATACCCACACCACGAAGTCACTTCATGGCCGGCGGCAGATGAGTCATGCTTGGTTTGCATGCGCGCAGGTGCCTTAGTCTGGCTACTGAGATCGCCAGGTCGGACCCCAAAGCTCGTGTGCTGGTGGTGGTTGCTGACATCAGATCTGGGCTGCAGGTGAGCCAACAAGTAGAATGCATGTGTTTTGCATGCATGCATCACATCTTGAACATTCTCTGCGACTTCTCTTGGGCATTTTGAAGGTCTCCAGGCAGATGAACCCCAATATTGCGTCCCTGCGGGTGTCCTCTGGCCATTTAATCTTATCAATACCTTTGTGGAAAGTATACTCTACTTGTTGTGAGGATTTGCTGTGGGGGACTTTGCAGAACCAGCTGCCGGCCCACACAGCGGGCGAGCCCATGTCCCGCGTCACCATTGTCTCATGCGCGCTCTTCCGCGACGCTGCCTCTGCTGCAGTCATCGGCGGCAGGTGACCACCCAATCACTGCCCCTGCCTCCCCAAAATCTTGTGTAATCTCACGGTAGTGCAATTCCTTGACAGAATCTACAAAGCTTTGCCATTGGACACATACTAACACAGACCTTAGCCATCATCTCCCTGAGTGGACGCCACCTCTGAGATATATTTCCACGTTCAGCCGCATGCCTGGCAGGCAAAAGCACACTTTTACTGCCAGGCTGCAACCTGGGCTTTGCCACAGAATGCCTTTTACTGAGGCCCTGACTTGAGTGCTGTTGTGTGGTGCTTTCATCGGAAGTCCTGTGGGTGTTTTATTTATATGACAAAGCATAGTCTGCGGAGAACGCTGCTGAGGGCTAACAATGCTCTGTGCATTCTGTGTGGCTCAGCCCGCACATGGGCCGGGAGGTGCCGTTGGCGGAGGTGCAGCGGTGCGCGAGCCTGCTCATTCCCGACACGGAGGACTACGTGCGCATCAAGGACGGCGACGACGGCACCATCTCCTGGTACAACAAGAAAGAGCTGCCCGACGTCGTCTCCGCCGGCGTTCCCACCTTCGTCACCGACACTCTCCTGCAGGTGCCGCCCCGGCCGTGACTAATCCGTGTTCAAGCGACACGTGGGTTACGTAAGCTGCATGGCTGAGACTCTAAAGCTGCCGCCACCAGTAGACGCTTTTCATGCCATCCTCTGAATAAGATTAAATTCTAGCTTAGAATAGCCATGTGGCATTGGTGGCAAGCGCTGGTGCTGGCGCTTGTAAATGGGGCTTGCTGTTTGCAGTACCACCCGAATGTTCTGAGAGCATGCTCCTTGCAGAAAGAATTGAGTAATGAGAGTGGGTGTGGTGTGCTGCAGGGCACTGGGCTGACGGTGCAGGATGTGCAGTTCATCATGCACCCGGGTGGCCCCAAGATCCTGCACGGCCCGGCCGAAATCATGGGCGTGGGCAACGAGAAATTCCAGGTGGGTCTGCCTCTCTCTTTACAGTGAATCGTTGCTAATATTATCACACACATTTCCTGCCGGAAGGCAAGGCACGTCCTACAGACAAGCTACACTTAGAAGGCTGGTGCAATCCTACCCCTTGTTGGCCTCGCCAGATCCAAGCAAGACCATATCAACCGTGGGCACCGTGCTTTGTATATATACCGCCCCCCGCCAGCCGGGGCCTGGGGAGTTATGTATAGCAGTGGAAGTTCACCTCAATCATAATTTGATGTCCTGAAGTGAGTCACTGGATGTGCAGGCTTCATGGGATTTCCTGCAGAACCACGGCAACACTTCCGGCTCGTCCAACCTTGCGCTGCTGCATGTGGAGCTGACACGTCCGGCTGGCGCTGTTCCCTCCAGCCACGTGGTCTGCATCGGCATCGGCCCTGGCCTCTCCCTGGAGGTGCGCTCACTCCACATTCCCCAATGACCTTTCATCCCGCTCTGAACAACAGGAATTGTTCAGAAAATGTCGAGCAGGCGCTGCAATGACTGCATCTTGGTTCCTCATCTCAGACCATTACCGCCTGCAGCTGCCGCTGGCATGCGCTCTTCCACTTGGTGGTCTCTACTCCACTAGATCTTGCTTGTGCTCCCAAGACGGGCTGAGATTGCTCCAAGCACCGGAAAAGGCGCAGGAAAATCTGTATGCATCCGATGGTTTCCAATTGAGGATCTAGCCTCTTGATGTCTGCAGCTTGCTGCTTGACGCGCCCTGGTGTCCAGTGATCTTCAGTTTATAACCATAAGTGTGGCAATGTTTGCAGGGGCTGCTGCTGCGCCGCATCACTCCAGACCCTGCAGTGGCGGCCAGGCGGCAGCTGCGCATGATCAGGTCCAATCTGTCCCTGGAGAGGCCCAGCGGCTGGAGCGCTGACCTGCCGGATGAGGCCAACCACATCCAGTGAGGGGGCTTGGATACTATCTATGATAGCCAGTTAGATTACAGCCAATTGGCATACAAGCCGAGTGACTGAAGGAACGAAAAAACAGTCCAATTACAGTCAATTAGCTTGCAATTTGAGTGACTGAAGGAACAAAAGCACCGAAACTCATGAAGCCCCAACCGGGCAGCCATTAATGATGGCATTTCTGAATACAGCGTAGCATAATTGAATTCATTTAAGTTGTGAAAGGAAAGACAAACGCTCTGTACAGAGCTTGGAGATTTAAGGCTGGGCAATGCATATGGCCTTGGCCCCGGCTGGCGGGGGGCGGTACAAATACTGAGCACCGTGCCCATGGTTGATTGGGTCTTGCTTGGATCTGGCGAGTCCATCAAGGGGTAGGATTTTGGCAGCCTTTACTGCAGCTTGTCTGCAGACGCACCTTGCTTCTGGCAGGAAAAGCGTGTAATAATAATAATAATAATAATGCATATGCCCTGGACAGTGATAAATTAAACGCTCCTTTTAGCATCTATCCTGATTGCCCTTGGCGCAGATATGAACGCATGTCTATAGAACACTGCAGTTAACAGCTGATATGGAAATTGATTCTTTGTCTTTCCTGATTCTGACCCAGTGCCAGGACAAGCGGCTCCTGGCCTATGGCTGCAATGATCAGTGAGCTGCAATTGCAGGCTGTGACATCATGATGTGAAACTTTTATGGGCACTTCATTGAAATTATGAAGGTAATGTGAGGCACGGTCTTGATGTGAGAGAGGCCTCGGATCACTGGCGGTTTAAAGTGTTGACTAGCAATCTGAAGTGTTGAAGTTTTAGAGTTGTGTGAAGAGTTATTCCTTTGAAGCCCTTCATGACAGCTGGGCTGGCAGTCTCCTTGTCCCTGTAACAAAGCATGTTACTGTTCATGACTCATGCTATGATGAGAAATTTGCCTACATAGGTTCTGCTCTAGGCAGAGCCACTGAGCCTCACTGACCTATCTGTGACTGACAAAGAAGTAATCAAGCAACCCATTCTGAGCACCCACGTGTAATCTAGTATTATATCACAGTCCCATGCACTTGCGGGCGGATATATTGCATTGTGAAGAGATGCAAACGCATAATGGCCTTAGAGCCAATATATTGTTGGCAATGTTTCAGCCCTCTTCCACTTGGCACGTAAGTATTCTTGCTGTACGCAAAGACACAACTGCAAAATATACATACGTCAAGGCTACCGCAGGGCATAAATCCTGCTGGCATTTGAATTCTCATGCGGGGCCATAGCCGCCCGCATGCGCATGGCTGCCTCTGGCATGCTTCAGAAAAAGTTAGTAATGGACAAGAGTGACAAACACCAAAATCAAGCTAGGATAAGCAAAAAATGAACAGCAAACGAGGGAGAAAGGAGGAACCGGCCGCCAAGGTTTGAACGTGGGACCTATTGCAGCCCGGGCCAGGAACCCGTTGCATGGCCGCATCGGATTGTATTGGGATACATGAAAGCTGCCTTGGATAAGATGGAAGACTTTTCTATGCATGATTGAGGTGTCCAATGTAGGCTTTTTGACTGCTCCTGGAACAACTTTGCATAGAACATGGTAGCAATCAGAAGACGGCACCCAATAGATAAGAATCCGCAGAACGCCAACACATGCAACTTCGCCGACAACCATATGTCAGCAGCACAACAGAAACCGGCATATTCCTGGAAAAGGTTATATTGTGGTGTCGGCCATAGGAGGACAAGCACACTAGACAAGAAGTTCAAGCGCTTTTGCATGCGATTCACGTGTTGAGTTGCCGCTGCCATATCAGGCCTTGTTCTGCAGCGAGACGTCGCCCAAGACAGCATCCTTGTCTGGCTGCACCATTTCCACCTCTATGCAGTGCAGCACATCGCCCTGCTGCACATCCTGCGCACACAGCCACAGAGATCTCACTGCTCCTGCGCCCTTCACCACATCTTGATACCCGCTGCATTGCAAGAAAAGTGCTGGCCCGCATGCCTCCTGAGTGATCTCTGCATGCAGAACCGCCTCAACCGCGGCACATCCAAACCTAAAGGTCGCTTGACTTTCTGATAAGGCATCAGCAACGCAGTTCAAGGCTCTATTTCTGTCTTGCACTTGTGCACTCTGTCTTGGGCGAACACAAGTCTTATCATCCTTGCACCCTTGCACACATACTCCCAACACCGCTGCAGAGACCCGAAAAAGCGCCGGCTAACTGATCTCTGCTGTACATAACACTCCACGCAGCAGCAGAATCACAAACTCCACATAAGTAGCAGTGTAGATGCATTTTCTTGGCACTTGTAGGCAGATCTTGGCGCTCGCACTGCCTTGCATGTGTCGCATTCTCTCTTAATCAGATCACAAGCGCTGGGTGGAAATGTGGGGCTCAAGGTAAATGGGAAAAGGAAGGAGGGGTGTGCGCACATCAAAGCCCTCCAGGAGCACGCCGCACTCGGAGCCCTTGCCCACTCTCTCCACGTCCAGCTTCAGCCGCTTCAGTGATGCACAGGGGCCATCATGCACCTGTGCCAACCAACCCTTTCAGTGCCTCACAAGCTATACATGCACCTTGACATCTGTGCCACTGCACGAACAAGGACCTGCACCATTCACTAACAAAATTACTTCGTTCCTAAATCTAGCTCTCCCCTCACCATTTTGCTTGATACTGCAGCACGACCACTGGTAAGGGCTCACACTACTACAGGATGCCAGACCATGTTCTTGCCCTAGGAAAACGAGCAGAAGTACACTAACATAGCGTACGGGTGACATGCACTACGGAGAAGGTTCAGGGAACAATTATATATGCAAAGAAAACCAACTCCAGCCATTGCTTGATTGCGAGCAGCGATACCCAACCCCTGAACAGTTGAAATATCAAGAAAAGCACCGACTGCTCAACTTTTAAATTTCTAGATTGGCAGGTGCTTTTCCTTCCATGCTTGTTCTTTGGTTACTGCACACAAAACAGTCAGCAAAGGTGGTATGCGCGCACCACGGAGCCAGCTCGGAGGACGCGGAATCGGGCGGCCGCACGGAGGCTGCCCTCGGAGACGCGGCAGCCGGCGACGGAGTGGCTGGCGCCGGCGCGTTTGTCGGCCACCTCAAACACCTGCAGCACCTGCGCCTCTCCCACCACACTCTCCCTCTCCACCCGCGGCGCCGCCCCCGCCATCCGCTCGCCCACCTGTGCACCCCATGCATCTCCACCGCTCACACACTTGCTCTGGCATTCTTTCTTGGTCCCAGGGAGTGCGGAGACATTGATAGCTGGTGTGGTGGTCATGCATCAGCACACTTGCTGACGCAACCTTCTTGCCAAAACGGATGCGCTTGCAATATGCTGAACACTGATGTCCGCCATGCCCGAGACACCGCGCCTTTCAGAGCTGTACCATATCTGATCAGTCGCAGCAGCGAGTAGCACCCACTGGGGCTTTTGACCGGCTGCAGGCAGTTTGCTGCCTAAGCGGTTTATAGGAGTGTCTTCATGATCCGTTCTAGCAGCAAAGCGTGAGATCGGGTTCAGAATCTTTGCAGGGACTGGAGTACAAAGAGGAAAGCCCTGCGGCGCACCTCCTCCAGCAGGCGGTAGATGACGCGGTGCTGCAGCACGTCGACGGCGTGCTGCTTGGCGAGCGCATCGGCCGCATTGTCGGCCATCTTCACGTTGAAGGCCACGATCGTGGCGCCAGTGGAGGACGCCATGTCGACGTCAAAGGAGGTGACCGGGCCCACGCCTGTCTGCACCACCTTGACTCCCACTGTGTCGCTCGCCAGCGCCTGAACTGAATCCCTCACCGCCTCCGCAGACCCCTGCACCCGCGCGCAACAGCGCCTCATGATATGGACAGTCTAGAATGCAAGATCTGTTGCGGCGAGGATAGTGAGCCACAGCCGACGCAGGCAAGAAGACCTGCACACAGTTTGATTTCCAGGAGCTTGTCAATTGCAAGATGTTGGGTAAGATTCTCCCGTATGGAACACAGAAATGCTGTGGGGCTACAACAAGGAGCAGTCGTATCAGCACGGCCGACCTTGTTAGTCCTTCAAGGCCAGAAGTACAAACAAATCATCATGTCAGGGGAAACACGCAGCAGGGGACTCTTATTCCAAGTCCTCTACCCAGTGCGGCAAAGGGCATCATAGAAGGAAACGGCGGCGCACCTGGACGTCAGCCTTGACGATGAGGATGACTTGGCCGGGCTGGATGTCGGCAGCGGCGCCGTTCTCGGCGGCCTTGGCGGCGGCCGCCTCACGCTGTGCAGCCTGCAGGCGCACGGCGTGCGACTGGCGGCTGTGCCGGTACTCCTCCGCACGCTGCGCCCGCGCCTCGCTCACTCGCCGCGCCCGCTCGTCACTGCCACACATGCGAAGCTGGGATTCAGCACCTGCCTGTCTCAAGTGGGGCCTCATGGCATGACTGCACCCACTGTTTGTACAATGTGATACATGGAGAGAAAAGGACGCTTGAGAAGAAGAGGGGCAGTCTGCTGGTCATGTGGATAGACATCTTTTCTCTCAGCCAGGATAATGTAACATTTGTTTGCCCAACAAAAGACCTCCAGATTGGACAAGGCCATGCCGCCCGTTCCACTCGAGGATTCCATGACAGCACACAAAGGCTCCTCCCTTCAGCCACAACAGCGGGGCGATGCACATGCGGCAGCATTACAAGAGCCCATCCCAAGCAAGTCGCAAAGGGAGACAGATGGCTGTGTCAGGTGAAATAACCCCACCTGGGCAGGACCATGAGCTCGTCGCCTGCCTGGGGAACACCCCGCATCCCGGCCACCTCCACCGGCTGCCCCGGCAGCGCCTCCTTCATCGCAACGCCAGCCGCGCTGCGCATGCTGCGCACCCGACCCCACTCCGTGCCCACCGCCACATAGTCACCCACCTGTGAATGAGGCATCACAATATTAAATCGCACTCCTGCCTTTTGCCTCAACAAGTGACTTATATGCGGACACTCCCGCCCTTCATCTCAATGAAGTACCTGTGGCTTCTTCAGGAAGTACTGCAAGCTCCTGTGCATGACAATCTGAGGCTGTGCAGGAATATGCAAGCATTGCGTCTGTAATGCAGCAAGACAATTCTGGGACAAGGCATGGGCGGCATGTGCATCCTCCCAGCAACTCTTCAAGCTGCCAGTGAAAATGCCATCTTGACGCTACTTAAACAGGGAAGCCACGGAGCGCAGCTGATTTGAAAGGTTCGCCCATTCAAAATTTTCGTTCAATTTTCAATTCCAATTGCAAGTCAAAGTGAGGGAGTTGGGGCGCGCCTGCAGGCGGCCGCGCTTGACGATGACAGTGGCGACAGGGCCCTGCCCCTTGTCACGGCGCGCTTCAACCACGGTGCCCTCAGCCCGGCCGCCAGCCGAGGCCTGCAGGTCCATCACTTCTGCCTGAAGCAGCACCGCCTCCTCCAGCTCTGCCAGACCCACCCCCTTGGGTGCAGCCGTCTCCACCACCTGACAGCCCAGCAGTATAAGCTTGTTGGCCCTTGTGACAACCGTCTTTACTATTTGACAGCACAGCAGTATGAGCTCGTCGACCTGATCATGTCTGCCGATCTGCCCGCACCGAAGATAGGCCGCACTGGCGGACTCCAAGATGCAATATGAACACTGTATTTTGACCTGATCATGTCTGCAGATCCGACCAGACCCAAGATTGGCTACACACCAGATTCGAAGAATAAAGCAGCATACGCAGGTGACCTATGCCTTTGAAATCCGCATAGGGGAGAGGCTGGCTTCATTTCCCATCACAGAGCCTGAATGCTCTCTTGAGAACAGCTCGGTCTCCTATGCAACTCCACCAGCGCTGATGCAGGGGGCTGCCTGACAGCATGCAGTGAAAGACATGCATAGCAAGCAGAGGCAGAGGCCAATATAGCGGCAGGAACACATACCATGGTGTTGCCGCCGGCCTCCTCCAGCTGCAGGCCCAGCCCCAGCAGCTGATTCTTCACGCGCGACGGCTCCGCCCCCGGCATGTCGCACTTTGTCAGCGCCACTATGATCGGGCACTCCGCCGCCCTCGCATGTGCTATCGCCTCCTCCGTCTGCGCGTCAACCCGGCATGTGAATATCCAGAATACAGAATCAAGCAGCACTGTGCTTGTAACAACATAGTTTGTCAAGGCGCTAATCACATGCTGAGGCACCATAAATCTGCCAGCTCTAGGGATGCAATTTCTGGTAATGCGCCGAGGAGTAAAAATCCTGAAGCTTTGGAAAGCACTCTTCCCACTTCAAAATTGCAGAATACCCATTCCTCGCCAAACAACTTGAGCTGCACAGCCCTACAACTGACGAATTGCCTCGGCTTTTGAAACTGGAATCCAGGGGACAACCTTGATAAAAAGGTGATGCATGGCGATTAGATTCACCTGGGGCATGACGCCATCATTTGCAGCCACCACCAGGATGACAATGTCGGTGACAGATGCGCCACGCGCGCGCATGGCTGTGAAGGCCGCATGCCCCGGAGTGTCCAGGAACGTCGCCGTGGCCTGCAGCCGCACTTAGACTTTGCTCCACAAGCACATGTCTCACACGGCACAGGTAGATTGCAGAAAGCAGACACACTACTTGCGTGGCAGCTTGCATTTTGAAAGCATTTTTAGTGTGGAAGGGTTTGAGGGATGGCAGGCACCTGGGAGCCGGGCAGGGCAACCTCAAAGGCGCCGATATGCTGCGTGATGCCCCCCGCCTCGCTGGCCGCCACCGCCGTCTTGCGCAATGCGTCCAGCAGGGACGTCTGAAGGAGAGCACGCCACGATCAGCCAGTCCAATTCCGTGACTTCAGAGCAGCTACGGGTAGGTTTTGAGGCTGCTGCTGGCAATGCAACGTCTGAGAGGGTATATCATCCTGATCTGTTGAAAGTACCAGGCATCGCAGGGTACTGCCTTCCACGGATCAGAACGACATTGCATTCCAGGTGCTCCAATGAAGGCAGCGGCTTTATTGTGCTCCAGTGAAGGCAGCAGTGTAATGGGTAGTGTTCAGAATGGAGAAAGAGTGCATGACTTACCTTGCCATGGTCCACATGTCCCATGACAGTCACAACAGGCGGCCGCGGAACAGCGTCCTGATCCCGATCTGCACACAGCAAGAGGATTCTTCATGCAGCTTTAGACATTGTGTGCGAGCCAGAGTAGATTTCCAAGAGGCAGGCGTCTCGTGCGGAAAACAAAAAAGAGAATTGCGCGTACCTTGCGTATCTGGCGAGCGGATGGCAATCATGCCCAGCTCCAGCGCTGCCAGCTCAGCAATGTCCACCTCAACCCTGTAGGAACAACACAAACCTCCAGCCAAATCCATGGCAAATAAACTTGAAAGAGGTAATCTGGTATTTCATGCATTTACTCACGATATGCATAAACCATTTATTTTGGCGATCCGAGAAGCTGACATTGGGTAAATCAGTCTGCACGAAGTGGGGGGATTACCTGTCTTCATAAGAGGCTGGCTTCTCCCCCAGGCTGTCCAGGGTCTCCTCCAGCTTCTCCAGGCCGCACTCTGACCAGCACAAGATAAAATAAGAAATATACCGCATGGGGACAAGTTCAGCAACCGCATACACCCTTTCAATAAAGCTTCAGCAAAGGAGACATGCAATGCAGGAATGCAGCTGGTAGGAGGGCAAAGACACTCACTCAAGAGGGACGCAAGCTGCATAACAGTGACATCCTCCGGCAGGACAATCTCCTCGGGGGGCTTAAACTTGGGCGGCAACTGCGCAGGTCTCTGCAGCGGCCTGGGGTTCCTCTGTACTGCAGGCGAGCCGTCCTCTGAGGGAGCCGTAGGATCCGGCTGCTGCTGGTAACTGTATATCCCCTGCTGCCGCGCAACCTTCGCCAGGTGCTCGCGCTTCTGATGCTGCTCCTGAAGAGCGGCCTGTCATGCACCCCAGGCATAGACTTATTTAAACCACACCATCTACTATGCACACAGCCTTGAAAAGTAAACAGCATCCATCAAGGCCTGAAGACGGTAAGCTGCGCCCGCGCCCGCCCTTGCCCTACTAAAAGCGTAGCCTGAGATTTTCTAGGACCCCTGTCAAACCCCTGCCAGGCAGCTGTCCTGCAGTTTGCACCAGACCACCAAACAGGAGTACACAGCCAGTGAGGCCAATCTTGGCTGCTAGGGGGTTGGGCACGGAGCGCACCAAGTTGTCCTTGGGGGGAGCAAAGGCCGTCCAATCCCGCTTTGGCTGTCGCGGCCGGTACGGCGGCGGCCGCGGCTGCGGCGGTGGCGCGGGCGCCGCCTGATGCCGGTCGGGCACCCAGGTCCGGGGATCCCTGTACTGCCCCTTGGGCGGCCCGCTGTGCACAGCCGTCACCCACCTGTGCGGCGCTGCGCTGCGCATGCTGCCGCCCTGCTCCTCATCCGATGAGGCGCTGACCTCATGCCGATCCTCCGCTGCTGATGCAGCGCTGTCTGGCGCCACGCTTGTATTCAGAGCGCCTAGCCACCGGCTGCGAGGTGCATTCTCTGCGCCCTCTGGCGCCTGTCGAGCTGTGGGCTCATGCCATATGGGCCTGGGAGGCGCCCGCCTGGAGGCTCCGGGCCTTGGTGCAAAGGGGCCACCTCCTTGATATGGTTGATGCCCCTGGTGGTGCTGCTGTGCCCCATTCAGGGCCCCTGTATTGCCGGCGCTGGCATTCCAGGGTCGGTTCCTGCTGGGGTGATGATCCGGCCCATGGGCTGGCCTATCAGCTGCGCCTGTGGGTGAGCGCTGCCAAGAAGCGTTTGCGGCGCGCATCAGGTTCTCGGGGTGCGCTTGGTAGCTGCCTGGCGGCTGCGGCCGGCGCTGTGGGGGTTGGTCCCAGCTGCGAGAGGCTCCATTGAGCGCTGGGCCCTCGCTGCGCTGCCATCTGCTGGAGCCATGCGGAACAGAGCCAGGAATCGGCTCTGCTATTGCGTGCTCCTGATCTGCCCTCCCCTGAGATGCTAGCCACCGATGGACGCCTGAAACCAAGCGATGAATGACACATCATTTCAAAGTACCGCAAATTCTTGAAATGATAGCTTCTTTCATGCAACATATATTGTATTGGCTCTTAGGGGTGGACTGCTAGTTTCCCACACCTGGGGACGTCTGGCTCTGCTGGGGCGCGGTGCGCACATCAGCTGCAGGGCTCTCTGAACCGCTCGAGCCCGGCAGCTGCAGCCACCTTCTCTGCAGGCCGCCTACATCTGTTGCCGACCCTGACGCAGAACCTACAGCACATGTGCTTCTCGTAATTCGCACATAGTAAGCTCATGCAGTCGATCTGCAATGACTATGTGCCTGTACGAAGACATAGCCAAGAGCTGCTCAAGAGGTTCATGGGAAGCTGCAAACCATGCAGGGCGTCTGCACGCTCCTCCTGTGCCCCTTGATGCGGTCCATTCTTGACAGCTTTCGAGTGGATCGTTTTCCGACAGTCATCTGATGGTTTGGTCCTGTCAAGTCCTGCGCAGCAGCATAGGGGTGTTCTGAGCTACCAGGGTGCAACAGAAAGCGATCACAGACATTGCTGCTCATATGACTCTTATATCATAGACGAGATTGCTGGTTCCTACTTTGGGCAGATTGAAGCTGAACTACAAGAGAACTAGCTCCGACATGGGCCAAAATCACCCACCTGAAACAGCAAGTCTAGCATACGAAACTAGTCTCCTGTGCTGATTAAAGTTTTCAACGGCTGTCTTCGGCACCGAAGCCGACAAAATACTGACAAGAGCTGGAAAACACAACGAGCTGCCTTCAGGAGATCGGGACGCAGCCCCCAGCCCTGATTGTATCCATTGCATGGAAACAACTTCCGATGCAAATTTATAAGAAATTGCAATTGATGGATCGAGGAATGTGTATTTATTTCAATAGCTAGAAGCGAGGCGCATTTGGCTTGAACCACGACACAAGCCCTAGGGCAATACTCCAGCACCCTTCATATGAAGGGTGGATGTTGTGACGGAGCACATTCTTGGACAACATCTTTGACCGCGATTGAAAGACGCAAAGCAGACAATAGGCAGCAAAGTTGTGACATGTACATTCTATAAGCTTAACTGTACAACAAAGTCCAAGGTTGAGCTGGCGCTTGGAGCTGGACACGACCTCCTCTGATAGGTTTGCGACACGCAATCGGGAGCAGCGCATGGGCCAAGTCTTCTGGTGAAACAATAGTCATGAGCATCAGCGATGTACTCATCAGAACAGATGCTCTACTTGACAAGTACGTCCCGCTCTGAATTGAAGTTGAGCCTCTGCTTTCTGGCAAAAAGAAGTGGTTGTTGAATGTCCTCCACAGGTACGGGAAGTACACCGCGGAAGATGAAGCAAAAAACAAAGAAAAGTCCAACGACAGATTCATGGATGCTTATACAGATATGGTAGATCGCGTGAATGAGCTCAGCCTGGTAAGCCATCTACTGCTAACTAGCTGCTACAACTGGCGAGTAAAAGATGACCTCCTCTTCTCCTGATGACAAGAACAGGCAGCGAATATTTCGGTGTTCTTATGCTGCAGAGAGCAGAGGCAATCGGCCAGGAAAAGAACAGGGCCCTCAAAGCATCCCAGAACGCAGAACTCAGGTAGGGTGGCAAATGAATTCCTCCGCAGTCCCATACAATATGGGAAAGATAGTCACGTCCACTACCAGTGTACTGATCATCTTGTGCTTCTGCAGGCGTGAGAAGGGTCTGCTGCTAAGCGAGGAGCTTCCAAAGCTTGAAAAGCTTGTGAAGAAGGGCAAGAAGGTCACCCAGGAGATCGTAGATGACAGGCTAGGAAAGGTATGGCCCCTCAATTCGCATATCTCCTGGAATTGCAATGCTGGAAAACATGCTAGTTGTGCTTGTGGCTTGCAGACCACGCCTGCGCACCTGCTATTAGTAAAATTAGTGATACTGTTGTCCTGCACGGTGGCAGGTGAGGCAAATAAAGGAGGGAATTGAATCTGTGCCTGATGGGGTGCACACTCAGCGCAAGCCTTTCAAGGTGAGGCATACATGTCTCCCAAGCAGAAGCGCATGGCAACGGTGAAATTGTTATGACTCGTCACTCTTATTCACTCAAGAATGCTGCCAAGAGTCTAGCATTTGACCCTGTGTATGATGTGTGGGTGCAGCCGATGGTGGCAGACTTGGGTGGGAAGGGCAAGGGTAAGCAGGAGATCACAATTGATGCCACCCAGAGGGACATGCGCATGGATGGAGATGCAAATTGTTACTCTCACACTGAGGGCACAAAAAAATTCCGCCAGGCGAGAAAAGCTGATATGAAGTTGCATTTCCAATGACCTTACCTTGAAACGTGTGGGTGTGTTGAGACAAAAGTGCTGCTTTGTCTCCTGGGATGGTTCGCAGTAAAGTGGGGAAACCTGCATGCAGGAATGGGAGGATGCTAAGAGGAAGCAAGATAAGGCACTGGACAATATTGAGAAAGGTATTGGCACCCTGAAGGGGATCGGCGAGGCCATGGGAGAGAGCCTCAACCAACAAGATGTTGTGTTGGATACAATCGATGAAAAGGTGACGCAAACTGAGTCTGCTGTGCATTGGCCACTGTAATTTGAGGCAAACAGTGCACAGATCATGCCTAAATAGGCCTGACCGAACTGCATAGTTTGCAAGCTGACAAATGATGTTGTGGCCATTTACAGATGAACAAAGTCACTGAGCAGCTGAAGACAAACAACGTGAAGCTCAAGGGCATTGTGACACAGGTAAGCATGCTGTTGCCAGCCCCTGTAGACTCTTACAAGACGCTGCACTATTACTGAAAATTGCGTGCTAATTTGCTCATCACATGTTTCTGTTGCTGCAGATGAGATCCAGCCGAAACTTCTGTTTGGATGTGGTGCTCATCTGCATCATATTGGGTCTAGGTCTCTATCTGTTCCAGTTGTTTAAAAAGAAATGATAGTTCTGGCCATTTAACTAGAAGGAAAGAATGAATTGCAAGAAACGAGTGCTGTGCTTCTGAAAGTTTTCCACTCCTCAAGTCTGGAATGACTCTGTGCACAGCTTCCTTGCTGTTCTCATTCATAATTTCCTGTTCACGGCTGCTCATGTCTATCAGAGGCTAAACCAAAATTGTCCCTGGGCTGTAATAGATACTCGCTCATAAATGAATCCTGGTTGCATTTGTGATCAGTGTTCCCAACATACAGACTACAAATAGTACACTCCCAGTGGCGTCACCGTACCCTCTGTCCTCTCAAATTCCTGCCTCAGAGCTCCATGACCATATCTCTCTCTACGAGCATCTCAGCTGCTCTCTGTCAGCCGACCCACCGAAACCGCTCAATCAGCTCCCACTGCTGAGCATCTCCGACACATTCACGCCCGAGGCTGTCAGCGCAAAGAGCACAGTCAGCACAACGCTGTTCCACGCCCCGTGGATGATCATGGGGGTCAACAAATTGCGCGAGCGCACGTAGCTGAAGCCCAGCAGAGTGCCCAGTGCAATCAGCTGCGGCAGGTCCCGCGGCGATAAGTGCGCGAGGCCGAACGCGGTCGCGCTGAGCACCACAGCCGCCGGAGTGGGCATCCACTTTGTGAGCGTGGTGAGCAGGAAGCCGCGGAAGACAGTCTCCTCCAGAAAGGGCGCCAGGATGCCGGTCACTGCTAGAAGGCTGGCGTAGGTAGGCAGGTCCAAGGAAATGATTCGTGCAACGCCGTCCGCCGTGCCCTGCCCTCCCACCGCCTGCATGGCAACATGACTCGCGGATTACTCACCTCCCTCACACAATAACTATCCCAGTTTGCATATAAATCATATGATATAACAGCGTTCCGCCATGTCTCTGGCCATCATGCACATCATGAAATCACGCAGGGCAGCCGTACAAGCATGGATAAAGAAAAAGAAGGATGTGAGGAGTGTGATGTGACAGTGGCATTGTGGTGTAGCCAGGCCCACCTCATAACCCGCGTATGACACAATGGTCACAGTGATGCCGATGACTGCTGGTGACAGGACCATGCCCAGTAAGGCCCATGTAAGCCAGCCTCTGGGCTTCGAGAAAGGTTCCCTGCAAACAAATGCTTGAATTACTACTTCTCTTACCACATCTTGAGAACAAATGTTCAAGCCGCTGAGTGAATAATACATATGGGTAGCACACGAGGGGCCACCAATTACCTCCAGCTGGTCTTGAACAAATCTGCTTCCTCTGGCAACGGGTCAAAACCCCCAATGGTTCTCTTGATGACTGCAATCCCCACCACAGTCTCTGCCACCTGGCAATCCAAAGTTCAGCACATGAGCATGGGCAGCTGCCTTCTTGAGGAGCACTCTCAGTGAAGTATTTCACATCAGAGTGGCATGAGCAGGCTCTGATCTGACCTGGTTTGCCAAGACGAGGAAAGATTTGTCTGTCGCCGTCAGTCTGCTGTAATTCTGCAGCGCAGCACATCTCTCATGAGACGAGTCTTCCTTTTTAGACCACAACTGGACAGTGAGCGCAAATTCTCTATCATGTAGCTTCATCAAGGACCTCATCGTGCCCATGCCACATCATCACGGCCCTTACCGTGACCCCTGCGGCTTTAACTACCAAGGGCGCCAGAACAAGTCCAACCAGCAAGAAGCTCAGTGCCCACGCTCCCATGCCAATGGTCAGTTCCTTGCCACCCCAAGGGACCTGTCGCAGCATGGAATGGCACTCAACGCGCTACAGTGCCTTGATCATGCGTGTAAAGGAGAACATGACTTACTTGACTGGCAAGCTTCCCAATGTCGCATGATCAGCTAGGAAAGACTGCAGCGTTGAGCTCTTGACTTCTTCATACCTCCCAGGGTACTGCATAACGGTCCCATTGGAAAAGGCCCCATTTTGTGTCAGTCTCTCCACCGTTCACAGAAGGCTTCTGCAACGAGCTCTTTGCGGGAGCCAGCAACTGCTCTTTTCTGTCTTTCTCGTGGCGTGTGCCAGGATCTTCGCCTGTGCGGATGACATTCACCACTTTTATATAATGCATAGTACAAAATCTTGCTTCCTTGCAGAGCAAAGGTGTCAAACAGCATATGGTCTTCTTTTGAGAAACGCACCTCGCACAATCAGTATGTTTTGGCATTTCCTGCATCTCTGCTGCCATCTGCACACATCATTTCCAAGATATCAATGCTGATCGGTCGCTCCAGGTGGTGATGGCAGACGACATGTCAAGATCCTCGACTCGACATACCTGGGTCTTTGGAGCCCTTCAAGAGGCTGTCTAAGGTTCAGAATTGCATGCGCCTGCAGATGTTGTGTTTTTCCAAGGCTGCTTACAGGCAAAATTGCTCTGAAATACTGACGCCTGAAAATACTGTTGCAGGTGTGTGCTACTGAACTGCTCGAGAAGTTCTGCGATGAATGCATTGTGACTCCTATTTTTATATCACACTTTAATTATCAATCACAATCAACAGTGACCATGATTGCTTCGTGCCTGTACTTCCTTCCCCTACATTATTCAGCCCTCCGAAAGAAAACCTACGCCGAAACGAAACAGTGTCGGAACATGAGCAAGCAGAAGCCTTGTAAGGTGGACCATTCCCAGAAGTGCCACTGTGGTGACAAACAAAGGATTGATATTGGCAGTGATCATCCCTTAGCTGACAGATATGGCGGAAGCTGACAGTACAGATCCGAGGACTGTCTTCATAAAGGGGATCAGTTTTGACTGGGACAATTCGGACTTCGAGAAAGCAGTCAGCGATGTGGGGCCTGTCCGCAAGTGTTTCCTTTTGAAGGGTGCAGGCAAGCATCACAAGGTGCGATCGCTAAGTGCAGAATTGCCTGACTGCTGTCTAGTACCTTTCCTTGTTGGAATGTTTACGCCTTCCAACATGTGTTTTGTGTCGAATATATTACAATTCCCCGCGATCTGGCTGGTGAGGTGCATGTGCATTCTCAAGAAAGTGATCTCAAGCGTGAAGAAAGTTCTGGTGCTGCAGGGCTGTGGCTTTGTGACTTTTGCTCTGCAAGAGGATGCTCAAAGAGCCGTCCAGGAGCTCAGCGGCAAGAAGCTGGGTGGACGCACCATACAGGCAAGGACAGCTCTGACTCAGACGCACTTCATAATTCCAACAAACCAGCCAAACCAGCCACACTTGCAGTGATCATTTTGGCGTGCATGCGGTTTCCACTGCAATCTGACTTAAATTGGATACACACAGGTGGAGGCAGCACAGCGCAGGGCACCCTTTGCAGAGCGCAAGGACAAGAAGAGGAAACGCACAGAGGATGCACCTGCCCGCCCCGGCGATGCAGAGGCCGCCACTGCAGCCGTCACAGCGCCGCAGCAGCCATCCCCGGCAGCAGAGGCGGCAGCAGCCTCTCCGGCGGCCGAGCGCAAGCCACGTAAGTCAAAGAAGCAGCGCGTCGGCCAGAAGTCTGGCGAGGCAAAGCCGGCAGGGGATAATGCCAAGCACGCCCTCGTGCGCACAGTAGCGCTGGGGAATCTGTCGGCGGGGAATAGGGATCAGGCGTTGGCGTATGCAGGGAGCGACACTGCCGCCCATTCCGTGGTGCAGCCGTCGCAGGCCGACCTGGACTCGCACGTGCTGCAGCGCGACGGCTGCGCCGGCGATGTGGTCTTCCTGGTGTACTCCACGGTATGGACTCGATTCCTACTTTGCAATTTGTAGCGTGTGGAAAAAGTGCCTTGAAACTCTATTGTGGTCCACCCACGCTTGCACCCCAATGACATGGTCTCAGAACATGCAACATGCAAACTGCATTTTCAATCAACTTCTTGTGGTGGGTGATATCTGGTGGAAAATGCAAGATTGTGCTGTGTGACACGGTTGAGAGTTCAAAGGCTCATGTAGTCAAAACCTCGGATATGCATTTCACAGGTGAAGGATGCACTGGCAGCGGTGGAGAAGCTGCACAACCACGTGCTGCAGGACGGGGACGGCGGGGGGACCGGGCCCAGGGGTAAAAAGTCGAAGGCGGGGGCGTCGAGCGGGACGCTGCTGTGGGCGCGCCAGGTGTCGGGCGAGGGCGCCCACCTCAAGAAGTGGCGCCTCATCCTCCGCAATCTGCCCTTCAACGTGCGTGCATCCTGTCCCTCTACTGCTGTGGACACTTCCACAATCCGCTGCTCGTCCAGCTTGTGCAGGGCATCTCTGCCTTGCATGAAGCCAGCTCTGGGTGTCTTGTATATAAGGCAGACAAGTTGGCAAGCAGCCAGGCAGGTCTGTCCCATTACGGCTTGCCTGCCGAATGGCAACGATGATGCATTTGTACACCTAGTCGGTCCTGGCTGGTGCAGGTGAAGGAGGTAGACCTGAGGGAGCTGCTGGCGCCTGCCGGCTTTGTCTGGGAGCTGACTGTGCCGCGCAACCCTGACGGTGCGACACTTTGCATTTCTTATTGCACGTATCTTGCTGCTGCCTTCGGTCGCAATTTTTCCTACTGCAGGCTTTACACTTGTCATCTGCGCCATGGTGAGCAAAGTGACTGCAACAATATCGTGCATCTTGTGCTGGCTGAGTTGTGCCACTTGCTGTTTGCAGGCAAGGCTCGGGGCTTTGGCTTTGCTGGGTTCATGTGCAGGGCGCACGCTGAGAGGGCCATCAAGCTGGCCAATGCCAAGGTCAGTAGCTTACACCTGACATGACCCTAATGCCTGTTCCCATTTAACAACACTTGAGATTATTATAGTGCTGCTGAGGCACCCGTGTGACTCTCACGACGCCAGCTGTGCTAAATCATGTTGTTTCTCTCAGATGGTGGGAGGGCGAACCATTGCTGTGGACTGGGCGGTCCCAAAGGCTCAGTTCCAGAGCAACACACCTGCAGAGGCGCCTGCCGGAGAGGGGAATGATGCGCTTGCAGAGGGCAGTATATCAGACGATGAAGGAGACACAGCAGGAGAGGAGGAACCAGTCAGTGAGCAGGAGGATGAGGGGGCGAATGACTTGGAGCTGGAAGACGAGAAGAAGCTGCTGCGGAACGTGCTGTCCCAGATCGATGATGGGGACGAGGATGAAGCACCACAGCCAGCAGCCAAGGTGTGGCTTTCGCCTGTCCACAGGAATTTGTGGAAGCAAGTCAATGTGATGATGCATGACCACATCACCGGTCACCAGCCCAGTACTCGTTGAGACCCGATAAGACCAGAAAATGAGCAGTACTCTTGTGCAGATGCTGTGGTCATGCATTGTCACAGTATTCTGGCAGCTTGCTGGGGCAGGAAGGATTTCTGATTCGCAAGAGTTTGGACTGATAGATTTTGCTTCAGAGACAGATGTTGGGAATTAGGATTGTAAGAGGCAGATGGTGACACGTGCAGGCAGGCAAGAAGGCTGCAAAGGAGAAGCAGAAGCCACAGGCCGACCTGCCAGAGGCGCAGGCAACGCCTCAGGATGCCGCTGCGGATGAGATTTTGGCTGGCGCGGCCAGAGGAGAGGCGGCTGCACCGCAGCACAAGGGCGAAGTGCAGGCGACGGTGTTTGTTCGGGGCCTGCCACTGGACGTGCTGCAGTACGAGCTGCACGAGCGCCTTTCTCGCTTTGGCAAGCTCAAAGCCTGCAGGTCTGTCCAGGGTCCCTGCTCCATTCTGTCTATAAGTTGCCCTTTGCAAGTCTGCTCTGCACACACAAACAATCACCTCTGCACAGAATAGGCAGCGCAGAGCATGCCGGCCGTGCTTCCCCTGTGCAGAGAGATCACACTGATGAGTGATACTGGTGTTCCTGCCAGAGGCAAGGTGCACCTGCAGACAAGCTGCATATAAATTCTGTCACATATCCTTGAATGTGTGTGTTGGCTGCCAGGTTGGTGCAGGACAAGGGTACGAAGAAGCTCAAGGGAACGGCCTTTGTGGAGTTTGAGCAGCAAGCCGACGCGCAGGCCGCCGCAGATGCATGCGCCAAAGCCAGGTGCCCCCGCCATTCCATCATTTGTGATATTAATCTCATTTTGGACCTGTCAGGGGTTACTTATTACATGTATAGTTCAATTAGCACCCCGTGGGTCTGTTGCACCCGCCCAAGTCCCTACTTTGTCTTGTGCTCACACTATGCTGCATATTACTGTTCATTTGTCTGCTGCCAGGACAGTGCGACTAACTACAGGCTTCCAGCAGGACCTGCGTGTTCTGAGAATAGGTGTTGTGCAGGTCGGGGCAAGGCGCTGCGCTGGCAGTGCGGGGCAGCCCCATAGAGGTTGACCTGGCGCTGACTCAGGACGACGCACGCCAGCTGGCAGGCGCCAGCAAGGCCCAGCCCGGCGGCAAGGACAACCGCAACCTCTACCTTGTGCGCACCTCCCTCCCATCCTCATGAGCTCGAGGCATTTGTATTGCATATTTTAAAACAACCCCTTATGAACCCTTGCTGCAGGGTGTACCAACACAACATTGATCTAGTCCTCTTTCCTAATCTGATACTCAATGCTACATTGTGTATGCCGTCTTGAGTACCCCCTGCATCTTGACTGGAACAGAATGAACTGTAGTCATGTGTGGTTTGCATGGTAGGCTTGATCAGGGCTGATGTGCGTTCTTCTGAGAAGAGGGAGATGTTTGTTGCGTGCAGCTGAAGGAGGGGCAGATAGAGGAGGGGTCACCGGCGTGGCAGGCCATGTCGACGGCCGACCGCGCCAAGCGCAAGCGCGCGGCGGCCGAGGCGCGCACCAAGCTCAAGAGCCCCAACTATTTCCTGTCACGCACGCGGCTGTGCCTGCGCAACCTGCCGCCCAAGCTCTCCGAAAAGGGCCTCAAAGACCTCGTCCTGGCTGCTGTGAGCCCCCATCGAACTTTCCTATCCCTGCAATTTCTTGGGATGCATTGTTGGCCTCCAATCGAGCGGAAGAGTTTGTCATTGATGCAGAAGGATTTCTCGGGTCTTGTTTGGGGGCTACTTGAAGAAAGTGCCATGATTTAGATCGCTTCTGATGGGCTGGAGGAGGTGGAAGCAAAACTCAGTAGTGCCTTTCGTTGCTGTACAGCTGTCTGGTGTATTGCAACCCTCTGCCTTCTTGCATGCAGCAAACAGAGACTCAGGGACTACCTCTGTCTTTGGGGTTCCCTGATCCCACCCCAGGGACTACCGATAATTGCTGTCCTTGCTGAAATGTTGACAGTTGAAATTCCCCTTTTGAGGAAAATTTGAGTGACAACGAATCCCATTACTGAGATATGTCAATGCCTGAATCTCAGGTGAAGGAGCGGGCGGCAAAGGCGCAGCCGACGGTAAAACAGGTGAAGATTCTGCGCGACGCCGACAAAGCGGGTACGGACGGGCAGGCGGCCAGCAAGGGGCTGGGCTTTGTGGAACTGGTGGAGCACGAGCACGCGCTGTGCGCGCTGCGCCAGCTCAACAACAACCCCGTGCCCTTTGGTGCGCGACCCCTGCCGCCTACCACTTGTCGTTGCCCCCATTTTTGCAAATGTCTTTAATGATGTATGACTTGGTGAGAACCCCTTGGGGAGATATTTTTGTTCTTTGTTCATCTCCAGCACTGCACTCAGCCATGCAATGTAATAGTGCAATCTTGACACGATGACAGCACTTTGAAAGCTGAAAATGATCAGATACATGTGATTTGTGACGTCAGCATATTGATGGTGCGTGCAGGCACCGAGCGGCGTCCGGTGGTGGAGTTTGCGATCGAGAATGCGCAGACGCTCAAAAAGCGCGAGATTCGCCGCCGCAGCATCAACGCCGACGACACCCGGGCGCCGAAGGGCCGAGACAACGCCGCGGCCCCGGCAGACGGCGCGGAGCCGACACCGGGAGACGAGCCGGCCGTGTCAAAGAGGACGCAGCGCAAGCGCAAGCGCGAGGAGAAGAACAACAGCAAGGTTCGTGCACATCATTGAAGCCGACTTGCTCCTTGGCATCCATGCAATTATACAAGGCTTGGACAGGCCTTTTGAAGATGCATTGGCTATTCCAGCAGAGAGCTTCACAGAACAAGTGTCAGGCGCAGGCCTCAATGAGCAGCCGTTGGTGCAAATTGAGCGTGAGTGGGTGTTGGTTTGTGTTGCAGGTGAGCGGCAGAGTGGAGAGCGGTACCGAAGCGGGCACATCAGGGCAGGCTGGTGGTGCAGCTGCGCCGTCTGAGAGCCCGGTTCCAATGCAGCAGAGCAAGCGGAGGAAGAGGGAGCTGAGGGCGGCAGCCAGGTCAGGGGGTAAAAAGGGAAGCCCTGCCGCAAAATCTGCGGCCCAGGTGAAGAGTAAGGCTGCGCCGCAGCAGCAGGCAGCAAAGCAGCAGCAGGCGGCAAAGCAGCAGCAGGTACCACAGCAAGCGCAGAGAGAGCCGGCAGACGGCGCGGCCAGGAAGCCCCTCCCTATAAAGCAGAAGAAGAGGGCGCAGGCTGACGGTGAGCACCACATCTTATCCTTCCTTTGTATTATCTTGCCAAAATAATGGACTGTGAAACAACTGTTTTGGAATGTTCCGGACAGGCAGACAGGAGACTTGCGCGATGTATATATAAACGCGTGCCTTGATCTCTGCATTCCTCTCAATTTGGCTTGATGGCACGCTTTGCATGCAAGGTGCAGGTGCAGACGGCGGCTCTGCGCAGCAGAAGGGGAAGAAGAGGCAGAGGACTGGGGTGGAGAAGGCAGACAAGCTTGATAGCCTGGTGACACAGTACAAAGCACAGCTGTTTGGGGAGGGCGCTGGGAAGGGCGCCAAGGGCGGCCTCAAGTCTTCAATGCAGCGGTGGTTTGAATGATCTTGTGTGCGTTTTGCAAAGGAACTGGACCGATGTTGGGAACTGCAACATCAAGATATACAGTATAGTTGTCTGTACTCCTGAGCCTTTGTTGGTGTGTGAATGGCCCATTGGACCCCTGTAATTGCTGCTGCTTATTTATGACCTGCTCATCTTTCACAATATCCAACTTGTAAGATTAATGTTATGTCAACAGATGCAAGAAATTTCTGTCTGTCCTGCAATCCCAAAATTACAATACAACTCTGCTTACAAGGAAAAGGCCAGCAACAATATTTTTGTTCATATATTTTGAGTTCCCAATGTTCAGCGTGTCCACTTTCATCAACCACCACTGGACCAACATCAATTGTGCACTCCAACACCCCTTAATCAGGCTGCCTGATTCAGGCACCTGAGCTCTCCTAACTTCACACCAGACCGGAAACACCCCTAGAAATATTTGCCGCTATTGCCTCCCGCTCGCCGCTGCTGCCGCCCCCGCTGCAGCCTTCTTCGCCTCTGCAATGTCCTTTGCATAATTGTGTTGCTCCAGGGCTACCTGTGACCACACTCCTTATCCTCTTTATTTCCTGGTGGAAAATTCACAGTCTTTGTCTCTATGAGCTGCACTCCTCATGAGGCGCCAGCACCGCGCAGCATGACCAGCTTCTTTTGTCACAAGAAGGGGGATTCATCGGCTGCCCGATGACCGGCAAAATATATCTGCACAGCTGTGTGCGTGCAAAGACTTACTGACAAAAGCTCCAATGGTGCCGGCCCATGCAAGGCACACATAATGTTGAACATATCAGTAGACACCGGTGTTCCTTGTATAACAGCTCCCTCTTAAAATCTTTTGAGAGCTTGTCTGATGAAACCTCTTCCCTGACTCCAGTAGATATGGTTTGGTCTTGGCAGCGCTGCAAGTGTGGGGCCTGGAAGCACCTTGATTTCCTCTTGCAGGTCTTCCTCGGTGATGTTGTCGTGGATCGACTGCATGACCTTCTCGTACACATGGTACGCGTTTGGAGTGTCCTTGTCGCTGCGCACGCGCATGTAGCGCCAGACGCCCTCCTCCCCGTCCCACGAGCACTCCACGATGCAGTTCTCAAGCCGCGTCACGTCCATGCCCTCGTCGAATACCACTCGCGCACCTGCGCGCACATGCCGGCACATTCATGCATCTTAGCGCGGCACAGTCACACAGTCCTGTTTGGTGCTGCTTCACTCTGCTCTTGTCTGCTGTGCCCTCTTTGGTTCATCTTCCGGCTGGATGAGGAGCAACGCCAAGAGCCAGATCACTGTGCATGGCAGCTTAATTCAAGTAAACTTTATTAAGCATGACAACAATCTGTGCACTAATCTGAGGCAGGTCAGGTGGGTGCTGACCTGGCAGGGGCACCTCTCCCTGTACAGGCTTTGACCTGCGCGTCTCCAGCAGCCGCAGCTCCGCCCCTGCGCACACAGCATGCCACAATGCTCATGGCCATCCTCATCAAGGGACATGAGCGCTTTTCTTCCCTTCAACTCGCCCTATGGAGGTTGCAGAGCTGAACTTCCATACTTGGAAGCAGGACAGTCCTTGTGCTCAAACAATGGCAGAAGATTCTATTTGGCCTGACCTGCGGCTGTGGAGCGCAGGCGGAAGTCAACAGAGTTGAGGTGCGCGAACTTCCACTTGAGCAGATTGAAGTCCGTGCCGGCCACATACTCCTCATCGTACCCCTTTACACAAATAGCCCAAAATCTACTCAGCACCTGTAGCCCATTTAAAATAATTAACGAGCACATTTGAGCCTTGGCCATAGCAGCAACAACGCCACAGCCCTGATCAGCCTCTTTTTGGCCTAGCAGTGCAGTGCAGTCATGCATCAGGGGCCTCTATAGGCAACAGCTTGTGCTCCCACCCCGGTCTGCTACCCCCTTTCTAATTCACCAACCACTTCTGCATCAAAGTCACATGCCTGGGACTGGCACCATGCTTGCTCCCTGGGGGGCAGTGCTGAACCCCACTCTCCGTCCTATTTAGGTGAAGGAAACATCAAAGCCGGCATGCCAAGTGCCAGGGCATAAGCACACCTGGAAGATGAGGCCGTCGGCTTCGTGGGGCAGGCTGGGGATGAACTGGTCCAGCAGCGTGGACATGCGCGACAGGGGCCAGAACTCTTTCCGCCGCACGCTGAACAGCTCCGATCCGTAATCATAGCGCACCGGATACGGGATCTTGGGGTCCCGTATCCCATCGCGCTCCTTCCGCCGAGGCCGCATCACCTTCTCTTCCATGCGCGCCCACCGCTCCTGCGCATGCATGCATTTTCCAGCATTAGGTACTTGCAAGTAAGATTTCTGCCCTAAAGGGTCTACAGCATGCATGCAAATTTTCCAACAAGCAAAGCCGTCCTTCGTACATAGTGAGGCCTGGCTGTGATCACAGAGACATTACTCTTGCTAGCCTTTGGTAAGGTTGAACAGGCGCCCTTGTGCAAGAGCTCGCACACAAATCTTGCGCCCAGCATGCGTGAGTGCTGGCAGCACTGAAAGGGTGATGAGCGGCAAACGCTGACACCATGATCAAGTGACAGAGATATCATGATTGATGCACAATCAAGAGGAAACGAGCAGGGGCTGCAGGAGCGCGCCTTGGAGGGGAGGTTGGAGAGGGATTTGCCGTGGAGGGCGATGAGGTCATAGGCCAGGAACCTGCGCGTCTGCGTGCCGGCCGCAATGTCCTCATCTACCAGCATCTCTCCATCCAGCAGAGTCATGTGGTGCGCCTGCAGCTGACCGTCCTTGCCCACCAGCTGCACCGGGAATCGCATCTGCGCACGCATCCAGTAGCCGCCTTCACTGACATGAAAGAGTTTACCAATTGATGTGAAAGAATTGACCCAAATGATGAGAAATTCATCCTGCCTGGGTCTCCTCCTCATGGCTTCTCATCAGGAATTTAGAATTCCCTGGGAGGGTCTTGCAAAAATGTCAGGGATCTTGAGACAAGATCTGTGCAGCTGCACTTCCAGATGGACAGCAGCAGAAACGTCACTCATGATTGGCTCTTGTGAGAGAGCTTGAGAAAAGGCTCCAATTTGCTTTATTGTGCATGGAAGTCAAGGTGATAGGGGTGGCTCCGTTTGGCATGACAGTACAAGTCAGAAGACTGGCTCCAAGTTGGCCCTGTAGCGCATGGAGCTGCAAGCAAAGAAGAGCACTCACCTGGACTCGGCGCACGTTGAAGGAGCGGTCAATGAGGTAGACGCCCCACTTGCACAGCAGCAGCATGTAGCGCGTGCCGTCAGCCTTCCAGGTCACCCAATAGCGCTTTTCGCGCAGCTTCCCCAGATTCGCGCGGTCCAGGCTCACCGGCTGGCCGCCCGGGAACCGCAGCTGCGCCGCCGGCACCTCGTGCTCAATCCCATGCACCTGCGCGCACATGCCGGCACCTGCCTCAGCCGCGCTGATGTCGCACCCCCGGCCACACATGCGGCACGCCCCTCTGCCCCGATACACCTCCCGCTTAATGCCGTGCTCTCGCAATATAATGGAATTAAAAGAGGAATTAAGAGATCTCTAGCATATAAGTGCCTTTCAATATTTTTCAAATGCCCTGCATCCTGGCTTATGGATGCTGCTGCATACAAGAGCATTTGGCTCTGTGTTGTCTGTGTCATCAAAGCCGGAGGGCCCAGAGGGTGGTACCAGCTGCACGACAGCCTGGCGGGCGACCAGGGCTTCCTCCTCCTGTACTGCCTCCCCGATGATATCATCGTGACTCATCACCGCGGGCTCATCACTCCCCTCAACCCCAGCCGCTTCACCTGGCAGTATCACAAAGCCATCTGTCTTTGGCTGGTGCTTTTCTTGAAAGGAGAGCAACTCTTGTGTGTTGCGGGATTTCTCACAGGACAGCCCGCCATGTCATCAGAAGTGGACAGCAGTCCAGAGGAGTGATGGGCTGCTGAGTGAAAATGGACAAGCGCACTATCAAGGATATGGTCGGCCTTGGGTGAGTCGGGTTCTTCTGGTTTCCACGCCGGCAACTTAGGGGCTTGGAATCCTGAAGGCCTGCACAGGGACAGATTTTTCAAGACTAGCCACTACTCCCTAGTTCGCCTCTGCTTCAGGCTCAGATAGCAGAAATATGGTGTCAAGGGGCTCTAGAGCTTGAAGAAAAGGGCAGTTAGGGGCTCACAGTGGTTCATGGTTGTATTTGTACAGTTCCCGTATGTAGTCTTCCTTGTAGATACCCGGTGGTCTGTGCTCTGCAAAGATTCTGAGCGCCCTCTCCACTGACATGCCTTGCCGCACAAGGAAGTTCACAATCATGTACCCTGGCGCAGCACACCTGTCAGGTCTACTCAGCAATGCCAAACCTTGAGAGTCTTTGGTACCTCCTTTTGGCAGTAAGGCGAAGAGTTCCATCTGCAGGGCATGTGAGATCACTGCATGGTGCTAACGAAGCACTTCGCACAAGGTGTTGGCAACCAGAACTACCTGTGCGATTGAAGCCATGCGTACAATGCAAGACAGCCCATCTGGCGTTTGCTCGGTGGTAGTAACTCATGAGCTCCCACACAAAGGTGTTGACGGCCTCTGGCTCAGGAACCTGTAGTTAAAGAAGGTCTGTAAATCGCCTTCTGTGTCACAGTATTTGGCATGAGAATGACAGTTGAAACATGCAAAAATTGCCAATTACTGCCATGTGAGCCTCATCGCTGTGAGGTCTGAACAGAACTGAGAAGCCATCCATCCATCATGGTATACTGACCTGGCCTCGACCTCTGCAGGGAACCTGCATAGCAATATGGCAAGTTCACAGCATCTGTCCGGATCCAGAGCAAACTTCAAGCAATACAACAAAGGGGTTCCCAGGGGTGCAGACCTTCAAGTGCTCCACTCCCAGCGCATCAATCTCATCCCTTTCATAGTACCTCCAGGTGTTTGTAAGGTCTATCAGAAGCCCCACCTTGCGACACACACCCACATAGGACACTCCTTCCCGGGACACCAAGCAACGCATCTTAAACACGAGCTGTGGAAGCAGTCAAGAGAAGTGCGCACCTCCACGCCTTTGGCGTGCAGCTGTTCCATCAGCTTCACCGGGGAGAAGTGTTCTTCGTCACTGAGCACGCGCGAAAACCTGTGGCCAAGAGGGACCTGCAGCATCCGCATATGATTCTCAAGCATGATTGTGGCACAATGATGTGCAAGCGGGCTCTGAAGGACACACTGTCAACGACTTGAGCCTGATCACCTTCACTGGAACCACCATCAGCGGTGTTATTCTGTGCCCCATGGGTGGGCAATCTATCCAGCCGCTGGGCAGCTCTAGGCCTGGTGGCATGATCCTATCCACTGGCCTGCTGCTGCCTGCCACTGTGCCATTCGGCTGTATGGAAGAAGATGTGTCAATTCGGAGTTGGAAAAGTGAAGTTAAGAGGAGGACACTTTGATGTTTCGTAGATGATCGGATAATGGAGGAGCTTCATAACATAACAGGACACCTCACCGAAGTATTTACATTCAATTTTCTTCGCTTCTCGGGTTCCTCAGAGCCCGGATCCTCTACACAAACTCTTTTTTCCATTGTGGCACCTGCTGTTTTTCCTGGTGTGAAGTGTTGATGTATACTGTCACAATATATTTATTCGACTCTCAACAAAATATCAGGCTGCATCGAAGGAGGGAGTGATCTGCCTTGGAGCCCCACATTCACTCAGTAAGTGAGTGCTTGTGAACCTGCCGGAAGCTGCCAGATCAGGCGCAGGTGACCCATTTCATGACCGCTCTTCTGCTCAATCATTCTATCACATTCCTGACTCAGAAATGAACCTGGTAGACTTCCGATTACAGTTCCTTTTCAGTATTGCGGGTGTTCTAAATCTGCCAATCGATGGCATTGAACCAACCACAATATGTTCAGAGCACTGATGAGTGCCGTGCAATTTGCATATCGTCTGCAAGTATGTAATTTTATTGTACGATATATTTGTGAATAACTCAGGCATGCATTTGGAGCCTGTCGCATCAGCCCTACACTGGTTGATTTGAGATTGCAAGTGTCAGATTAGAATGGACACATCGGGATGCAGTGTTCGTACAATGATTGTTCTGGGATCAGGTGATCTTTGGCCAGGTTTCAGTAGTCATCAATGATGTCCTTTTGCCTGCTGCTTGTCCCCACTTTTCTTTTCTGCTGACCCGGTCAAGCCTATGCATACGCGTCAGACAGGTGCAAAATGCATGGCACCTTTGTGCAGGTGGTCACACTGCAGAGTTGCTCGCACTCTTGGAGCATATGAACTTGGAAAGGTACTCACCGCGCACATACATTGTGGCTTCGACCGACAGGATGGGCCCTCAGAAAGCCAGAGATTTCGAGGCCCACAAGCATGCATCCAGCACCGTGAGCCTCACAGCCCCTCTACAAACTTAGCTTGCCATTGTCAAGCCATCTGGAGCGACTTGGCCAAGGTCAGATGCTGAGGGTGTGGTGATGCCAAGGCAGGGGCAGAGTTCAGAGTCTAATGAAGCAGCCAAGATCTGCGTGATCCCACGCAGCAGGGAGGTCGGCCAGTCCTACTTGACATCTATCTGGACGACATTGGTGGCCTTGTGGGTGGCTTTCAGTATTGTGTACAGGGAAGCCCCTCAACTGGTAAGATTCTGTCAAGCCCTGCTGTCAATGAATCTGTAGCTGGTGCAGCCAAGAGAAGACACTCGGTCTTGGATCTGCTGAAGTGCAGAACTCCCCATGCAGGTGCTGGTGAATGGGCCTGGCACATGCATTCCCATTTGCTTGGCAGCTCGTGTAATTGGGTAAGATCACTCACGACCCTGGCGACGCTTCAGCTTTTGCAGATGCTATCCTGGCGCTCACTCTGCCCTAATGTCTGCATTCTTTGTCCTCTGCTATGCAGGACTTCTGGATCTCTTATATATGCTAGGACCAAAGGGCAAATCAAGTGCGGTAATTGCAGGGTTGTGAGGAGGACGCGGATCGTGTACACGGAGAGCATTGCAAGGGTGACATCACTGTCACTGTCAGGGAAGATTCTATACCACATGCGGCTGGCAGACGCTTTCTTTGTGCAGTGGACAGATCTGCAGCGACGCTTTCCCAGGAGCACATGTTGTGGCCGTCTATTCTGATGGTCTTCCTGCACTGCAGCGGCAGCTATAGAAACTTTCGATAGCTTGAAGGACTGGTGGAATACTTGACTTCAGGATGCTGTTTGAGTTTTGGACCAGTGATGTGAGAGTCCCGGGAGATTGAGGGAGCCCAGACAATAAATTTGTACACGGACACACATGAATAAGCTGTTGGCATACTGGCAGACATCATGATGGTCATGATTATGCCATGATCTCAGTGACACTGAGTGTGTGATCAGTCGTAGTGCCGTCGGGCCGCGCATGCTTGCTTTTGCCCATATTTTGCGCTGAAACCATGGCCAGGCTCTTACATGGATGTAGCAATGGAGCCTGCAAAATATGTAAATTTATCAAAATGAAATCCAAGTGGAAATAGAATACAAGAAAGGAATCATCAGGTGGGGACGCCAAAAGAGGATTTCGGAGATCGGTTACGGAAGATTATGAGAAGAGATAGAACCGTCAATGTATGAAGCTGCGAAGATTCAGCCTGCAGATGCCAAAAGCACAATTTCTGGCGATCTGAGAATCCTCTTCCATTGCTTCCAGCTACCATTTTCTGGTCTGCCATCAGAGTTCTCGAGCCTTTTGGATAGGCAGCAAGCATAGTTAGGCCATCGAAGGACCATGAATCCACGCACTGCTTTGTTCAAGAGCAGGAGGCACAATGCCCCTGCAGAGTCAGACTGCCAGTGCTGCATGAAATTAGCAGCATGTGAGGGTGCTCTGGGCATTAGGATGATAATGTGCTCAGAAAGCATTCACGCTGACTACGCTGGAGAGGAGAGAAAAATATTCATTGCTTGTTATACCAGAATGGCCAACACAGATACAGTGACATGACACTACGTCCCTTGTGTACGATCTTGGATGGGCATCCCTGCCTTAAGGGTTGCGCCAGCTGCATTAGGGCGGTGCGATCGTTAGCGTCTGGTGACAAGAGATTCTTTTCAGCAGAGGTCTTAGACATTCCAATGCTGCTTGCAAGGATCTGCCTTTCGGAGCGGTTACGTTGAACGGTTTCGGAGGGTCGGGCTTCTCCGAAAAGATTATGAGAAGAGACGCGACAGCCTAGCACTGTATGAAGTTGCGAGGGTCAGACTGTAAATGCAAAATCATTTTTGGCGATCTAAGATTCCTGTTCCAGAGCGTACACATATAATTATCTGGTCTGCCATCGACCTTCTCGTGCCTATTTCGTGGACAGCGGGCATTTTCTGGCCAAACAAGCAATTGGGAATGAGAAGCCATTCTGCTTTGTTCAAGAACAGGAGGCACATTGCCCCTGCAGAGTCAGACTGTCAGTGCTGGATGAAACGGTCACCATGCGAGGCAGTTCTCTACGACTCGCACACTATGCAGCAGGAGACAGAAGGCGGTCTGCCCCAGTGCGAGCAGGAAGTCGAGATTTTGCTGGCTGCTCTGTCCGATCGCGATTTGCTCAACTTTAGGCTGCAGTATTTACTGACCAGCAAAGGCTGTGAGTTAGACATCTGCCAAGACCGCCTCCGGAAGCAAACCCAGGCAGCGAGTCAGGCGAGAGGAGAGTGCCGCCGTCTGCAGGCACTCGTCACGTCTCAAGCACAGGTGCGCTCACACAATGGCTCCAGATATATTACCTAAATCATTAAGGTGTCAAATTTTACTAGCAAAAATCTTCGCCATAGCGGCCTGGCAAATGAAGGCTACCATGGACTGACCTGCATCCTCGATCTGCTTGTGCAGGCTCTCAAGGCGCAGGAGCAGCAAGAAGCACAGGTGAGCGGCCTGCATGTCCTTTCAGGAAATAAGACATCTTTTTTGCAAACCGTGTTTTCTGCAGCAAGTGCATGTATTGATAAACCTTACAATAGTGCCAATCTCCAGTCAAGCAAAGGCACTTAGTCCTGTCTGTATGCCCATCTGCAGAAGCTCAAGAGGAGCGTCCATGAAGCTGCGCTTCGAAATGCAGCCACCCAGACAGATCAAGCAGTTCCTGAAGCAGGTGATCGCGCTACAAGGCCTGCCTGAAACATCGCCTCTTGTTGTGCTCTGCCGTGCAAATGTACAGCGCGTGTTGGCCGCCCCCTTGTGTGATACCAGTGGTGTGATGTGCAGTTACGTCTCCTGTGAGCGTGCTTCAGCCAGCCAGACAAGGTGAGAATGACTACGGGGAGCTGTGTTGGAGTCTGCTGGCAGAGGGTGGCCAGCTGCAGTGCTGCCTCAACCAGGCCCAGCAGCAGCTGCAGCAGGCAGAGGCCAGGATCAAAACCATGGTGAGTTGTGTCCGCCTACAAACACATTTACATGTTGTTGTCTAAACTGAGCATGCCCACTAGCATGCATGGACCCTGCAAGCCTCGGTGGGAACTGAGCATGTCATGCAATCGCAGGGGGATGACATGGCGCAGCTCAAGGAGCAGAGCCGGGAGCAGGGAGAGCGGCTGGAGGCAACTTGCCGGGCAGAGAATGCAGCGCTGCAGGAGCGCTTGGACGACCTGCAAGCCCAGTTGAACTGTGCCGTGGCCGCCAATTCGTCCCTGGTGAACCCTCGCGCCTGATCACATGCCAGTGATTTGTTCTGCAAATGCCGCCCACGTATGCCTGACATCATCTGCTGACATTGTCCGATGACATCAGGATGCCATGTCATCAGTCTCAACCCCTGTAAACAGAGGTGCTTGAACCTCTGCTGTGTGGTGGCAGAGTCTTGGCATCACGCGGAAAGAGGACGAGATCAAGCACCTGAAAGAAGTGCTCAATCGCACAGCCACCCTGCCAGTAATCCCCCAGGTCAGTGCTTTGCACTTGTGTCCGTTTGCTTTCCCTCTGTGCACCCTTTCACATGTCAGGCCTGCGCAGTGCATGAATAATACCACCCAGCAGAGGGCGTTCCTGACAGCCCCAATGCTGCAATGCAGGCAACGTATGACTCCCAGGAGTGGCAGCGGCTGGCCTCGGGCGGCTGGGGCGCAGTGTACAAGGCTAACCTGCCGGTGGCGCTGAAAGTGCCCATCTCCAGCAGCCCCCAGTACCAGGAGGCCATCAACATGGAGGCCCTCATCATGCTCCTATTCAGCCACCCCAACATCGTTCGCCCGCTCGCCATGGTCGACTGCGGCGACGGCGTCCGGGGCATGCTCATGGAGCACTTTGAGCTCGGCAGCCTCGCCGACCGCTACAGGTGCGCTGCAGAAATCCCACAAGATCCTGTCCTCCTCTTGCCTGACCTCCTAGCTGTGACACACCATCTTTCTCCCACATGGTGTGTCACAGCTTGCAATGAAAACTCCGCATTACATGCTCCTGCCAAGTCTGGATAGTCCAGCTTCCTGGGATACGAGGAAAGGCCCTGTGTTGATGGCAACTTCTCAGGCTGCGTGTGCGAATGCATGCAGGCCGTACGGGGGCACGCTGCCGCTGCAAATTCAACTGCGGATACTTCTGCAGATCATCGGCGCGGTGGGGGAGATGCACGAACAGGGCATCTTCCATGGCGACCTGAAGCCCGAGAACGTACTCGTGCGCGCGAACGGATCCGTGGCCGTCACTGACTTCGGCCTCGCCATCCGCGGCGACGCGCCTCTGCTGGCCTACAAGTGCGGCCCTTTGCACCTTGCATGCTGTCTTCTGATCCAGTAGAGTTTTTTGAATTGAGCAGTTGCCTTGACGATGAGTGGCACACCAGTACACTGCATTGCTGAGATGACAGCATCCAGGTAGCCAGCAACGCAAGACAAGCATGACTGAAGCATGTGCCGGCATGTGCGCGCAGGGGCTCGATCGGCTCTACGGCGCCCGAGGTGATCGACCCGGCACAGCGGACGACGGCGCGCCGCGTCGACTTGTATGCAATTTGCGCCATCGCTTACACTCTCTTCACCGGACAGCACTGCTTGAACCTCCTTCGCGAGCAGTACAACGCGCTGCCCAGGAGCGAGGTGGCGCGTGTCGACAAGGCGCTGGCCGATGCTGGCCTGGCCGCTGACTGCGTCCACCGCCACCTGTGCATGGCGCAGTACATCGGCGCCATCCAGGGCGTCAACAAGGTGCGCTGCCTGGACCCTTGTTTGTATTCTGGGTTTCTGAGATGTCCTGGAACTCTCTTCCTGACGTATGTAAGTCCTTGCTGCATTTCTTGCAGACTGCAATCGGCCGATTACTTGCAATGGAGAAGCCTGCCCACCATCTCCCAATCTGAATGCAGCAAAGTTCTCTTGAAGCCGCTGATGGTCAGGCTTTGCTGGGAGTGTTTTGAAATCTTCTGGCTTGCTGCTTGCGCAGGTGCAGTTCCCCCGTCAGCTGCCAGAGTGCGCGCAGCCCTACCTCCATTTCCTGAAGACCGCCATGTTCTGGGCCAAGGACAGGAGCTCCGGGGTCGAGTTCAGCCTGCAGGAGATCCGTGACAGCGTGCAGAGCTGCTTGATTGAGCTCGAGGAGGCCGGCGAGGAGGCCTCTATCCCAGCTGCCACGATCGCTGCCCAGCCCTCTGTTCCGGCAGCGGCTGCCGCCACCCGCGCTCACCAGGCGAGGCCGCAACCACGCCGCCCTGTGCACAGCTCTCCAGTGAGCTTCCCTGGGTTCCTGGTACCGGGCGCCCTTTCTAGCAGCACGCCGTGATGGAGGGTGCAGCGTTGCTTGACCTGATGGGGTCATCTGGGCTCTTTTGACATGGCCCTCGGCCAGAATATCTGTGTGCAGAACCACGAATGCGCTGTTGAAATGTAGTACAGCAGAGCATGTTGGACATGTCACAAATGATTGTTCTGCGGTACAGTGACTGAATTGGTCCGCATGAAATCAGCGCATGAAGCAACTGGTGTTGAAGCAAGGTTATGGAATCTGGCCAAGTTGGGGTTTGCGGCGTTTATCAAGTTGAGGGAGGCTTGGTTGCAGAGTTTTCGCCTCGATCTGAACCAATTGGGCTTGAGATTGGTTGCTGGGGTGCAGTTTCATCCTTACCGGTCCTTTGGGTGCTATATGTAGCTCACAGAGACCTTTGCACAAGAGATGACGTTGGTGCATGTGCCTCAGTGCAGCAAGTTGAGACGAGGAATGACTGATGCTTAGCGCTGACAAAAATGCAGCTGGCATTATGGGTTGGTCATAAGATAGAAGATTGACTGGGGTAAGTCTGCAGAGGCTGCAGTATGTACAAGCAAGTTAGTTCAAGAAATCGATGAACCCATAGTGGGAAGAAAACCGTGGTAATTAGACAAAGCAAGACTGGCTTGGAAGCCTCTTAAAGACTTGGTTTAGCACCAGTAGTGATCCCCAGGACATAGTAATGTGTTGCTTGATACTAGAGGCAACAAATCACATCAATGGAGCTTGTGAAGTTTGTAACATTGCAATCAATTCATACCTTTGAAGTTTGCAACTACCTAATGAAGGCCAACATGGTTCAAATGAAAGCCAACACAGGTCAATCTCTGCCACTGGTGACAGCTGCAGACAGCGGCCTCTGTAGAGGAGCCTACTATAAGAAAGAATTCAAGGACTTATGGAGACCAACGGCAACTGTACAGCTCTAGATTCTTTCAATCAGGCTTAATGGCAGGCAGCGGTTCCAGCGCCTCTGGCATGCTACTGCAGGACAAAAGTCCTGCCCCCATCCTGCTGGCATTTGAGTTCTCATGCGGGGCCATAGCCGCCCGCATGCGCATGGCTGCCTCTGGCATGCTTCGAAAAAAAAATGGACAGGAGTAACAAATACCAAAAAACAGAGGAAAAGCGAAAAAAATGAACATGCAGACAAGGGAGGGAGAAAGGAAGGAACCGACCGCCAAGGTTTGAACCTGGGACCTATTGCAGCCCAGGCCAAGAACCCGTTGCATGGCCGCATCGGATTGTATTTGGTCATTAGCCCACTTTGGGTGACATTGATGCCAATTCGATCGATTATATATCCAACCTGCTGGCGACGGTTTGGCCCCCACCAGCACATACGAACGAGTGTTTCCTTCGAGAATGAGATATGAGTTGACAGATAGGAGATGAATTGTAACTGGATCCTATACGGCACTAAGTGTCCTGATCTCTCCGGTTTCCTTGAAATCCTCTGCATTTATCGATTGATCGAGAGATTGCAGAACGAAACGCTGATAATGAAGAATTGTGTCTGCAGCGCCTCTGTGCAAATTTTGCCCTGCCTTTACTTGCCCTGCTTTTACTTGCATTGCAAAATAATATGTTAAAAGAAGCATAGAGGAATACACAATGTCTTCACCACTTTTCATCTCTTGTCTTCTGTATACTCTTCACAAAGCAGTGCAAGTAAAAGCAGGTCGGGGCTCTATCCTCCGGCCTGCCTTTTTCCCCTCTGGATTCTTTCATTTGTGTCTGCTGGGGCATCACTGTACTACAATGATTGTAGCCTCAACATTGCATTTCGGCTGTGAACTTTTAGGAACTCAAGCCCCACTGGTGGCTCATCGATGGCAACTTTTCCCATTTGATGATACAGCTTGTGTGGCCAATCGGGTGATCACCAGCTGTTCGTCATGAATGAGTCATGCAGGAAGTTTATGACAGAGAAGCTGCAGACACACTAGTAGTATGATGTTACAGAAGCCTAGGCACATCTGCAGACGTCTGCAGCATAGAAAAGGAGACCATAGTCATCTGCATCTCCCAATTCATGAAGGTGCACATGCCGGCATATCAGCACATGAAGGTTCCATTGGAGCAACACAGCAAATGCTTGGCAACAACTCGCAAGAGTTGCTTGGACACATGGAAATGCCAGACCTAACTATTCAAAACCGGCTGCCTCAGCTGCAGAGTAACATGTGTACAACATCATGCATGATGCATTTTGTTTCTTCCTGTCGACACGGTTAAAGATTGTGCATATCATCTCCAGCGCAACATATGCCAGCCCGGCCACCTAGTCAGGCCCTGTTGCTGCTGCTGCTGCGTCTGCTGCTGCTGCTGCTGCTGTCACGCCATCTGCAGGCTGTGTCTGTGCGCTGGTCTGCTGGCTGCTGTCCTCTTTGAGCAGGCCGCCAAAGGTCCAGTCAATGCTGGGTGGCTGCAGGATGAGCGAGTCTAGCGAGGGCAGGTCATCAAGGTCTGCGCAGCAACCTCACAATCAGAAGCAACCACAGCACGTTGATATCCATCAGGATATCCTCTGTTTGGATTTTCTGCAACAGGTTTCAACACAGTTCTGCAGCACAGCAACACATGCTTGTCAGGTGATGCATCGGGGAGCGGGGCACACCCAGGGAGTTGTGGAGAGAGGGAGGTGGGGAAGGTGGGCGAGGCACAGGGACTGGCTTGTCCACAATGGGTGCCCGCCTGTGCCTGCTGTTGTTGAGCAGGGAGAATGGCATCCTGTAGGGCACTGACGTGAAGGCAGTTACACGCCTCTTGATGTCTGCATCGTCCCTCTGCTGCTGCTCCTTGCTCATCTCTCGCCAGGTCTTGCCTGCCATGCGCTCCACACCATCCTCTGCATAGAGCTCTGCTAGGCTCTTTAATGCCACCTGGGCAGATAAAACGCACGTTCATACTTAGAAACGTCCACATGCCATACACGCCTTATTGCTCCCTCAGAAGCAATTTGACTTTTTCGGTAAGGTGCTCAGGCAGCATGTGTCTCTCCGCTGCCAAATTCACCTGTTTGGCGTAGGATTGGGGCAAGGCTGATTTCTGAAGGTTTGTCTCCGCATGCTTTGCCTTTGACTGCGAGGACTGCACGGGTGTAGCATTGGTGATGTCGCCAAGAGCTCTTCGAGGCTTCGTAGCTGGCGCAGTGTCCCCTGCTTTCCTCTCTGTGTTGGTGATGTTTCCCAAAGCCTTCCTCCGTCCAAGTCCTGGTGTTTTTCCTCCGGTGGCAAAAGTCTTCCCCGGCATTCTGGTTCCTGGCTCAGCATTTTCTGCATCCGGGGCTGGCTTGAGGGTGGCAACACCACTGTTCTCGTCCTGAATAGGATTCCTGTACTGCAACATTTTGACCGCTCTTGTTCCTTTTTGACGCTCTGTCAACAAAATATGTGCCGAATTATTGCGCAAGAGGAGTGAAACAGCGATGCTGGAGTGAGGTGTGCAGCACACCGTGTGCTTAAAGATTCTTTAATAAAAAGCTGTTGAATGGAAGTTTGGAGAGTGTTTCCGAGAGTTGCACCCGTATACGTAGATGCTTTCATCCCCTTACGGATTTGAAGGTCCAAAATGTGTGCCAGCCCAACCTGTGCTTTCCGCTTTTCCCAAGCCAAGGATACTTGATGTTACATCGGTATCTTAACAGGAGCACATTTGAATGAATAATTTGGACAGTGAAGAATCTGTCGATCTATGGAGTTTTGCCTAAGTGGTCTCAGATCAGCGACCAGACCTGCTGTCTTGCACCTACCTCGCCAGCTTTGTGCTCGAGCGTATTTTCAAAAGCCTTTCAATTCATCTAGCTACCAAAGCCTACTACACGCTGCAAGTCAGCCATCACGATCGTTAAGAACTCCTCGCCTTCTCCTCTCTGTGAAGGCTATGAGTGCTGCGAGTAAGACGGGCCTGATCCTGATGCAACCATCCCTGTCATCTGATCACAGATTTGTAGCACGTCCTGATCTCGTCTTTTGTTGCTGTCAATTTGTTTACTTCGTGCTGCACAGGCACCCAAATTGACTCGCCCACTGCCCAGATCATAAATGGCAAGGCAATAGCTGACAGCATCAGGAAGGAGATCGCTGATGAGGTCAAGGCCCTGCAGGAAAAGTATGGCAAGGTGTGCGCATCGGCATTTAGCTGTTTTGACTTTACACTTCCCACACAGCTCAATCAGATAGGCAGCTCAACTTCTGCTTAGACGAAGAAGAGTAATCATGGATGAAAAGGGGAGCTGCTGAGCAGGTGCCAGGCTTGGCGGTGGTTCTGGTGGGCACCAAGGGGGACTCTGCCACGTATGTGCGCATGAAGCGCAAGGCATGTGCAGATTTGGGCATCCAGTCGTTCAGCACGGACCTCCCAGGCGATGTCAGCGAAGAAGACCTGCTCAAGGTACCTGCGCTTGCAAGCTTCCCTCCCTGCTCAACTCCAGTGGAATCACACACTGTATTTGAGCAAAGTGTACTTCAAGCATTCCTATTTTGTGGATCAAGTATCCTGCTGCTGCTGCACAAGGCAATACTCCACCCTTCTGGAGTGCAGGAGTCATACAGCTTTCTGAGCAACCAGAATTTTGATCGTATGATGGTTTTGCTGTGTTGTGCTGTGTGATTCTGGTTTGGCCGCACATGGCAGCACATTTGTCTCCTTGGGCAGGGCAGGAGTCCCGGCAGAGGCCAGCAAAGTTATACTGAATGCTGTGCAGGTGGTGGCAGACTACAATGCGAATGAGGAGGTGCACGGCATCCTGGTGCAGCTGCCGCTGCCGAAGCACATTGATGAGCAGCGCATTCTGGATGCCATCAGCCTGGAGAAGGACGTGGATGGATTTCACCCTGCCAACATTGGCGCGCTTGCTATGCGCGGCCGCACCCCGCTCTTCACGTCATGCACACCAAAGGTGGGCGTCCAGCCAAGCCTCCAACGGCGCCAGTGGCTCTGATAAGTGCCAGAATCTTGATGGGTTTCAAAGGATGCTGAAGAGATTGGGGACCAGAACTTGGGAGGAGGTGCAAGGAAAGGCAAGGAGTTCTCCTCAATGGCCATTATTGAGAGCAATGCTGCCTCGATGGCAATAAAGAAGTAATCTTTGAATAAGAAGCGAACAGGGGAAGGGGTATGCCCTGTTGGCAAGTCCCAGTGGCTTACAGTACTCTGAGACTGGGGATGGAGTATCGAAGGGCTGGGTGCGTGGTCTGGTCAGGGGTGCTTGGAGCTGCTGAAGCGCAGTGGTGTGGCAATCAGCGGCAAGCGCGCGGTGGTGCTGGGCCGCAGCAACATTGTGGGCATGCCCGTCGCCCACCTCCTCCAGGCATGCGCTCTCCCCTTCATCATCATCTCCGTCACATGCATGCATGCTTTCTTGCTTTGAGGAAGCACTGTATGTGCCATGCACAACCCAGTCTTCAGTGCACTGAAATTGTTGCTGGATTCTGAGCCGAGCATGAGTTCGACATGGCGCAACAACAAGCTAGTACTGGCGGAGAGACCATGTTCCAATCACGATCATACAGCCCTGTTGCAGGTCGGGTAACCTGCAAACAAGGAGCATTACTGGCATGCCTGGGTCGGTGTCATCAAATACATGTGCCGGGGCAGTGGTTGAGGTTTGCATGGGGATTTGGCTATGTTCTACATGGGGTTTTGAGAGCGGCTGTGACGCAGGGGGAGGATGCGACGGTGACGGTGGTGCACTCGCGCACGCCGGACGCGCGGGCGATTTGCGCAGAGGCAGACATCCTGGTGGCGGCCATCGGGCAGGCCGAGATGGTGCGCGGCGACTGGATCAAGCCCGGCGCGGCCGTCATCGATGTCGGCACCAACCCCATCCCGGTCAGCACCTCTTCCGCTCAGAATTTAAAACCTTGTGTTGACCTTTGTACCGGGTCATTTCTCTACCTTTTGCATCCAATAGTGGCGACCTGAGCAAGTAAATCTATTTTGTAGCTGGCCTTGGGCTCTCTTCACCCCAATCTCTGATTTGGTTTTGTGTTCTCCTCATGGTCTGGCACACCATCTGCCTGTGTTTTGCTTAGCTAACCCGACAGTGGATCGGAATCACATGAATGATCCTGAGATCTCAGACTCCAGCAGAGGTACACTGATGGGACTGAGCTCTGCGCGCAGGATGCCAGCAAGAAGAGCGGGTACCGGTTGGTAGGGGACGTGGCGTTCAGCGAAGCCAAGGAGCGCGCTGGTTTCATCACTCCAGTCCCTGGCGGCGTGGGCCCCATGACCATTACTATGCTCCTGTCCAACACTGTTGACGGCGCTCGGCGCACCTTTGAGAAGGCCGCAGCCGGGCAGTGAATACAGATATTGTTCCCTTTGGACAGACTGTGACTGTCTGTGAGGGCTCATGTCCAGTTCGGAATGCCGGCGGTATAAATTAACCATTGATTGTAATTGTTTCTTGTTGAAATGGGCAACATTGTATTATATAACCCCTCACAAGAAAAATTTGCACATCATCCTTTGACAAGTGCTCCTGCCTTCGAAGGATTCTGTGATCGCACGGTCCTTGGCGAACCTTCATCAAACTTCCGAACTAAATAAACAAAATTTCCGCGACCGTGAAAAGAACAGAGGGACACGAAGAGCTCATGAGAGAGTCAATACAAAATAGTATCAAAGGTAATTCTTCGATGTTTACGTCTTCAGACTTCTCAAATTCGACGGAGTCTCGTTCGTGTTTAAAGAAGAGGAAGGGAAGGTTCTCCTACTTCTGTCCCCTTTATGTTTGCTCAAGTTTGGGATGAAGCGTCGCCAGCAGGCCGGGTACATACTCGACTGAAATGGCATCAATGTCACCCAAAGTGGGCTAATGACCAAATACAAATCCGATGCGGCCATGCAACGGGTTCTTGGCCTGGGCTGCAATAGGTCCCAGGTTCAAACCTTGGCGGTCGGTTCCTTCCTTTCTCCCTCCCTTGTCTGCATGTTCATTTTTTTATTTTACCTTTTGTTTAGGTGTTTCTCACTTGCCTCACGTTTTTGTTATAATTTGTTTTGAAGTGTGCCAGGTACGCATGCGCCATTTGCATGCATATCCAGTCAGCCTGCTGGAGTTGATTTGTAATTTCCTTCCTTCAGATGCGCCTGCCGGCAGCGGTGGCATTGCAAAGCACTCAACTACTGGCACTTCTGTCTGGCAGGAGCCTTCTGCTGAGCTTCCTAGACTGCTTGGAAAAGGGCATCATAACTCATCCTTTATATTTTTCTCTTAGCGCTAGCCACAGCAACACCGGAGGCTGCAGCCAGCTGCAACGCTGTGGCTGCATGAAAACAGCACCAATCACAAAGTTGCAATTACTGTGTTGAATGTAAAGTGTGCACCTTGAAGTGAATGCTAACTGCATGAGGATTGCGAAGGATACCATCAATTAGATGTGGAGCCAGCTCAGCAAATATGTATACGACGCAGCTTCTGAGCTGATGGCTCTTCTCTCACATCATTTTACAATAAAGAAAACCGGATCATCCCACGCAAGCAGGTCTACATGTTTTGACCACAGGCCAACTGAAGGGCCCCAATTACAATTACAGTAGGTCTGCTGAAGCTTTGCAGTGATATATCCCTTTTTGCCGGTTGTCTAGCCCGCAGCGCACATTTCAACAACCACTGCTTCAATATTGGTACACGCACTCACGAACACTAGCTACAATGGACAACTTTTGGAGTAAAAATGTAGCTGCTAAAACTGGACAGCTTGTGCCGATGCTTTGGACAACTCCTATAATTGAAGGCGTCAACCAAACCTTCTCGCTCTTATCAAAACTCGCGCAACTCTCACTTCCTGAGCCTTTCAGCGGTACTCGTCCATGAAGCTGGCGTGGAACTTTTGGAAGCTGGCAATGACATCCTTGATCTTGTCCTCTTGCGGTAGAATGGTGGTGCGCAGGTGGAACGTTCCCTCCTCCTGCCCAAATCCGCTCCCTGCAGCACCCCAGCTAGATATTATAAGCCCCTCTGCTCTTCTCACTCTCTCCTTCTTCCTGTCAAAGAAGCCATGCCAACAGAGGCGTCCTGAAGCTGCCGCTGAACAGCCATTCTCAGGTGCAAAGGAAAATGAGGTGCTCTGCCTGCAAAATGAGGGCGGCACAGGGCCCCCAAAGTAGTGGTAAAATCATGAGACTTCTTGCAGAGGAAAAGCTGCTGGGGTGTGAAAGGGGTGGGTGACTCACCGGGCACGGTCAGCACGCCGGTGGCGTCCAGAAGCTTGAGGCAGTACCAGGTGTCCGGCGCCTTGCCGGCCTTCTTGGCCGCCTGCAGTGCCTGCGCACCCAAACCCACCGAGACCAGTTGAAGTTGCTGCCATGCCCCTGGCCTCTATCTTCCTTACTGTCCATTAAAACCATGGTTTCTTCGTGGCGCTCCGCCCTCAGAGCTTGCAGATGAGCAGATCACTGCGCCCAAAGTAGCCTCGCTGCTGCTCACCAGTCAGGCCCCATCAACATAGTGAGCCGGCATTCAACTGGCAACCTTCTGTAATGTTTGCAGCAACCCTCACATCACAACAGAGAGGAGCCCAATCGCGGTAGACGACAAATGCAGAGGAGGAGGCTGCATGCTTGCATTGGATAGCAACACAGACGAGCCCGTTTAGAAGAAGTAGAGGTGAAGTGCGAGCGCACCTTGGGGGGCAGGTTGAGGCGCGGGAAGGAGTACATGGCGCCCTCGGTGTAGTTGCAGGTGATGCCCTCGCACGCGTTGAACCCGTCGGTCATCATGCGCGCGCGCCGGCGCATGCTCGCAATGATGCCCGCCGCCTCCGCCTCGTGCTGCTCGTGCGACGGGTCGCCCTCCTTCGGTGGGTTCACCATCAGCGCCAGCCCAGCCTGTGCATCACATTCGCTTCCAACTTTGACTTCCAGCACTGAGGTGAGCAAAAGTACAGACACTTTGGAGGACGGCTATACCAGACTGGCAGAAACGATGTTCTTCAACAGGAAGAGGCGATGTGAAGGAGGTTCTACAAATCCTCTTGGAGTGGGAGGTCTCATCTGGACTACTGACCAGATCCAGATGCGAACTCCTGCTCCAAAGGCATTGCTGACACAATTCCAAATCGCACATTTCTGCTTGAAGAATCATCAACCCTCCATGCCAAAGGAAGGAAGCTACGCAGCGCAGCATTATATGTGTGCGAAGTGAATCACAACTGAACACGTCACATGGCCCGCATGACCAGGGCTCCTGTGCAGCGGAAGAGGCATGCAGCACCTGGCCGAAAGTGTTGGGGGACAGGTTGATGGAGGCGATCTTGTAGAGCTGGTCGATGGTGTCGGGGTGGATGTTGGTCGCCTCCAGCATGCCTCCGCGCATGCCGCACTCGCCCAGCGCGCCCTTGCTGATTGTGTGGAAGGACACCAGCTCCTGCTCGCTGTAGGGGGCGCCCATATCCATCATCACCTTTTTGCAGCTCACAAAGGGCCGCTCGTCCTGCAGACACCAGCCACACCAGGCCCTCAGATCGCCTTACCATACGTAAATATTACATTGTATGAGATATTGCCTCTGTCACATTTTTGGCTTGAAGCATTGGTGTTGCTGCGACAAGCAGGAGGCATTAATATTCATCTGGACTGGCACTCACGAGGGGCACTTTGCAAGCTGCGGCACAAAGACTCTGCTCATGTGGTTAACATCATGCATAATCCCCTAAGGTACCATGAAATGCATTGTTGCTGAGCCAGGGGGATCTACATCTGATTTATAGAAAAAGATCCCCTGGTTGAGCTCATGACAGGGTAGTAAATATGCCAAGCACACCTGGAAGATGTTGGTCTGGTACACCTCGTCCGCCATGAGCACAATGTTCTCCTCATGCGCAAACTTGATGATGTCTTCCAGGTTCTGGTATGACAGGCACTGCCCAGTCGGGTTCCCTAAACGGCACAAGCAATTATCCTGAAACTTTGTGCACAAGCAAGTGTGATGATTGGCATGCCAGCTTCATGCATTTAGTGGAAGGCATATAAAAAGATTGAGGGCTCCCAAAATACAGCAGGGGTCCGTGTGATGACAGACTACAGAGTTGCCAAGATGCAAAGGCAATGCAGCGGAGGGCGCAGGGCAGCACCAGGGTTGATGAAGACCAGAGCGCGCACGGCGATGCCCCTGGCGCGCGCATCATCCACACTCTTCTTGACGTCCGCAATGTCCATGCTCCAGCCGGTCTCCTCCTTCAGGTTGTACCCCACCAGCTCCCCACCTGCGCCCCATATCAACCTCTGTCATAAGTATAAGGCGTTCTGCACGTTATCATGTCACCAAGCCGTGCTGTGAGAGGCGCAGAGGCAGCGTGCTAGCATTCCAGATCTCATGCTGGGGCACTCATGCTGGGGCACCATAAAGGCCGCATGCAGATACTGAACACTCTCAAATTACAGCCACATTCTCAGCCTATCTACTTTAAGGGCCACTCATTTAAGAGGAAGAACGTCCAGGAAATCACATTCAGCTGAGTAATCTCAATGATTTTTGCCATTCCGGGCTGGGGTGTGCAACTGATGACGAAAAGAAGGCAAGGGGCCTGAAGGGGGCGCGCACCGTAGAGCTGGATGCTGGCAGAGTAGAGCGGGTACTGGGGCACGGGCACCAGGATACCGTCCTTGTCGCTGCGTATGATCGCATTGAGAATGTAGCGTACCGCCGGCGACGCGCCATCAGTCAGGAAGATGTTCTGCGCAACACCACTAAAACTTAACCAGTTGGCTGCTAACGAGGTCCTGCTATTTGCTTGTCAGAGCCTGCATGCTCTGCAGGGCACCCCAGGCTGAAACTGTTGTCAGCCAAGCACATCAAGCCATCTGCTCGTTTATTTGTCATGCTGAGCAGATGCCTCATTGCATGTTGGCCAAGAACAGTCATAGTACAGGGTGAGCAAAAGCAGCACATGCAACACTGTAAGAACAGCGTTGGTCGCACTCTGATCAGGATGGGATTGTGTCAAGAGCACAGCGAGCGCACGTTGGGGTTTGAAGGATAGCCGTCCCGCTTGGAGATAAACTCTGCTATCTCCTTGCGCACCCCCTCGGCCCCCCGGGAGTCGCTGTAGGCCCCCATGCCGCCCGGGAAGTAGGTGAGCACCTGCTTGGCGCGCGCGATTGCATCCGAGGGGAACAGCCTTCCAACCTCAGGGTGCTCCAGCAGCGCTGGTGAGGCAATAAGCGACAGCACCTGTAGCATATTGAATTGGAGTGTAAATCCTCGGATCTTCAGGGAGAAAAATGGCATCACATAGACGAGGCAACAGGCCAGGGAAACTGTGGAAGGTCTGCAGTAGTCATACTTGAACAGGGGAGACATGCAGTAAGAAAAGGAGCAATGGGAGGGGCTTGCCTGGCGGTTGAAGGTCAGAGGCTTCTGGCCCAGGACGTGCGGGTTTCCCACTGCGCCACAAAGTCGTTTGCTGAGCAATGGGTTACGTTCGGGGATGATTTAAGAAATGAGCTTTGCAGGGGCAATATTGCTCAGCTGGGACTCACCGTTTGTAAAGATGATTTCTTTGCCCTGCTTGCGCAGCTCCTCCCCCCTCAGGTACAACTCACCCCTGACGGCATATTCAGCGCGCACCAGATTCTCGTTCAGGAGATCTGGATGCAGGACCTGCAGGGCATGAGGAGATAATCGTGGAGACTACTAAGTGTTAAGGTGGCATCACATCGCAGGATACGGATTTAGGGTGCATATCGAACCGTACCTTTCCATTCTTTGAGTTCTGTGGTGGAGAATCATCGCCAATGGGGTCTGGTAACGACGCGAAGCCGTGAGTGCGCTGAGTCAATGGCCCTCCTGCAGCGACGGACACTGAACGGCAAAGCGCCCACAGCGCACTGCGCTGCTCCAACCCACGACGCAGACTCATGATGTACCAATTCTATGGCAATGTAGGCTTGAACTGAAGCCTGGGATGTACGACAAAATTGGATGGCTCTCACAAGTTTGCCCTCGTGACGCAGGGCACCCGAGTAATCAAAATCCACTACTTTAGTGGATGTAAACGCTACTAATGTGGTGGATTATTGGCAATCAGGGGCCATGCCACCTGGTAACACATTCCATAGCATGCCATTTTGGTAATAAAAATTAGGCCTTTCGTCAGTAAGCATGGAGAATGATCAGTGATGTGTTTCTGTACCGAGCATGTCACTTATTATTGCTAGGATCCCGTGTTACAAGTGTGGCAGTGACAAGGAGAAGCTTCATCCGAACTGCGCAAGTTCAGAACGCTTGACTCGCTGTGTAGGTTGTGATTATATTATCAGATTCTATTCAGAAGGTCTGACAAAGGACGAATACGGCCACGACGCTGTTGCCGACTGGGTCTTCAAACAAGAGGCAAGGGTGCCATTGCAACGTTGCAATGCCGTGGACTCAGGGGTCAGATATTTCCATCAGAGCTGCCTTGGCCGAGATGAACCTTCAGCATTGTCCAGAGCTAATGGCTACTATTCTATTCGCGGGAAGATTGAGAGCGAAAAGTATCCAGAGCTCAGAAATATTACCCACAAATGCTGTGAGGACTGCGTCATTGCAGCCCAAACCAGGGGCAAGGATCTCAATGAGGATAAGTTGAATTTTATCATGCATCAAGGAGTGATTGGTAGGTCTCAATAAGCACTCCATCTTTGAAGGTTGGGAACACCTATGTTTTGAATCTCCCCATGACCTTGACACAGAGTAACTAACTCTGACTTTTGCGTTGCGTTCAGAGGCAGAGACCGGCGACTTGGAGAGGAAGAGAGCCGATAGGCGATCAAGCAAGATTCGAGGCATCATTGGTGGTCAGCAGGCTCGCCTCGAAGACAATGGGACGACTTCGACCGCCATCTTTGCAACGAGACACCTCAATCAGAAAGTCAGCTTCAGCAAGAGCGCCAGCAGATTGCTGGCAGCAGTGCCCAACCTGAACAGGACAGTGATGGCAGCCTCGTATCTCCAGGCCAGTGGACTTCAGGCAGGCCAGACAGCCCAAGGACAGGCGCAGAGGGGCGCCACAGCTGCAGCAGGCGGCATGCAGGGTCCCGCAGCCCCAGAGGCAGAAGCTGCAGGACCTTCGCAAGCGCCACAGCCAGGGATCAGCCGCAGGCAGCTCAGCGCTCAGGGAGCCGAGCAGGACATCGTCCAACGGTGGCTTGCGTTCAGCCTCAAGGCCTCATCCACCGTTGCAGAGCTGAAGCGGTTCCTGCTTGACAGAGGCCAGCGGCCAGTGATCTTCACCAGAAGCGCGCTGCTCGCCAGGGTGGAAGGGCTGCTTAGATTTGAGCATCCAGAAGGTAGCTATCCATGATGGCTGTAACGATCAGCGCCTACACATCTTATGCCTGGCAAATTAATAACATGTCCTCACCATTTCCTCTGGACATCTTATGCGCTGGCAGCTAATGGATGCTGTCATGCAGGTGGACTGGAGCCGAGTGCGGCGGCGGTTGAAGAGATCACAGCCGCTGTTGAGGCCGCAGCCCAACCGGCACGGCAAAGACCAGCAAGGCAGAAGGTGGGCATCTTGTTGAGGATCCTTATGTTTGCATGTGCTTTGTGAACGCCTCTCATCTGTCAAGCTGCTGGTGCAGTGAAAGCGAGTTTGGCTGAACACACTGATTGTAAGTTATTGTTGTTACAGGCGCCGAAGAAGTCACAGCTTCAGATGGAAGCGGCCAAGTCCATTGTTAACAAGGGTGAGTGGGCGCTCTCAGCTGGAAGCTCTGATCACCTGGTGACTGTTGCACACCCGAGAAGGCTTTAACTTCTGCAGATTTGATGGAAGGGAATGATAGCCAGTCAATTGAGGCGCTCACATGTTTGCAGGAGTGAGCAGCGGCCTGCCCGTGGTCAAACTCAAGCAGATTGACGAGTTGCTCTGGACCTTCGACAAGTGCCACTACCTGCCGCAGTTGGGGGAGAGCACTCCCTCGATTGGTGTCGCTCTCTGGGCCGTCACAAGCACGCTGCACCGCGACGGGGAGTTCCCAGCACGCAACTTGTCCCAGTTGGGTCGTGCTGCCAAGGCTCCTGTTGGTTTGGTGCGCGCTGTGCAGCCAGGCAGCGATGGCAACCAGCTGCATATGGAGATATGGTTCCTCGAGGCGCGCGTGCAGACAGATAGCCAGGGGGAGCCCGAGGCAGCGGTGGCAGGGGAAGGCGGTGGGGCACGCGCAGATGTGGAGGGACGGGGTGCAGGAGAGGCAGCCACCGGTGGGGGCGTGCAGGAAGGGCATGGGCGGGGTCGGGGCAGGAAGCGTGGCCGCCGCGGCACAGGCGGGGCGCGTGGCAGCAATCGGCCCAGAAGGGGCAGCCGAGGCAGGCTCAGGCGCCCAACCGCCAGAGCCGCAGAGTTTTGGGGTCCCCCCACTGAGGGCGACGAAGACGAGGTTGGGAACCTCTTCTCTGAGTCAGATGCGGATGACCAGCCAGCGCAGCAGCACAGTGACCCAGCAGAGCCAGAAGGGCAGGCAGAGGGTGTCCTGCCTGAGGCCAGCGAAGTGCCGCCGCAGCCCACAGCTTGTGCGAGCCAGTCGCCGTTGCACGGCTGCTTGCTGGCAGATGAGTCGCCGCAGCCTGTGCCAGTCCCCAACGTGCGGCTGAGCATGCAGGGGCATGCCGCATCGCCGGCCAAAATGGCTGTGCTGGTGATCGACTACCGGCACATTGCAGCGGCCCTCTGTCATCCAAAACGGCTGAAGGTGGCTCTCGGAGGCGCTGCCGGGAGCTCGCCCATGAACGTCGAAGAGGCTGCAACTGGTGTGGCGCTGGCAATGTTGCTGGCTGAGGAGCAGAATGCGGCGCGCGCCGGAGAAGGTGAGGAGCCATCATGGCTCTCTTTGTCCTGGCTTATATGATTCCACTCACAGTGAGTTTCTAAGTTATAATGCCATGCGAATCATACCCCGAAGGTTTATCGACAGGTAATTGTCAGCAATAAGCTGACGACAGGCATGTGTTGTCTAGGTGGGAGTGCTACGGCAGCGGAGCAGTCGCAGTCAGCCTTGGAGCAGTCACCGCTGTCTGGCGCCATGGTCTTCTTTGATCCTGCTCTGGAGCTCGCTGCCGATGAGGAGCCAGCTTCCTCCTACCGCTCTGCAGATGGCCCAGCAGGCATGTACAAAATCCTGCTCTGTCATTCCTGTGAACTTGTCAACTGACTGCTCTCATACGCTGGTGTAGTTGATTTGTTCATGTCTTGTCTCTCAATGCTGAAGTGTCTGCTTGCCCCTTTGCCTGAGCCATGCCTGTCTTTCACGCACCCTGCTCCACATGCTGTGCTTGCCCCTTTGCCTGAGTCATGCCTGTCACTCACGCACCCTGCTACATATGATGTGGTAGAGTGCCGCACCTAAGGGTCATCTGGGTAATACTAACAACAGGAATAAATTTGAGCTTGACATCCTAGCAAGACACTAGGGAAGATATTGCTTGAATGCGGTAATAATCGCGGATTGTAAGCAGCTGTGTGTTGGTGCGCGCAGGTCGACCGTCCCTGGAAGTTTCCTCCCCTGGGATCAACATGGAAGCTGCAATGGGTGTCATCGCAGGGCTGGCATGTCAGCTGAACCCCTCGCCGCAAGCCAGAGGCCATTCGAGCGCGCACAGTGACGTGCAGATTCTGCCAGATGACACAGTCTATGTCCTAACAGATGACAGGAGGATAGTGGGGACGGCAGAGGTGGTGCATATTGGGCCTGGCACACGGTTCCACGGTGCTGAGCTTGAGGGGTTTGGTGTTATTTGCGGGCTCACCATCACAGACGCAACTGGGGCTGGACACCAGAAGGCATGGTTGAGCGACACAGATGAAGTCAGAGCAGGCAGAACACCCTTGGAAGCAATTGGGGGCAATCAGATGGTGGCAGTTCCCGAGAGGTGCCTTCGCTTTCTGAGGCGCCCACCGGCGGCTGGAGAGTGACTTGCAATGTGATCTTTGCACTTTCAAGCTAAGTCAGTTTCAAGCTTAGTCAGAATTGGCGTGTGAGCATGACGCAAATGTAGCATCAATTTTTTTTATGTCCTAAATTTGATATTGCAATGAGGACTGTAGTAGGTTGTGACCAAGTCTGCCTCACTACAAGGCGTTGCACATCCATGCGCTCTACGCAACTAATATTAGTCACTCACTTGTCCCTCTCTGCACATGTGCGCAACAATCATGACGGTAACCAGATATCATGCATGTAACAATCTGTAAGGTAATTTTGCTCCCGGTTGCCTCACATGCTCAACCTTCGAATCTGAAGTGGCCAGTGGGATGGAGCACTTCTGCTTGAAGACAGAGCACTGCTGCTGACCGCCACAAGGTAGTGGCGGTGGAGGGCAAGAAAATAAATCCCCTGAGCCTATCTTATAATATTATTAACCCCATCTGTCATTGAGCAGCCTGGCTCGTTCTTGCTGTTTCTCTACGATGTCGGTGTCGAAATCCACTCACATAGAATGTTGAACGTGGAAGAATTGCTACAAGATTCTTCTCAGCATCATCGCACTTCTTGGTCGCTGCATAAAGACACACGGCATGTCACATCAGATGGCGCAAAGGTGATGCCCTTATCTTGCCGGCACCCACGCTATGGTACACGCACGCGATGTGTATCAATCAAATGTGCCACAAGCGACAGAATTGGGGTGTCAATTTGCTGCACAGCGTGGGTGCCCCTCCTTGATGGGCACATCTCTTTACATCGAGCAGCCATCTGAGATCGCCAGGGTTGAGGACGTGCTGTCCGTGCAGCACGCACTCAGCGTCAATATTTAGACTCTTTCAATATTGATTATTGATGGTATTCTTGTGAAAGAGTCTCTTGACCGGCCCTGTAGGTATCGCACGCTATGAAGAGGCTTTTGCAGTCCAGGGTTGGGGCAGCACACCTCTGAACATAGGA